TTTCTTGGGAGATTAGTTTCAGTCCAAACTTCTACTGAAAACTAAGGAATAAAATGGTTCTTTCCAAACTTTCATCCTGTCCAATTTGTTGGTGTGACTGCACACACTGACTTCCTGAAACATTCTCAAATATCAGTCACAACACCCATTTTTTTTCAAAGCATCTGATTTGTTCCAACCCCTATTGTGAAATAACAATTTGGAGCTTGCTTTTACTTGTCTCTTTACAATCTCTACACATGCACCACGATCTTTCAAGACAATTTGAGCACAGCTACAAAATCTACAGACATTTATTATATAAAATTCAATCTAAGAAATCCCAGGAGCCACAAAGTATATTTAATTTACATTATTTCATTAAACTGAAAAAATGATCTTTATTTTGTTGTAAAAGTCTGTGTTAAATCTCTTGTTTTACATTGCGAGTGGCAATCCCAGATTAATTACAGCTCATGGGAGTTTCTGTTGTGAAAGCAGTAAGCAGGTCAGGACTAGCCTAAATGTAGATCACGAAATGGGCTGAGTCAGCTTTCATGATTATATCTTGTGGGGAAAGCCGTGAGAACATCTGCCTGTTTTTGTCAGCAGGCAACAAGTTCCCTAGCAACAGAAGTTGTATCGTGCCAGTTTTCAGAAAGATTTACTTAACAAAGTAATTGACCAAGGTGGTGATGTGATGGTAAACGTTTTCACGAACTGCCATATGGAATGCAGGTACTCCAACATCAATTTATACTAGTGAGCCGAGCCTTAAAGTTCTACTTTAGATTCATTATTGAAGGATGCTGCATTTACACTGCATCATAGGTAGCAAATGACCATTTAACACACAATATTAAATTGGGTGGGGGTAACACCTGTTGAAGCACACTGGAGCCCTGCTGCTAACATCGCCTGGAGGCAGCAGCAAATACCACTCCATCTTATCAAGAATGTTCATACCTTTGTGTTTAAAACTACAATGCTGATGTATTTGGGCACTGTGATATTATTTTTGGTCAGTCAGGTGTCTGGCACAACTGGAAACCTAACGCTATGCTTAAAAGTGCCCAAACCAACAGAGATCCATGCATCTGCCTTTAAATGGCTATTTGCGAGATAGTTATTGGAATGGAATATGCGCCCTCTCCCTGGAGGGCTTGATTCTGACAACGGTTCCATTGCTAAACATGTTAGTTCAGTGTATTAAGGGGAACGCTTGTGGGGTTAGAGTTGTAGCATTGGGTATTGTGCTTTGAATGTTGTGAATGCTAACACTGTGTGGCAGGTTCTCAAACTATGGGGCGCGCCTCCCTGGGGCTCTATGAGTTAACCAGTTGCATGTTAAACAACACAGCCACTTCCCCTGCTCACAGGTAAGGATTTTCAGTGTTTTTTTAAATGGGGGAAGGATGGGCAAAATTGCCTGGAGCAAAAGCAGGCCGACATTGAGCAGCAGATATGGGGGAAATGGATAGATATTCCTAAATTGTTCACGAATACATTTGTAGATTAGGGAGTATTCAAACAGCTTTTTTTTTCCTGAAGGGATTAGATGAAGGTGGAAATTAGGTTAGAACACAGTCTGTGGAAGGGGTGACCGATATGGACAGAATGACATTTTTTCTTCCATCCTTTTTTTTCTTCCATATAGGGAGATGCAATTTTATTTTCTTGGCTTAGGGAGGATCACTGTGATAACCCTTGCTCTATACGTGGTTTAAAAAAACTGAAATCCTTCAAAAGTATACATTTTAAATCAATGCTATAAGAGTATAAATAATTTTATTCCCAATTGTTATTTAAGAGCTTCCACTTTTGTGTATAGTTTTAAAGTCGTGGCAAGGCCATTGTTTCTGATTGTACGTTAAATTACAAATGTTCAACTAGGAAAAATTAGGAACTGTATTGAATAAAAAATGAATGTGATTGTATGTGATCCAATGTTCAAATAGGAACTTCAATTAGCGTAACAATACCTCAAGGAGATGCATTTATCTCTCTTCCTCCACTTGCACATTCATTCCAGCACTTGTACTTCCCACATGTATGCTTCTGTTGTTTAATGTACTTGTGTTAGGCACCACAACAATGTAATGCTTTAATGTTAAAGCAAACTGGTGATCCCCTGCAGCACCATTCACATTCTAATCAGATTTTTTTTGGATCAGCAATTTTCAATAATTTCCTTGTTTTGATCAATCTTTCCAGGGATGATAAACCCTCCAAAAAAAAATGTGGTCGCTAAATTCACGACTGTTTCTGGGACACTGCTGTGTGCAAATGGCTGCACAGTCAATTCACTTTACAGTATATTTTGTGAAGCGCTTTGAGACAACTCAATGATGTGATATGGCGCTATATCAAATCCAAGGAGTACTACTATTATTCTTTTTTCTTATTTGTAACTTTCACATTCTGCGTCCACAGCCTATCCCCTGCCTGTAGGATCTGTGAGTAGAATTACAGGGTTGTCTATTTGATCTAATTTTCTTGCAAGCAAACACAACAGAGGCAGGGTTATACCGCAGAGAACTTGAAAAACTGGTACTGGAGTGTGAATCCTCATCAAAGCTGGGCTCTACTTCAGTCAGCAATCTCCGAAAAGTTGTATAACTTCAACTAATTTAATTGTGCTTTGCTCTTGAGAAATAAAGCAATGTTCTGATCAAGGTCTTAACCTCCTTATCTAGGATGATCACTGCAGTAATGAGGGAGTGTGCTGTATTATATCTGTATGGAGATGTATCCCACAGAAAAGGTATTAATCCAGTGTCCCATGTATCTGAGAGTAGAATTACAGGGTTGTCTATTTGATCTAATTTGCTTGCAAGCAAACACAACAGAGGCAGGGTTATATCACAGAGAACTTGAAAAACTAGTACTGGAGTGTGAATCCTCATCAAAGTGTCAGAATCCGTCACTGTGAAGCACTCCGGGATACTACCCTGCATAAAGGGCACTATGTAAATACAAATTGTTGTTGTTCACGTGTTAATAATAATACACATTATTCTGAAGAACGGGGAATTCTTCTGGAATCTTGATGTTATACCAAATGCAAATGTATTAATGCAAGAGAAAATGACTCTTCACAGCGTGTACAGCAATAAAAATTTACTTGGCAGCATTTTATCAGTGGCCGATGCAATGTCGGGCAGAACGTTGTTGGGAAAGTGTTCTCAGAATATTAATGTACAAGTTCTTGAATCACTTGTCATTACTTTCTTAGAATTACTAATCAGTTTTGAATTATGCCCAGTCTAAACTAAAAGTCACTGCAGCAAACACGCCACCTAGAGACGTTATACTGAATGCCATTGAATGTTAAAATGTTCGTAAAGGTTGAAACCATATTACATGGATTTTCGAACACCATTCCTAAAAAAAGACACAGAAGCAAAAAAATAATTAGAATTACAGAAAAGATCATTTGAGGTTTTATCTTTCAATGACAATAAATTTAAGCTCTTCTAAGATCTTTCTCCCAGCTCAATCTATAATTTGGATAACTCGGCCTGCAAAGCATTATGATTTCAGGAGAAGGAATCCAAAGAAAACTATGATTTGAATATGACTCAACATTTTCGAGTTGTAAATGTGCCTAAATTAACTAGTGCAGTACCAAAGTCTTAGTTGATTCCTTCAAAAAATGAAGTGACAGCTTCCTGATTCATCAGGAAGAATTGCTAGATATGGTATTGGGTGGGGATGAGAATATGGATCTATATAATCCAAGGTGTGAATACTAATTCTCTTAAAACACAATCTCCAGATAGTGTGGACAAATAGACATCTGTTGAAATTCACATCGCCTCCACTCCAATTTATGCTGCATGTTTGTCGATGAATTGTTGTAAAATTACATCAATTCACTGCCTAATGTCACCAAAAGCATTTCTAATGTACAGTATAAACACAGCATTGGAATGGGGTGCTATATTTATATGGAGTGTTAAATCTTTCCTTATCTAAAATAGATGTAGTAGTCACAGTACTGTAGTGCGTAGTTTTGCAAAATGAACATTGAAATGCTGATCTATTTTGTATTACCATTTCAAAGGTTTGTACATCTGTACCCGTATGATGTAATTATTGGCATATTGCGTGACTGGTTTCTATGTGCTGGGATGATTTATTGTTTTGTTCATTGAGTTACCATTGAGATAATAGTTACTGGAAAATTCCTCTAGCTGAGGTAGATAGATAGCTTCCACACCAAGTTATGACTGAGGCAGGATTACTATAGATGACCCATATCTTGGTAAATCAGCTACATTGATAAATATAATGATTACTGATAAAGAAACCGAGCACTATGTAGTCAACTTGTACTTTCAGATTTTTACGAATGAAGATGGATAAACAAATTCATTGATTTACAAATAGAATGGATTATATTTTATTTTGTGAAGAGCTTTCTCAGTGATTAGTAATTTTATTTCATTCTCTGTGACAAAGCAATAAAACTTGTATTTTTGGGGGGTTGGGGCACAGTGAAACGAAACAGAGCAGTGTTGGCTGCACCTTTTTTCCAGTAATTGCATCAATCCCTTTTATGCCAGTTGGAACAAGTGTGGATTTTTGAGGAAACATGTCAATGGAGGAAATGGTCTTTGTTGCTTAAGATGAATTATTCTGAAGAAATCTGATCATTTATGAATCAAAAAGCCCTATAAAGGGTAGTCTATGTTATTCGGGGTTTCCCACTATAAAGACACAGTAAAAGGATCGCAGATTTTAGTGATCCATGTAAAGCAGATGTGAATTTGCTCTGGAATGGATACTCGTCAATGCTTTCTTGTAGGCATTTGCTTTGTTTTACTACAGTAACATTTTAGTTGATGTAATGTTTCTGACTAACCAAGTATGATTTAAACAAATTGTATGTGGATGATTCAGTCCTTCCCCAAATTCTGGTAACAATTGTGTAAAAATATGCACAAATGAGTTGCATTTGAAGAGTGTTGATCATAACTATCCTGTCTTATGGAGGTTCTGTTTTATTTTTGTTTCAGGTGCTTTTATTATCTGCTGGACCCCAGGATTGGTGGTGGTTCTTCTGGATGGGCTTCAGTGCAAAAGCTGTGATTTGTTATCCATGAAAAAGTGGGCCCTTATGTTGGCTTTAATTAACTCTTTGATGAATCCGATCATTTATTCCCGCAAAGATCGTGAAATGTGGAAAACCTTGAAGAGTATGATTTGCTGCATCTCTCAAAATGCATTTGAAAAGGACCATTCAAAATCGATCTCGACCAGGCAGAGTATCATCACTGAAAGTGGCTACTGTGCTGAAGAACAAGCGTCTTCCTAAATGCTACCAGAAGAAGCTTATAAACTCTGATTATTAAGTGGAGCACTGCTTTCAACATTATCACAGGGATTATCACAAAAGTACCAAATGATTTTGGAAAAAGAAGATTCTTTGGTCCATTTGATCTCATCTTTCCAGAATACTCAGCTTACTTTCTGCCAATTACAGCATCACACCGTTTTGCTTAAATGGGTTAAGCATCCTTGCCCTAATTACCCTTCTTCTAAACTTGTTCCAGTTGTTAATTATCCTCATTGTGAAGAAATATTTCTTTGTGTCTGTCCTGAACTCGCCCTTTGCAGGCCTAATACTATAAAGTACTGTACTTATCCTTGTAAACCTACACAAAACGTGCAGTAAACCATAATATTTGGAATAAAACTAGTGAGATACATTGTTTTACAATGATACTTGAAACATAATATACCAGACTAAAGGTAAACATAATAACATTAAATATCTATTCACTTCTTCAGAACTGAGTAAACCGGGGGAGAAATTGATCAAATTATTGTAAATGTTGAAATTTGCTGACATTTCTCAATGTTTTCAAGGTATATAGAATGCGTCAATTGTGACTATAGATATATAATTTGTTTCCCAATTGGTAACTCAACTGATACCCAGTGTGAGTTATTTTACCCTTTTATAACATGGTTTGGCTACTTGGTTGTGAAAAGACTATCTTGTTAGTCCTGAACTGGTCATTCTCTCTGAAATTATAATATTTCTATATATTTAGAAACGACTAACATACATGTCTAGTCCTGTTAACCTACAGTATAAATTGAGTAAAAATATACAAAAAGTAAACATAAAAGACCATGGTAATATGTATTACTACTTCAAATTTGTTTGTTTGAGGGATTTTTTTGTAGTTAGACTAATGTTTGAATCCAAGTTACAAAATATAAACTTATCCCTTCCATAACACATTAAATGTTTCATTTAAAATGCAGCTTTTATTTGTTAAAAAATGCATGTTTATATGATGAATCCTAGCATATAAAAATGGTTGTAAGGTTCTTCAACTAAAATGTATTTGGGTTTTGCTAACCACATGTATTTTTGTCCTGGTTACCAATCTATAGATATATTACTTGTGGATTTATTTGAGTAATATTCGACAATTATATTCTGTAGCTTTGAGGAGTTTTGCCAAGGTTGATCTTACAGTACTCAAAGCATTTCTCAAGTACTGATATTTTTCTTGGAGAATGCATACAGTAGTACAGGACAAACTACTGTTGTTATGATTTTGATTTAATGCCCACAATTTTGGATATTCAAATCCAAAATGAGTACACAGTTAATGGTGGGGATCTGGTTCATTTCAAAACAATAAAAACATTTTTGGTTTATGTTCTTGATGTTTTTGACCTTTTTATGCTGCTCACATATAAGGATTTGAGGCATTTCTGTCGTACATATTTTATTTTCAGTGTTGTGCATATAAACTCACTGTACTGGTGCTCTCTGCATAAATCAATTTATATGGAGCATCACTGTTTCACTTTAGTGACGATTCTTAGTAAACCAGTCATACATTTATAGCTAAAAAAAATTTTCTTTTTGATGAGATCCCGGTTTGGAAGAGGTTTGTTATTTAGCCATTGATAATGATTTAGCATTGCACTGCCATTAATGAAGGAGCAGCATAGAGATACTCCCTCCCTAAGTCAGTGGAGTAGTGTGGCTACTTTGATTGGATATAGTCATCGGGAGATAGTACAACTGAACCAGCAGGTAACCAACACTGGTTTCCCAACAGTGTCATTACTTAGCTAGAAGTTGAACCTTGCTTTTGTATGACTTGGTACAATGTAAATTTGAACATTCTGTTCAGTGAGTTTGCAAGATGTGCAGTTGCAATTTTTACTGCATGTTTTGATCAAATTTTTATAATGTAACATTTTTCAAATCTGTATTAAAATGTTCTACTTGTCAAAATGAGAATATATGTGTGAGAGTTGACTTTCTATTAAAAATTGGGTGTGTTCTTTTTAATTACACATTTTCTACTGTAATTATTAGCACAACAATTTACATTTATGGATAATGAGATACAATAGATAGAGGCACAGAGTTTTTTTACTTTATATTTTTTAAATTTCTCACTCTCTGTAATGATGCCAGTATGGGGATACTGAAGTCATTACAGACAGCAGAAAGTTCAGAGAAGCCCAAAGATTTTTTTTTACATTTTTTTATTTTATTTGCCGTTGCTTGTAATGGTGCCAGAATAGGGATACCAGCATCATTACAGACAGTGGGAAATTCAAATCTGTGTGAAATATATATGAATATAGGCGTTGATCAAATTGTAGATACATTTATTGGAAAACATATACATTGTCTATTTTCCTCCTCATTGTCAATCTGTTGTGAATACATTCACTTTGTGTATATGTTAGCACTTTTTAAAGTATTTAGACTTGATATAAAGTTATTTTAATTCTTGGTTTTTAACAATTTTAATATTTCTTAACATTGTTCAATGCTTTTTTAACATTTTGCTTTTGTAATAAACCCTCTTTCTTCAAGTTAAAATCCTAGATCCACTCCTGACGATATATAGATTCATTCCATTTGATGACAATTACGTATGAAGCACTTTGTGTCTTTTCAACATTACAAGCGCTATATCAAATGCAAAGGTTATTATAATGGTATGATTTAAATAACCCAAATCAACAATTCTCTTTCCGGGTAAGCAGCTCATATGCAAACTGGTGGTATGTGAGAAAACAGCATTCACACTGAAGTTAACAAGTAAGTCACACATTCTCTGCCTTTCACCCAATGCTGCTAGTTATCAGATGCACTCTATAGTTTTTCAGCCAGCTGGTTGATTAAAGAAAGTAGGATGCATGCTATTGAGCTTGATCAAAACACCAACTAGGTGTTGCATACTTGCAGGTTAATTTGAAAGGATGTTTTAATATAGTTTAGAGAATTTATTCCTAACCTGCTGTTTTCAGTTTTTTTTCACAGATCTAAATCTAGAGCTCTCTGTTGTTTATCGTTTCTAACAATAAAATGCTTAATATCTTGACATCCACCAAAAGGTAGCAATTTTATTAGCTTGTACTCATTGGGTAATTGCGCTACTGGTTAGATAATGGCAACAGACAACAATCTGCAAAGAGTCTTGAAGCACCTGCCAGGCATTATTATTGACACATAAGAATACAGATACAAAGCTACTAGTTGTTCCTTGATGAAAGCTTTCTTAAGGAAACAATATTATTGTGCCAGCAATACAAATAGTAGTTCAAAATGAAAGAGCAAGATGAAAATGTTCATATTGTTTTTTGCAATGTATTCAGAGCTAGAAAATATTTAAATTGTGTATTAACAAGGTTAACTACAATTGAAAGAATTGCATTTGTAGTTAAGAATCGCAGTTAAATGCAAAAACCTCAATATATGTGCAGCAAATAAAATTCCTTATCCACTGAATTTCAGATTCAATTACAATAAATTGTTCTTTATTTGATCAATGTTCACGTACAGATGGAAATGTCTACTGCTTTTCAGATGGAAATTCATTTTTAATTGCACGACCATCTTGATCTCTGCTGTCATTCTCCTTTCTCTGCCATGTAATTATCCTCTTAATTAATTTGGTGCACTTGTCAGGAGTAATTGTGCAACCATCAGAACCTATTTCTCTTAAGGGTTGTTAAGCTGCCGTTATTGGTGGTTTAATTCTGTTTGTTTGACTATCTGCCTTAGCTAAAGTCTGGCAGTTGTTCTATAATGAAAACTTTATAGTTTCTTAACTTCATTGCTAAATTTGCAACGTTTTTATTTTTCCCAAATGTGTTTCAGGATCAGTCCATCGTTGATTTATTGATTTTAAATGTTGTATTTGTTTCTAGCTGATTCTAATTGACTTTCATTGTCGATGCCAGCCAGGACCTTTTAAGATCTGAATCAAATGTCAGAAATGCTTTATAATTACTGAAACTTCCAAGGTCTGTCGTCACTATCTTCTTTCATCAACACTGAATTTCCAGAAAGCTGCACCTCTCTCATCTCAAATACTTAATACATCTGATTCATTCACTGGAAGGGAATTCTTGTTAAACAAATGTTCAAATTCCATAGCTCAGGTTCCCATTAATTGCACAAGAGCCAAATATAACAGAACATGTTTTCAATGCTTTATTCCAAGCCCCATTGGAAGAAACTAAACAGGGATAAAAACAGATTGATCATATTTACATGGGCAGACATGTACCTGAGACAGATGCAAGTTAACTTTCTTTTTAGCAATCTGAAAACATAACTAAGCAAACATTTATTTATCAATAGAAATGTGTCATTCTTTGCAGTAGCATGATCTTCGAATTGTTTAAAAAAAAATTAATTATTCTTTTCACCCATTTACTCGAAGTTTCAGGGGTCGTCTATCTATCCATCCATCCATCCATCCATCCACCATCCGTCTGTCTGTGCTTCAAAAAGGATTTCAACAACTGATTGACATAGAGACATGATTTATACCTCAACGGAAAGGTCTTGCATCTAGGAGTGACATGGGCAAATTTGTTTTCAGGTTTCTCCTATCAATCATGAATTAATTTCAGTTTTGCATTATTCACTGTAGTTACACCTGGTGGAGGCCGCGTCAAAGTGGAGCTGTAGCATCGTGTGTCGCAAACCACATACATATGTACGCACACACTGCAGTTACACCTGGTGGTCGCGCCGGATGGTATCCTGCGTCACAGAGCAGGGACTTAGCCAAACAGCAGGAACAAAATAAAGAACACAGACAAAGCTAAGCCGTGGCAACAACAACAAAATTATATTTTTAAAACACTGAGTCCTCCCAAAAGGAGTCAACCCACAGGAGTCCTCCCAGATGAGTATAGATAAAGATGAAATGTCTGTGTGTCCATCTACGTTCCATATTGGATCCTTTGGTTGCAAGCGTAGCTGCAACGGGTACAGCTAGTATTTTATAATCTGGCTCCATGGTTGTTAGGGTGCAAAAGGTGTGAGAGCCACATAACCAGGTTGTTCATTCTGTGTCATTTTGTCATCAGTGAGCTGCAATCAGGATTATTGAAGGCAGTAATCAGCATCATTCTACCCGTCAGTGATTGGAGAAAATAATCAGTGTCCCTGATAGACCTGACACAGACAGATCAGAGCAACAGCTAACAAGCAAACAATTGAACTACCACCGATTATGGGAAGCAACAAATTTACTGCTGTTTTACTAGACTTATCCTTTCTCTTTCTTGTAAGTATGGATTTTATTTTTACTAGAGAACATAGTGCAAACGTGTTCTGGCATCCTGAGATCAGTATACACAATGGATCTACATTCTATATTTACTTTAGTGCCTTATTGTAAATTGCTTGAAGACTATATTATAACTTGTTTAAGATAATAGTCACACATTTACTAGAATAAGATTAATAAAGGCATGAGATGCAGGAGTCTTGACAAGTTTTAAAGCTCTTTAAATTTCTTTTCATATTTCTCTTGTCAAATTTTCCAAGATTTAATAAATCAGAAATCTTCTTTCTGCACCTATTCAAGTTGAAAATCAATGCATTTTAAGTCTGGGACTTTATGCTGTTAATACATATGTGCAGGTTCATTTTCTTTTATATAAATGAAAAATAATTGTCCTACATTTAATGGAACTATCATCTTCATTTTAGGGAGTTAAATAAAGCTTTCCCCCCCATGATTTGTAATTTGGATTTGGGTGTATTTTAGATTTAGATTTTTTTTGAATAATAGTAATAATTATGTTCGAATCGTGATAATTTTGTTTCAATCCCAGATGTGATCCCGATATAAATGCTTTTATTTTGCTAAAACTGCCATTACCTTTGGTTAGGAGTTATGTAGCAATACCTGTCTCTTTTACATGTGAACAAAGTTATAGCGATGATATTGCCCGTCCTGCCTTACCTGTTGGATCAGTAACTTTAATTCACTGACTTTGGAGTTAATCTTTCTGTGAAGGTTGCAGAGTGCTGGCATGATTTGGATAACACTGAGTATGACTGTTGGCCCATCGAGCAACCAGATGAACACAACATGATCGACTGTGGGGGTAAGATTGAATATAAACACACTAAAAACATATACCCAGATCGATCACTTCTGTGAGTGTGTCAAACCTGATTACATTCAGTTGCATCATATGTTCAGGGTTGCATTTCAATAACTGGTGTTTGTGTGTGTGTAAAAAATAAGACAAACTGACTTCTCAAAATATTTTTCTCAACGTATTTGCTTCCAGAAAATAAATCACATACCACCCAACCTGATTTATTCCCTCCCCCATCTTTTGTGCAAAATTACTACCATAAAAAATTGTCTTGATTGATAATTTTGTGTCAAGGGAAAATGCAAGGACAGCTGGAACTAAATTGTTGGAATCATCAGATTGCTTGTTAAGGAATTCCTGGGATTTATTTGCTTTTAAATAATGTTTTTGCATTTAGCTTCTCCATAATTACAAATTCAGATAGTTATTGATTGCTGCTACAATTATGGTTTCCTTTCCTTAAGGTCTGGAAATGAGCTGGGTGGACAGACCCCCGGAAAAAGTGCGAAGTGGCGAGGAATTCAATGTTACCTATAGTGTTAGTGCTTCCTACGGATTTTATCAGATGGCAGTCACACAGGGAATTCTGAAATTCAGGTGGGAATTGATCTGAAATTGTAGAATTGTCTATTTGGTATTATCGCCAACAATCCTCAATAGATAAGAAAGGTTTGCTTCCTGAAAGGAAATGTTGCCGTTACACCTGCTCATGATGTGCCTTTCCTGCCTCTCTGCCATAAATGGGTGTGAGTGACGACCCCACTCATGAACTTAAGATCATCAGCAGTGCCCTGGAATACTGCGCACCTGCCTGGCTCAGGAACTGGACTGCCGCGATCGCCACAGAGGGCTGGCTCGATTCTGACATTCCATTGCCAGGCATATGACCTTGGAGCTATTTATGCCGTTAATTAAAAAAAGGTTCAAAACTAGCTGAGAAAACTAATTTTGAAAAGGAACTACAATTTTCATACTTAACAGAGTTAAATGATGACTCCACATTATCAAAAAATTTTAAAAAAAGGTCTAATGGAGAATAATGATTTGGGGAACTTAGGGAGAGAGTAGATGCAGATTCACTTTATAGTGACCTCGTTATCCAATGTTATTCATGTGCTGGATTCCTCTCTCAGCTTTCCCCTCAGCGCCTTGGGACGTCCTCCTGACGTGAAAGGCGCTTTATAAATGGAATCTTGTTGTTGTTGTACACTAAAATATTATCAAGAGTGTTAAAATATCATGAAATGGGCCATTGCTGATTTCTGTAATACTATGGTTACTTCTCAAAGGCTCCTAAGTGGCATAATTAGGTAAAAGAGAAGTCTGATTATTGCGAAGTTCTGACATGCCACAAGGCAGTCAGGTCTGAAACTGATCAGAATATGGAAAAGTCCAGATGTACTCCTGCCTGTGAGTTATTGAATGATATTCAACAGATGGTGTATTTAAAATGTTTATGTGTAGCAAATAATTGATATTGGTTTCTGGCTCGATGCCAAAATAAGTACATAAGCAATTGATTACTCACTCCAACGGGAAATCAAATATTTTTTTGCAGGAAACATAAGATGTCATTAGCACCGCCCTATTATTTATTTAATTAAAATTAATTTAAGATCATTAGTGAGGTCTGAACTGGAAATCATTGAGAAGGGTTTGGACACTCAGATAGAAATGTTCTTGTTTTTTTTCATGACTATGTATTCAATACTATTAATTTATGCACAATGGACTAATATAGTGAAATGGATACTATTGTTTAGCTTTAGTGTGACTGACTGCTAAAACATTTCCTACCTAAAAGTCAATTTGGCTAAATTTTGCACATAATGGTTGATTCAATTTATGTGTTTAGAAATGCAAAAAGTTTAATTATGAATCCGATAACCTCGCTTCAAGTTAAACTTTCCATGTTTTTCTTGATATGTAGCAATGCAAGTGAAGCAAAGAAGTTCTGTGAAGAAAAGGAGTGCCCAGCAAACTGGAAAGATGCGTCTGAAAACAACTGCTGCATTTACCATGCCAACATTCATTCCTGCCCCATGGCATTTATGGTGTGTACTTTTTAAATTTGCTCTTATGTGCTGAATAGTCCACAAAATATTGAATAAAATGACACTAATCATATTTTATCATTTGTCTTATATGAAAGTTTGGAAAATCTATCTATTAGTTTACATTTAACTATCTCAAGGTCTAAATTGCAAATTTCACAAACGTTTTTTGAAACGGCAGATTGCGTATGAGTCCCAGATCATATGTTGAATGAACGGTTTTACTCTGGAGAATTATTGGCTGGGACATTCGAAACAAACTCCCTTTCTTTTACAAATTGTGTGATGGGATCTTCAGTGTCCACCAGAGGAGAATATTTAAGGCAGGATTCCAAGGGTTTTTAAACCTTGTTTGTTTCAGAAAACAGGTGGTATATGTGGTCCTTGGATTCCAGATGATGGAAAAATAGTTACTCACACAGTGTCACAGGCTGGGAAGATGTCCCAACAAAACTGGACAACTAAGGTATTGTTTATGGGCAGTCTGATTGTTTACTGTTGATGTACAACGTTTACAAACTCTATTTAACTTACAGACCTAAAAAAATCTACATTTGTTACAAAAAAAATGAAACTAACATTATTGTATTTACTCGAATCTAAGGTGTCCCTGATTATAGAGCATAGGAGAGTTTGGAGAAAATAGAAAGAGCTTTGCTTTAGTTCTAAAGTGCCATTGATTCTAAGCCACACCCTGATTTTGGAGGTGCCTTGTGATTAAAAACTCACCTTCAATTTGAGTAAATACAGTATTTTATTAGAGTGACGTCTTTAAGTTTATGATTAATGTATACATAAAGCACACAGCCCAGGATTTTTGGTGGTATTTTTTAATAAATTATTTTGTAAAACAGATTGTGCGACAGCATTTAATGAGTGTCTGTGACTGTTCGGTGTCCTATTGTTTAGCATGATCCTCTGTTTTACAGGGATCAGGAATAGATTAAAGTCTTCCTTTTCTTTTGTCTTAGTGTTATGCCACAAGGTTATCTAGTTGGGTGCCGGGATGTGAATAAATTGTATTATGTTAAACATTATTCATAAATACAATTTACTGAACCTTATAAGATAAACTTGATTGATTCACTAGTAACTTTCCTTAAACTAGGCTACACTGTTTTAATTGTTTAATAATATACATAAATGAGTATATATTAAAAAAAATAAGACGAGTTAAGCTTTTTGAGGTAATCATAATCTTACAGCACCTGAGAATCTCCATGAATACTCCATGCTATTTTTAGTTTACCTTATAATGTTACAGGAGCTCTAATCTGATCCTAAATTGGATCCATTATCTTTTTGAGCAGGTAACCACAAATTAATATGTTGTTAGCTACTCATAGGATTCATTCTTGTGCCAAATAACAATACTGAGGATTTTATGATTGATTTATTCAGATCTAATCGCAGTAATGCTTGTTTTTTTTTCTTCATTTGCACACCAACAAATATCACTCCTTTGTATAATAATTTCCAGGTTGTCTTAGTCCTCGATGGGATTACTTCATTAATTGCACACGTTAAACTAGGACGTATGCATGCTGCTTTGGAAGCAAAGACAACAGTATTGAGTGCACAAGGTATTGGTGCATGCTTGCCACTTTGGACTTTTTTAAACAACTTAAGTTTTTATTGCTGTGGGATTCATTAGCATGAATACATGCATATTTTGCATGCATTGAATATTGAAGAATAACTACAGTATTTTAAATAAATGTCTTCATACAATGATCATGTCTTTAGATTGCATTTCTGATTACTTGCACAAGATGAATCATGTTTCCTTCTTAATCTGTGTTATTAGTTTGCGATGATGGAGTTTGTGATGGTGATGAACGATGTGATACATGTCCAGCTGACTGTGGAGCATGTCCCATGCCTACGACAATCAAAGTTTCAATAGGCCTTCCAATTGCTCTGTTCTGCAGTGGGTTTATATTCACTCTGGTGGTAGGTAATAAATAATACTTTGATTAGTGTCTTATTGTGTCAAATTATCCTAAAGTACTTAAAATGAGTTGTATTGGAAATGTATTATTAGGCCCTATGTGACATTCTTAAAATAGTACCAAAGGATTTTAAGCATTCACCTGAGATCCAGTGATATCCACGTGCGCAACCAACAGTAGAAAAGTAAAACAAACCACATAAATCTCCTGGATGGTGATTTCTCAATACACCACAATGTTTTGGGAAGTTCAGGTATAAATGGCAGAGATTTATGGAAAAGCCAACACACATACCACCCTGTGTCCCACTGTTTTTCTAATCTTCTCTTTATCCAGTTTCAGTTTACTTCTACATTATTTGTAAACGTTTTAGTATTTACAGTACCAGAAGCAAAAGATGCTTTGGGATGAGAGCTGGATCATCAATTTGAAAGAAATTAAATCAGGTACTTCGCCAATTTTAAGATTCTGAAGATATGCACTCACTTTCCAGAACGTACCTGTATGACACTTTCAGGATTTTTGTCAAGCCACTGTTATTATTATTTTCAGGGAGCGCATTTCAAATGGGATTTGGCAGCATCGAAAGTGTACAAGCAAATGGAATTTCAAATGCAAGCCATGTGACTGATATAACCACAGACGCACATATTCCAGGATCAACACTTAAACACTTTATACAGACTGGCATTTAGTAAGTTAACTCACCATTTTCAATGGTGTTATAACTGATTTTATGTTTGTTCACATACTATTTGTATGAATACAGATAATTTTACCACCAATGCTAAAATTCGCCCCAGGAGATAATGTAGATTGGGTGTTTTTTAATTAGGTTTGTTTTTCATGAACTATGGAGGGAGCAGGCTTGATGGTCTGTATGGCTGTGACTCATTCAATGCTTTGTTACTGAAAATTTATTTCCCTTTCTGTCGCAGTGATGGCAGGTCAGTGGCTATGAAATGGATCCACAAGAAAACATTTGCTCTATCAAAAACTGTTCGGAAAGAGGTTAAGCAAGTAAGGTATGCAACACCGTTTTAGTTACTGGAGAGAAATAGAAAGAGACAGAGATACCAGAACCTAATGATTTATCCAAGTTGTCTATTTTAAGCAACTGTCTCTTTATTTTGGTGTTATCAAGAAAATTAGCATGTAACTCATTGAAAACGTGCTTTAAAAGATAATTAACATGTTAGGCCAATATTGTAGATGATGGTTAATCCCGTTGATGGCAGTATGTGTTCAGCAACTATCTCTCTCTGATTTTTCAGAGAACTCGATCATCCAAATCTGTGCAAGTTTATTGGTGGCTGTGTTGAGGTCCCCAATGTTACCATAGTTACCGAATACTGCCCTAAAGGCAGTCTGACTGATGTTCTTTATAGTGACGACATTCCACTAAACTGGGGCTTCAGGTAAATAATAAAGACACAATTTATCCTTCTGTATTAAATGTGGAAAGTTTGGCTGATGCTTGAAAAAAGCCTTCATGTCAGATCTGATTCTCTACATTCAGTATCAGACTTGCAAAGTTATCTTTATTACAGAAAGTCTCTTCTGAGGATGTGTAATGGAACTTCTTCAATCTACATTATTTCTTTCATTTTATTGGGATTTTCTAACTGGAACATGTGACCACACATTGGTTCTTCCTTGTCTTTAGTTTTCTTACCTACACACTTGATAACTTGATAATATTGCGTTTTGCGCACAAAATATACAGTCAATTCACTTTACAGTATATTCTGTGAAGCATCTGAGAAGTCTAGAAGATGTGAAAAGCACTAAATCAAATGCAAGGATTATTATTATTGTTGAAACTATTCAACGATTGTTGTACTGCTTCTATGCCAGTGATACAAATCCTATGTGAATATATTTGGGCAGTTATGATTGACTTCTTAATAGCTGTGGTTGGACAATGTAAACGTTTAAAATCCAATACAAACTGCCACTAAGATGTCAAGTTCACTCAGAGGAGAGTAATAGGGTGTCAGAGAGTGTATTTTGTGGGAAATGGAAACATTTGCACCGGTATAGAAGGAATTGACTCTCTTTTTAGGTTGGAGATTAAGACAACATTATTAGTACAGATTATACACTTAAGAAGAGAAACATTCTCTTGTTTGGTTTTCTTTAGATTGTCTTTTGCAACTGACACAGCACGGGGAATGGCATATCTTCACCAGCACAGAATTTATCATGGACGTTTACAATCAAAAAACTGTGTCATTGATGATAGATGGGTTTGCAAAATTGCAGGTAATCTCAGATTTATAAACTTTAAAAATCTTAGAGTGAATTGCAGACTCCTGCAAGGAACAGCAATGTTCTCAACAAAATATTAATTTTATTCTGTAAAGATTACGGTTTAACAACCTACAGAGCAGAAGATTCTGAGGAATTTACTAACCTATTCAATATAAAGCCTGGACGTGTTTACTGTGCTCCAGAAGTTATTTCATGCATCAGTTCCAGCCTGACACCAGCAGCAGACGTTTACAGGTAATGAAATTAACAACAACAACAACTTGTATTTATGTATCGCCCTTCGCGCCAGATGATGTCTCGGATCACTTAAAAGTTCAAATGGAAACCTTCCTTTTTACAACTTGATATACAAAAATTAACATATTAAATTCATGTTTTTCTGAATGATTTTATGAAACTTTATTTTCTAATTAAAATAAGCAGAGTGAGTTACACTTATTACCTATGTTTTTCAATCTCCAGCTTCTCCATAATATTGGTTGAAATTGCGACACGTTGCAACCCTGTTCCTGTATGTAAATATTCTGGACTAACTTTTTGATGGATTTTATGTGGTTTCAAACATTTGATTGAAATTTCAATATATAATATATATAATTTATTTTAAAGGAAAATATAGACCTTCAGAAACTTGAATTGACGTGGCGTCCTCCTCTCCCTGAAATTATAGCTAGAAAGTCTGACAGTGACTGTCCAAATCAAGAGGAATATATAGAGGTAAGGTTTGTGAGAACAGAAATAGCATTGTTACACTGCATCAGTTATTAATTATTCAAAGTAATCCTTCGCCTACAGATACACACTCATTGCATCTGAGCAATACTTTAAATTGTTTCAAAATTTGATATATAAAGTGTCATATCAAATGCATGGATTATTATTGTAAATTAAGTAGAAAACGTGATGGGTGTTGATTTATGTACGTGTCTACTTTTAAATTGATTTTTCTATTTCTAAGTTGGTGACAAAGTGCTGGGCACAGAACCCTCCTCTGAGGCCACCATTTGAACATGTCAAAAAAATGCTAGAAAAAATGAACCCTAACAAAGTGAGTCCGGTTGACATGATGATGAACCTGGTAAGTGTATTTTGGTTCATTTGCTCAGTTTCCTGCTTTGCTGAGAGACGCATCAGAATTTTGGTTTCCAAGGAAGTTTCTCCGCAAAATAGTACGTTGAACATTTTAAGTACAGGTTAAATCACATTCATTTGAAACCTAGTGACATGGGTACTATTTAAGACTGTGCAATATTTAATTACATATCGTCTCCATTTCTTTGGCAACAAATTATAGTTTAGTACACAAATTAGCGAATTTTTTTTTAAAAAAAGCTACAATTTCAGGTTTCCACATCCGAGCAGCTTAGCACTGTTGCATATATTCAGTAGGTTTGGCTTCCAGGTTTGCAGGGTTAACAGGAATTCAGCAGGAAGAATTCATGCTCCAATGATTGGGATGAAAGTCTCCTCTCTCTGCAATAACAATGCTGTGTCGAACATCTTCGTAAAGTCTTAGTCCATGGGTTCAGAGTATTATAGGAGTATTATATGTGGAGTCCTGTAGCTCAGTGGTTAGAGCACTCGCTATGCAAGTGAGAGACCTGAGTTCAATTCCAGGCAGGGCGAAACCTTGGGCAAGTTTCCTTATTCCACACAGAGCCTAATAATAATCCCTCCAAAACCAAAAACAATAATAAATTGGTCATTTTCAACCCATGACTGTTTGTGGGACGTTGCTGTGCGCAATTGGCTGCCGCGTTCGCCCACAAATATACAGTCAATTCACTTTACAGTGTCTTCTGTGAAGCACTTTGGGACGTCCTCCCGACGTGAAAAGCGCTATATCAAATGCAAGGATTATTAAGGAATATTATTATTATAGAATGGGAAGTGGACAGATTCATATCAATATGGAGTCTTTGCCAGTGGTAGGTTTTTGGCAACAAACATTTACATAGCACCCTTGACATCAGGAGGCTGTCTTAAAGAAGGACAAGGTGGAGGTACTCCGGGATAGAGTTCCAGATAGAAGGGGCAGAGTAGCTGAAAGCTCATTCTCCAATTGTGAGGCAGATTAATTCGGGGATGGGGCGGGGAGGAAAACACGAAGTAGGCCACCAGTGTTTGTTGAGCAGATGGAGTGGAGGTATCACTGGAGGTGACACCAGTAGAGTGGGGAAAGGCGGTGGAGAGATTTGAAAGTGAAAAAAAATTCCTTAATTTCAGCCCACAAATTCACCAAAATAAAAAAACCCGCAAATCTCCAGCAGACTCAAGGCATGATTAACTGATAAATTGAAGTGCCTCCAACAGAACTAGGTTACCTTGACTAGTCATTAGGCACAACGCTTTAAATATTTATTTTAATCCAATCTTTGTTTTATATATAGTAAATTAATCTTACATGTAATTATGAGGTAGGTTCTAGTATTGCCGAAGAAATATGCTGCAACAGCTTTCATGCTGGTGAACAACTTCAATTAATTATCCAGCTATCTGAATAAAATTAGCAAAGCAGAAGATCTGACAATCCGGAGTGACATTGTGAGCTTTGTATAAAATCATGTAACCTTGGCGCATGCCCTCTACCATCAAGAATACACTAGCACAAGTCTTCTGTTTATTCTAGATGGAAAAATACAGCAAACATTTGGAAAGTATTGTGGCTGAAAGAACTCAAGACCTGCTCCTGGAAAAACAAAAGACAGATTGCCTTTTGTACAGTAAGATATCTTAATTTGAAATTGGCCTTCAATGCTCTCAACTGAATAGCGTCGCAGAAATCATCTTTTGAGTTTATTGTTCTGTTACTTGTATCACCAGGTATGTTACCAAAGCAGGTAGCTGATGATCTCCGTCAAGGAACTACTTCAGAAGCCCAAACGTATTCTAATGCTACAGTGTATTTCAGGCATGTCATTTAGACATTGTGATCTTGAGTTAATTGTTGTAATGGTGAGAGTGCTGTAACTGTTGTTGAGTAGATCTAGAATTTTGCTGGCCAATTTCACCAAACTGTTGCATTTTATTGTGATGGATATTCCTGGGATAAGATCTGAACTCTCTTGATCTATGAGCAGCAGTCAAGTAAATAGTGACTCAGTTAGGTCAGTGTCTTGTCAAGTTGATGTTGGGTTCAATGTTAAATACTGCTATTAATGTCAGAATTTTGTTGCATTTTCGGAATTTCTTTTCCTGACTCTGTTAAACATGAAACCTTTTCTGTTTGAAATGCCCCAATTAAGGATCTCTGCCAACTATTANTTTTTTTAAAAAATCTCCTGTTTATTGCAGTGGGCCTTAATTTTCCATTAGTTATTCTGTATGTGGGAGTGACACAATGGCTGAAACATAATTCTCACTGATCCATACAACTTCTTGACCCACAGAATTTCACTCAGATCTGACAATGTTGGGTGAACCAATCTTTGATTTGGATTTATGTTTTGTTACCAATACGTTCACTTTTGTGTTTGTGTTTTCTTCCAAGTTGCTATAATAATGAATTGCGTTTGGTGCCCAAGTATGCAGGACTATTTCTTTAAATTAATAGTTAAATGTAGTTTACTCTATTCCCCAAACTCTTGTCATTTGTACATTCTTGCATTCTTAAATCTCTACTAATTATCCTGAATTACTTTATTCTCGCTACTAGAGAGAGAAAAAATTAATTAGGAGAGAATAGTTGTTACAGGTGATCAAAATATGTTTGCCTTTCTGATTACGATTCTTTATTTTCTGTAGTGATATTGTTGGATTTACTCAGATTTCAAGTGACAGCACTCCTTTCCAGGTAGTGGATTTTCTGAACAAGCTGTATACTACCTTTGATGATATAATTGATAACTATGATGTCTACAAAGTTGAAACAATAGGGGATGCATGTAAGTATACATTAACATAGGATACCTGTTTGAAAAAGAACATGGATTCTGAAGAATATGCTATTTAAGTAATACAATAATATTCCAATTTTATAGAATAATAATTATTGCATTTGATCTAGCACCAATAACATCACAAACATCTCAAATATCCTCACAAAGTTTCTGTGAAGTATATTGTATTTGTAAGCAAATACAACAGCCAATTTGTACACAGAAATATACCACAAACAGTCACAAAGTGAATGGACGATTTTATTTGGATGATTGTTGGCTAGGGCATGGGGAAAAACTCTCTTCTGTTTTTGAATAATACCACAAGATCCTTAACATCCACCTGAACAGGCAAACCAATCTTTGTGCAAATGTCAGCCCCCAGCTTTGCACTGCACCTCACTCCCAAGGAAAATCGTCACTAGTTAGCTTCTGTATCTTCACTCAGTCATTGACCCAGTAAGAAGATTTTTTTTACCAGTTGTGGGTATGGCTGTTACCCATTATAAGTTTCAAAATATTACAGTATTGATGTATCTCACATAAAGGCACAAATAGACAATAGACAAAGCACAGATTATAGTTCCAGCGATAGTCCTCTGTTGGAGTGAATCAAGACGTGGTTTAATGTTTGTTCTAATCTTTGGCCTCATGGCTTTGAGCCAGGGTGGATTTGTCTGTGTTTTATTTAAAAAAAACAATGATCTTCATTCTGTGAGGAATAGACTTGCATTGTAAATCCCAGTTGAAAAGCACAAAAACATCTCTAATAAAGTGTTTAATCTACATAAAACTATTAATCTTTTCCTATTTGCTCATGACAGTTTAATGTAGATTACATTTTGCTTCATTAAGAATATAGTAACAAATGTAAGAATTCAAGTTATTTGAAGCCATCAGTGCTGCAGTGTTTCTTGCAGCGTTGTTCTGCCCACAGTAAAAAATATTTAAAGTCATGGTTAGTACATATTAATACTTATGAAAATTAAATCTTTATTAATATTTATGGGAAAACCATATTATAATTGCAAAGTGTAAGGAGAAAAGTGAAAATATCAGGACAACATTATACAATCACTACCAGTGATCTACAAATGTCTTTAATACATTATACAGTACCAAGACAATAAATGGTCACCATTGTAAACAAGTAACAAAATGTTCACTAGTTTTAGTCATTGAATATGATGGGACCATTATTATACTGATATGTAGTAGACATAAATTTACACTGATGAATGTTGCGTGTGTGAATATCTAGTATACTTCAAATACTGCTCACACGATAAGCACACAATTGCTACTCTTATCCTTAAAGCCTCTTTGCCACACTTTTGTTCTGATTTGTGCTAAATTATGGACAGTTTTGGTCCTATTCATCCATGATCACCAAGATTAACGTTGAAACTGCCTGAAATGTAACTACCAGGAAGCTGTTATATATTTTCACCGAGACTGTTCCAGCTCCGGTAGAACAAAATGATTAACCAAATGAAGAACTTAGAAAAGGATGTACAAATTGCAAAATAAAGTACTGAAAGTGGCTACCACTTTGTTGATATCTGTTTCTATTTTGCTTTCCTACTTCTCTGTGTAGATATGGTTGTCTCCGGAGTGCCTAACGAAAATGGTATAAACCATGCAGGTGAGATTGCAAGTATGGCATTGGATTTAGTATCTGTCTGCTGCTCCTTCAGGATTCCGCACAAGCCAGACATAAAGTTGAAAATCAGAGCAGGCATTCATTCAGGTAATCAGGCTCTGCCACTGTTAAGTGCTTTGAGACGCTACCCTACGTGGAGTGCGTTATATAAGTGCAAGTTGTTGTTTTAACCATTTTAATATTTCAGCTGCTGATAACTGCAGAGTTTGACAACCAAATTAAACAGGCTGGCCACATTTTTCAGAGATGCTCTTAAGCTTCGTGTTTTCTTCTCTTGATTCTAAAATTCCAAAAAGGTCCTTTAGTGGCTGGAGTAGTTGGAACCAAAATGCCTCGATACTGCTTGTTTGGGGACACCGTGAATACGGCATCGAGGATGGAGTCAACAAGTGAAGGTATACAAGCCAGTGAATTAGTTATTGGATTAACTATGATTTTAGATCCTTACAGAGTGTATTTTCAATAAATTTGGGGCAATTATTAAATTATGTTTCCTCCTTGAAGAATGAATTGTACGTACACATGGTGGCAGAATATTTAGTGACTAATTAGTGTGGGTATTTTTTTTAGTGGGGGTTTTCCATTAGAGGTCATTTTAGCACAATGACAAATTCCCATTAGATTATGGGTATTTTAATTCCTTTTTAATAACATTAATCCTTGGACTGGTACTTATAACAACACACACCTGAGCATATAGAGCTGCTTATCTGTTCACGTAAACACTTGGTGTTCTGACCTTTGCAATCTGCCTGCAGTTGCCTCGGTTTTCCTAACATAATGGGAAAATTAGGGGGTTACTGCTGGAACAGGGCAATTCAAGTGTTAACCGCTTTGTGAACCTCTTTATTTTAAGGACAATAGATGAGTTTTACAAGTAAAGAATGCTGGGCTATTTATCTCTGTTGATAAAGAACTGTGGATCTTTTTTCTAAATGCTGTTCACTTTAGAGAAGCAGCAGCTGATGTCGGGAAAGAATTGAAGTGAATTCTGTTAATATCAAGGTTTTCACAATTGATCAGTCAGTCAGAAACCTTTCATATTGTAATACAATTTGCCTACAAATACACAGCAACTACACATCACAGTGAATCCTGTGAAGCACTTTGAGACACTTGACAATGTGATAAGGTGCTATATCAAATGCAAAGAATTATTATAATTAATAATTTTATACACTAATTACAAATAGGAAATTAGGAAAGGCTACTTCAGTGCATCCTTTTACATACCACTTATAATCTACTCCAGTAAGAATTCTATCCTACATAATTAATCAGCCAAGGAAAATGATTGCAACATTTTTCCCCGTCGCCTCCCAAAAAATAGTCCAGTAAGATTCCACAATATTGATTTAGAGTTAAATCTCCATCACTCAGACCCGGCCAGCTGCTCTCCACAGATATCTAGTCCCAGCTGCACAGAAACCATCGTGCTTCATGGAGTATTTAATCGCCTTTTCATGCTGTCTAGAATATTCAGCCTATTCCTAACCAAATAATTATCTTCTCTAAAGGACAAAGTTGAAAGCACACATATAGTGGTGTCTTATCACTCCAGTCACAATTTTGTCATGAGGTAAAGCTGAAACCATGAACAATTACCATGCAGAAAAGCTGTGATATATTCTTGATTTCTAGTATATTACTAGTGGTGAACTTAATTTGGAGGACAGGGACTACAAAAGCCATGCTTACCCAGAGATCATTAGGCTAACGTGTGAAATACTTTTTATTCTATCAAAACCTCTAAGCCTAGGAAAATCTACAAATCCCTCAGAATGCACAGTAGGGATTAGCAATCCGTGGATATGGTTTTGTCTGGCTGTTAATTGCAGTCAGATTAGTGTTGTGATGTTCGCAATGCAGTGGCTAAATCTTCTGAGATTCAGTCAATCTAACCAAATAGGCCAGCTCTCAGCACGTACTGTACTATATAGTCATATGGTAACAAGTAATCCACCAAAACAAAGCACTTCAAAGCACAAGCAAAATTTGCATTTACTATGTATTAAATGTACAGTTTCTTTAAACTAACAATGTCAGCAACAGTGTATTTAGTTATGTTTCTTGTTGACGCATCTGATGACTTGATATCTGTCAAGTGCAATCTTAACCAGGAGAGGATTCTCTGATGATTCTCTCGAAATTGTGATTAAGAAAGATTTGTTCACTCGATGCTAACCACACAGATCAGATTATCGTGCAACAAAGGAAACAGCAACAAAGCAGTAAAAAAAATTTCATATCAGTTGTGTGCCTATATATTTTCACAGCATACCAGTTACAATTCCTTTTCCATAATGAGCATGCGTAACAGTTACCGGGTAGAAGACAAACCTAGAAATTGCAAATGCATTATTTAAGAATCATTGTAAAAAGCATAGATTGTGAAATTTAATCGCCTTTTTCTATGATGCCCTCCCATTATAGCATTAAAAATACAGTGCAGTTCCAGTACCTCTGATTTGCTCAAGGAAATTGGTGGTTATATCCTCGCTTGTCGTGGGACACTTAATGTAAAGGTATGATTTACATTGGATTTGTATCAACTTAATCTTTATTCCCACAATTGGAAAGTGCCATAATGTTTGCACACTGGTTTATTTTGAATATACTGAGATAAGGCAATTTCTTCCTTGTGGTATCTCAAAGCCACAGCAAATTAACACATTTTGAATTGCATACATAGCACATGAAAGATTTTTTTATAACACCTTATATTGAAACAAATGTATGTGTGTGTAACAAGAAGTGTGTTGAGGAGAGGTTCTGTATGTGTGTGTGTGTATATATATATATATATAGGTGAAGTGCTTTGAGACGTCTTGAAGACGTGATAAGGCACTATATCAAATGTAATTATTATTATGTTAACCCCGACTGACACAAATTTGTTTTAATTAAACTAAATCCCTGTCCCTCTTGCTTTCATTATTGATAATGTCAGATTAGAGAAATAAAGACAATCACTTTTGCTGTTACATCTGAAGCCTTTATTTCTCTTTGTTTATCTCATATACCAAGTTCTCATTATCAAGTGTACCTCGAAGAGTCTGCATTGACCACATTTATGTTGCAACCATTGTATATCCCAGTAGGGCTCTTCAAGGTAATCTTTCGTCCAAATTATACTTCTTTTGGATAATTATGCTGCAGCCATATTTTGTTTTGTGTATTGGGATGACACAAAATATAAATATAAAGTGTACAGTGTAATGCAGATAAAGAAAGTTTGGAATTTAATGATTTACAATTGCAGAGCATGTGGTTGAAACTTATAAAAATAGACTTATTATTCAACATTGCTAATAAGAATGAGGTGTGTGAAATTTACATTGTTTGCGCTGACAACAATGAGTAATACTTTTATTTTGACATACATTATGCCAATTTTAAACATTTGATTTTATCTTGTAAAATTACATAAAAGTAGTTTCGTTTATTTTAAAAAAAGTTTAAATTTACTGCAGCTTTATATTTGCATTGAGATACACACTTTTTTTAAAAAAATCTCCTCAAAGTCATGGAGTAGTACTGGCTTGGCATAAGTGTAAACAATTCTTGACACTTCTATACAATAAATATATCATCGTCTCTCCCTGTCCAGCTATAACTCCCCAAATATCCTGTTGAAAGCAATTCTTAGGCCAAATTTGCACACCATATCACAAGCTATGTTTCGGTAATTTGGCAAGTTGCATTTAGAGTTTAATCCCAAAGGATTATAACTGTATCCTGCACTGAGAGTGCTCACAGCTGGGTATCACTTCAAATGACTAGAAGGTTCAGCTGTCCAAAAACTGGATGTATGCTATTTAATTTCACTATTTACTATTCCAAAGAACACACATGGTACCCAATTACTATTGTCTGTAAAGATTATTATCCGTTGTGTTATATCTATTTCAATCTGCAGTACCTTACATTTTTATTGTGCGTATTGTCTGACAGCAGTTTGTCTGAGTGCTTTCTCTCCACCTCAAACCACGTTCCGTCCACGCATTTCAAGGGGCTCAAGTCCAAGCATTTATTTATACAATGTTCCTCCATCTGAAAAGATACTCTTCATGTAGTTCTGTGTAGTTTATTGATATTTTCTCTGATTGTTATGACAGGCAGGCGAAGCATTTGTCTTCCTGAATTGCAATCAGAATCCCATCTCTTTCACAGAAAGACATAAGTAAACAGTCACAAACTGAGAAGCCAGATGGAAAGAACAACATTTGGCCTCTGCTTGCACTGGAAAAGTACAAAGCAGTTAGGCCTCCAGGAAAGGGGGCCCAATAAAACAATATCCCTTTTCATGAATATAACAGCTCATCCCTTTACAGGGGAAAGAATGCTAACATGAGAGGAAAGATGGGGGAATAACCTCAAGAATGCCACAAGAATAGCGACCCAATTTAACTAAGGTTTCATGTTTCAAATACATTTTACCATAAGTCACCAGGCACTGTATTCTTTTTCAGGGTAAAGGAGAAATGATTACATGGTGGCTTCAAGAGAAAGAACGCTATGAATCACAGAAGGAAGAAATTAAAAATGCATCTTTTCCAGCTGAAGACAATCAACTTTGGACTGTACCAGGCTTGTTAAATCCTTGAATACTCCCAATCAAATGCTCAGTAAAGAACAAAGAATATGATCAGATTTGGTTTCTATTGGTACATAAACATATTTGGATCATATTTAACATTGTTAAAATGTTATCATTTACATTTGTTTTCCATGGTATAATGGTTCAGTGTCCAGTTATTATGAAAGAATTTAGAATACAAAAAATTACAATACATTGTTTGTGTTACAGCTAATTTTACTTTAAAATCCCTCTTCAAAACATTCATATTTATTCCACGTTTTTAGTTTGTACTAACACTAGTAATAATAATAATAATCCTTGCATTTGATATAGCGCTTTTCACATCGGGAGGACGTCCAAAAGCGCTTCACAGAACTCACTGTAAAGTGAATTGACTGTATATTTGTGGGCGAACGCGGCAGCCAATTGCGCATAGCAATGTCCCACAAACAGTCGTAGATTGAAAATGACCAATTTAATTATTGTTTTTTGGTTTTTTTTTGGAGGGATTATTATTAGATCAAAGTTATCTAATAAAAAGTGAGGAAAAATGTGTCACTCAGTCTTCAATCCAATGACACAAATAAAACATTGTAAAGACAGAGTAAAGGCACTGTACCACATTGTCCGTTTCTCAGTAACAAGGTACATTTTGTGCAAAATTATACAAAAACAATTACATGGGGATTACACTGGAATTTGGCCCTACACTTAGCAACTTTTCTTTCCCTTAACAGAAGAGCAGTGGGATTATAAAAATGGTTGTGGTAAATTAGTGATGAGACATTTTTTTACACTTGAATCCAATTAATTATTCTTAGTCTCAAGTAGATACTAATAGTAATTTTGAACATTTGCCTACAATTTCAAATTTAGTTTGGGAAAACATTGCAGCACATGTTTGCTACTGCAGGAACCTTTGCTATGGGACTCAGTCACTAATATTTGAAAATGTTGAAGAGAGCAAAATTTCTGTACTACCTTCCGTTCATTCAGTAATATTGATAGTTTTATTAGGAAAAGGATCCAAAGCTACAAGCACCCCTTCAAATAAGAAGAAAGAATTTACTTTATCAGGAATTACAATTTTTTTTACTGAACAATGCCCTTTTCCCTCTTCCCCAAATACCACCCAACTCTTGTTGGTATGCTAATTAGCAAGTTGCTTAAATGAATTAATTGAATTTTTTCATGGATTCCAGGAAATAAATATTTGCATTTCAATTAGATTCAATAGTATGAAAGGCAGAGCCTGCCAATAAATGTTTAGTTACACAATAACTTTCACATTAACAATGCATGTTAAAAATGTGTTTAGCATATTATGAACATATTTATTATACAAATTCATAGATGGTGTGTTTCTAAATGTCATATTATTCAGTCTGATTGTCTTGCATGGCTTGCTATTTTTAAATTCCATAACATGAAGACGTCAAATGTACTCTAGAATCTAATTTTATGGATTTGTTTATAATAGTGTTGTTGAGGTTTTTAGCAACCTAATAATCCTTGCATTTAATAAGAAGCCTTATCATGTCGTCGAGACGTTTCAAAGTGCTTCACAGGATATACTGTAAAGTGAATTGACTGTGTATTTTGTGGGCGAATGCGGCAGCCAGTTGTGCGTAACAAACATGCAGAATATAAAAGAAATGCTTAAAATGTGTTGTGTGATTTCTTCCAATTCATCAATAAAAAAAAATCCCTGTAGCACAGCACATAATTGCACTGTGACTTGTTTTGGCGCATCCCCACCAAACCGTGGAAGTCAAATGCTGGTCTTCATAGCATTACTATGAGTGGTGTTGAGCAAAATATGGCACCAAAGGGAACAATTTCATCTGTACAATCACAAGAGTGGATATGATGGTATCATTGCAGGCAGCATAAGTGGGTCATTCCTCCCTCTTGGGAGTGGTATCAGTGTGGTATGTGCAGGCTTATAACATAAATACTTGATGAATGAAAATTAAAAGTAAAATAAGAAAACATTATCCCTGTTTTATAATAAAAATCCTTGTATTTGATATAACGTTTTTCCACGTCTGTCTGACATGAGTATTTTCATTCAATTCCTGCTGTTTGGTTATACAACACATTGATCAACCAAATATGATGTTAGACCACAAAGGAAAAGAATGTACTCAGTTGAGTTTACACTGGCATTGGGTTATTTTGAATTTAACAGTGTTATGCGACTGCAGTTTGTCTGACATTGGAATTTAGCTTTTATAGCTGAGGTGCTGCTTCCTTCAAGAACCATTAGTTGTTGGAACATGTGCTGTAATGTTCCAAAATAGCATCCTAGTTCTCAACCTCTATCCCCCCCATCACGCCTGTGAGTACTGCAGGTTGAGTGTTTTTTCCTCCTCAGAGACTGAGCTTATCCACATTGCTCAGCTGTTACAAACCTTATGATTGCAGAGCTGTTTCAATTGCAGCGAGCAATTTTGGTAAGCTCCTCCTCCATTCATAAGGAACACTTTCAGCCATATGGTGTGAGTTAGAGAGAAACTTATAAAAGACAAAGAAATCAAACGAAATGATAAAATATTAAAGGTTGAATCACGCAAGTGCTTTGGCTGGGTGGCAACATTCTTGGGTGCTGATGTCTCCATAATGCTTTCCTAAACTCCTTGCGATTTCATTCCTCAAGAATCCCTGATGTCTACTTAAATCCAGGGCTTTCTATCTTTCTATCCCACTTGGACATTTTGATATTTTTTAAAAATTAATAATCCTTATTTCACTGAACAAATCCAAAGCTTTGATAGTGGCATTTAACCAATCTACCATTATTATATATTTGTTTAATTAATCTACCATTTATCATATTCAGCATTGCAAGATTTGTAATTTGTAGTGTGTGTGAGAGTGACCAGTGTCAGACTGTAGTGTGTGTGAGTGACCAGTGTCAGGCTGTTGTGTGAGTGGCCAGTGTCAGGCTGTAGTGTGTGAGAGTGACCAGAATCAGGCTGTAGTGTGTGTGTGAGAGTGACCAGTGTCAGGCTGTAGTGTGTGTGAGTGACCAGTGTCAGGCTGTAGTGTGTGAGAGTGACCAGTGTCAGGCTGTAGAGTGTGTGAGAGTGACCAGTGTCAGGCTGTAGTGTGAGTGTGTGTGAGTGACCAGTGTCAGGCTGTAGTGTGTATGAGTGACCAGTGTCAGGCTGCAGTGTGTGTGAGAGGGACCAGTGTCAGGCTGTAGTGTGTGTGTGTGAGTGACCAGTGTCAGGCTGCAGTGTGTGTGAGAGTGACCAGTGTCAGGCTGCAGTGTGTATGTGTGTGAGAGTGACCAGTGTCAGGCTGTAGTGTGTATGAGTGACCAGTGTCAGGCTGCAGTGTGTGTGTGAGTGACCAGTGTCAGGCTGTAGTGTGTGTGAGAGTGACCAGTGTCAGGCTGCAGTCTGTGTGTGAGTGACCAGTGTCAGGCTGCAGTGTGTGTGTAAGTGACCAGTGTCAGGCTGTAGTGTGTGTGAGAGTGACCAGTGTCAGGCTGTAGAGTGTGTGAGTGACCAGTGTCAGGCTGTAGTGTGAGTGTGTGTGAATGACCAGTGTCAGGCTGTAGTGTGAGTGTGTGTGAGTGACCAGTGTCAGGCTGTAGTGTGTGTGTGTGAGTGACCAGTGTCAGGCTGTAGTGTGTGTGTGAGTGACCAGTGTCAGGCTGTAGTGTGTGTGAGTGACCAGTGTCAGGCTGTAGTGTGTGTGAGTGACCAGTGTCAGGCTGTAGTGTGTGTGAGTGACCAGTGTCAGGCTGTAGTGTGTGTGTGTGTGACCAGTGTCAGGCTGTAGTGTGAGTGTGTGTGAGTGACCAGTGTCAGGCTGTAGTGTGTGTGTGTGAGTGACCAGTGTCAGGCTGTAGTGTGTGTGTGTGTGACCAGTGTCAGGCTGTTGTGTGAGTGTGTGTGAGTGACCAGTGTCAGGCTGTAGTGTGTGTGTGTGAGTGACCAGTGTCAGGCTGTCGTGTGTGTGCGAGAGTGACCAGTGTCAGGCTGTAATGTGAGTGTGTGTGTGACCAGTGTCAGGCTGTAGTGTGTGTGTGTGTGAGAGTGACCAGTGTCAGGCTGTAGTGTGAGTGTGTGAGTGACCAGTGTCAGGCTGTAGTGTGAGTGTGTGAGTGACCAGTGTCCGGCTGCAGTGTGTGTGAGTGACCAGTGTCAGGCTGCAGTGTGTGTGAGTGACCAGTGTCAGGCTGCAGTGTGTGTGAGTGACCAGTGTCAGGCTGTAGTGTGAATGTGTGAGTGACCAGTGTCAGGCTGTAGTGTGAATGTGTGAGTGACCAGTGTCCGGCTGCAGTGTGTGTGAGTGACCAGTGTCAGGCTGTAGTGTGAGTGACCAGCGTCAAGGCTTTGCTCTGCAGCTATTTCAGAGTGAAGGCGTAGGTCGGTCACGTGGTGGCTCTGATCCCGCCCCCCCCTCTCAACCTCCGACCAATGAATGCGGCGCTTCCTTGTTGCCAACCAACGGCGGAACCAATCAGCGGCCGCGTTATAATAAAGCGCCGGAGTCGGAGCTTCAAACCGAAGAAGCAGCAGCAGCCGCCGGTGAGGGAGGACTGTTGTCGGTGGAGTGGAGGCCCGGGCACCGACCAGTCCATCTGCTCTGCTCGGGGTGGGGAATACTCCCCAATACACACCTGCCGGCCGGTCGGTCGGTCCCGCAGGACATGTAGTGCGAGCCCCGGGTGGGTGGGTGGGTAGGGCTCAGGGTGAGCGGCCGCGGGCCGTGTGTCACCTGCTGAAGGTCCGGCCTGCTCTCCCTTCCCCTTCCTCCCCCCCCTCCCCCTCTCTCTCGACACCTGGCCGCCGCCTGACGTTTCCAGGGGGAATCTTTTACACTGTGACAGCCCCAGTGAAAGGAGGGCCCCGGCTCGGCCCCGGGCTGCGCGGCAGAGAGTCTTACACGCCCACCTTCATGCGGAGGTACTGACTTTATTTCTCAGTCGCTCTCTCTCTCTCTCTCTCTGACTGTCTGTCTGTCTGTGTGTTTTTGCGGCTTTCCCTGCGCTAAGGCTGTCGCTCCTCCCCCCCCCTCCCCCCCCAAAAAAAAATATCCAGTCAATTCACTTGACAGTAGATTCTGCGAAGCGCTTTGAGACGCCTCGAAGACGCGATGAGGCTTTGTATCCAATATTATTATATATATATAGGTGTGTGTGTGTATTATTCCTGTTTGCGGCTCCTCTGCTCTAAGCTCTGCCAGTGTGACCCCCCTCCCACCCCCTAACCCCCTAACCCGGGGCCCCCCTCGGCTGCTCGTTTCCCTGCTTCAGCGCAAAGGAGACGCGTAACAAGTGCTGGAAGGTTCTGCTCGCACGGCGCTGGAAGGTCGTGCGGTTGACCGGACGGACCCCCGAGCTCGCACTGGTTTTGGGGGTTCAACCGGGGCCCGAACTGGAGCGACAGACGGACGTTGGACGCACTGCAAATTAAAACAAAACACACCAATGCACGTCAGGGAAACTCTATGGGTTACACTCCACGGTACAGTAAAAAGATTCGTCGTCACTTCTGTTTGAAATGACGAGATTGTCTTGCAAGGTTTGGAATTGAAATAATAATAATAATAATAATAGGAAATGAGAGTTTCCTGTGAACTTATGTTGTTCCAATTGAAAGTCACACCCACTGAGGTCGGTGTCTGTCTTCTTGCATAGATAGATAAAGCGGCCATCGGTGCCGAGAGATTACTCAACCAAAGACGTAAGCGGATTTGAACCACTTGTATTGGAGGGATCACGTCTCATAGGTAAATTAGACCGTCTCTTACACCGGAGCTTCCGAAGATTTTCCAGGTTTACTATGCGTTGCATTTTCCTTGATATACATAGTCACAATTGCACGGTTATCGGAGTAGAATACGAGTTGCCAGTGTTGCATTAAAAAAAATGCAATGTAGTACTGCGGTTAGACTTTTATTAAAGGCTCTATTGATTAATATTGCACACTTTTAGCTTGGTTTGGAATATTTTGCTTGTCTCAAATTGGTGGAAATGCCTGTAATTTGTGGTTTGTTGTTAATTTGAGATCAGTAAGTTTTAACTTTGTTCCATCTGGCATTGAGAGGGGTGGGGTGGGAGGATGACCGAAGGCACAGTCAAAGAGGAAGGTCTTATGTTTTATGCATTTTATTCAATCCATTAAGTTTGCAGGAGGACCTTTAACCAGGGTTTTTAGGTAAATTAGATTTTCAGGCCAATCAATGTCTTATTCTTTCAAGTTCGCTGGAATTAATTAAGATAAAGATGTGTTACCAAGAAGAAAATCGACTTGCAGTTACACTATTGGAATAATGTAAATTAATATACTCCATGAATTAAATGTCTTGATCATTCTCTGAAACTGTGCATACTATTTGAGGGAAGAAAAGGAAAGCCTCTGCTTTGGGTATAGTATTTGTTTTTGTTTATAGGAAGGTGTGTATCATACTTTTTGTCACCTGCTCTTGACTGATTTATCAAACTACATTATACGTATTAGGTCGTTAAAATGTAATTTGTTTCTGTATATAGTTTCTTTTTGTTTCTCTGTTGTAAAAACTGGGAGTCATAACTGAAATCTTCTAAAGAGACAGATGTCTACCTATTTTTTCCCCTCTTAATTCAGTGAAATTGTCAATCCGTGGTATGTGGAGTAAGTTTGCAATAGTGTAGTGTTAACTTACTTATAGTGGTATAATAGTTATGGCTCAATTAAATGGTACACTTATTGGAAGCCAAATCATTTTGTCCTAACATTAGAGAGTTGTGGAACTGGGGCAGGATATATTTGGCATATTCAGAAGAACTCTTAAATTGTTAATGTTCATGGAGTGATGTTTATCAACTTTTAAGAACATTTAGGGTTGAGGCAGTTGCTTGGATACTGTATTTCACGAATGTTTCAGAATCTGCCTGCTGTTCTGTACTATGGTATAACCTTGATTTGTAAACAGAGGTTGAATGAGGAAGAATTCTATTTTATACATTTTAAGTATAGCCTTCCTTTTTTTTTGAAAGGACAGCCTCCACAGACAATTTCTGTCTATTCCAGACACTAATCTTGTGCTGTTTAGATCTGCTGGGTTTCAACTTTTATATAATGTCCCACCTGGTCAAAGACCAAGATTGAATGATGAGCTCGCACAGCAGAATGGAAGGATATTGCATGACCAAAATAGCTTTGCAAGGGCTGGAGACCATCTTTGCCTTATTATCAGCAAATCTTAGTTCTTTGTGGATGGATGATTTCTTTTAAAATGTGAGAAAGGGCAAGCTGTGGTAATCTTGGATCTCCCAAGGAGAGTAATCTGATTGTAATTTGTGGCTACGCAGTGCAAGAACATATTCCAGAATCTAATCTTGATAATGACATTGCATTGCTGACTTAATCTGTTATCTTATAGATGCTGTTAATTTAAAATGTTCTGCCTTTCTATTTTTAGGTGCTTCCTGCTTAGAAACATTTATTTCAGTCAGTTGTGTGTTGCAGCTGAACTGCTTGTACAAGTATTTTGGCTGCTCAGTTGCTATGGGAGATTGGAAAGCTATAACCATGCCAGAACCATCACCAGGTATACTAAATGCTTTATAAAATGAGAACATAGGCACACTGAAGCTTAGAAATATCTTTGTTATACTGTCTATGGAATATTATAATTTGAGACACAACTTATGTTTGTCCAACAAACTATGCTAATGCCAATAGTGTATTTCCACCTTCTCATATATGGTGTATTGTGAACTTGTGATTATCCTGCTTCCTAACTATGTTCTTTTTTAAGATTTCTTTAAATTGTTAGATATTAAATGGGAAAAAGTGGTGTCTCTGTAATTTAAAGTTTTATATTACATGGTGGAATGCATTACCAAAGCTATGGAACTAATATATTTACAGGGAAATGGCAAAATAATTTGAATATTCACTTAACTAAAATATTGATTGCCTTACCAAACAAAGTGTATATATCTATCAATATAGATTCAATTATCCTATGTTAATTTTTTAAAATTTGTCTGCTATTTACGTTGTGGGTTGACACATCTTGCTTTAGCAATTTAGGCAATGTTAATCTTTATTGAAATCCACTTTAAACCATGGGAGCAGCTGTCTGTTGGCTTTAGATTTAAATTAATTCGGTTTCACTTGTTATATTGGCTTCAGCATGTGAGAATATAGGCTTGGATAAGGATACCCAAGTCTTGACGTTTCAGTTGCCAGATTACAATGGAGAAATTAACACTAATTCAGAACTCCTATGATTTAGGTTTATACTTTGGTGATCTTTAGTCTTTATCTAGGGTGAGGGTCAGAGAGATTTGCTGATTTTAGGTCATCGCTTGCTGCTCTGAGCAATTTTTATACCGTGATAATGTGCTGAAATGACTCGGGACATCTATTCTCAAACCTTTTGTGCAGTTAATCAATGGTAACTGTATTGTAAAATGCTGAAATTTCTAGCTGCTTCTTGTACTTAGTGTCATTTCTAAAATGGACTTTGAGCAAATCTGTGGTATGACTTGTACACCTGATGTATGCAGCAAATCTACTGGTAATCTGTTTGAGTCAGCTCATTACTGAAATCTAGATAGTTCTCGGACATTATGTATATAGATTTGAGCTCGGAATTCAATGGGCACAAACAGTGCTACCCTTTTTATACAAGTGAATACTTCCAAGAGTTTTTTTAAAAACTTTATACAGAACTGGGGTGAGGGAAATTGACTTTTAACCTGTTGTGATTGATTGTAGTCGAGACAGCAGGAGAAATGTTCAAGATTTTAGTTAAATCTGTTGCCAGTTTATTCTAAGAAGTACCACAATGTTTTTGTTTATATTTGTGCCAAATCAGTGCGTGTAAGTTAGGCTGTTGAAGTAGTGAATGAAGTTCAAAACATTAGATGGTGGGCTGCAGTACAGGGAAGCTAAAATGAATAACTTTGTGTTACACACAGAGGAATAACGTTTCCCACTTCTTTCTCCTCCCCAACAGATAGCAAAGAATTTATTTTTCGCGAAACATCCAGGTCAAGAATGTCTCCCTCTGTCAACTCTGATTCAGTATTGCAATATTCACTGCCTGAATCTCCTAATGTTAGCAACAATTTTGGTTCATTTTGCACAAATGGGAATGTGGAGCAATGTATATCATACCTCAATCAGGTGAGCAATTTAAATGTATTTTGAACATTTTATAGCATATACATTCATGAAAGAATTTTGAGGATCAAAGTGTGGCTGGTTTCTTGTTTGACCCTGTGATGGATGCGCAAGGTCCCTTATTTTATCGATTTAACAATAAATATTAGGGTTTTTTTGGCTATGGTAATGCATGAAAAAAAATCCTCCCAGTTTGATCTTAGAAACTTGAATTAACTTTTATCAGTGGTGCATGTGCTATTGTTTGAAGTTGCTAAACTTGTGATTTTAAGGATTTGTGGTGACCTGAGGACACGTGTGCAATTGTTTTTATTTTTCTGGAGTGCAAAATAAGTTTTTTTTAAAATTATTAAATGCTTTTTGTTTTGTGTAGTCACAGAGTTTAATGAAAGCAGCTGTTAATATTTGACTTACTGTCTTGAGTTTCTTGATGACTTAAAGTAGAAGTTTGAGGACTGAATTGGTGGATACTGGATGGTGCAAACTGAGTTGAGCAATTACTCCTTGGGATCCACGTATTGTGTGAAAGAGACATTAATATGGGGGAACATACCTAGAATAGTCAAATGCATTAAGATTTCCTTTTTTGGTTGGAGTATCTTTATTGAACTGGAAAGATGGATTGACCGCATTGTGAACTCTGGATGATAGATTGATTTCATTGTGCATCTATCTTAAATCCTCTTTCTCCCATTGTAAGCAACCATATGTCAGTTTTGTTTTACTTGTTTTATTTTAACTTCTCCTTTAGTAAGCTTGCCTTTTTTTTATTTTCCATTTGCCTCCAGCAAACGTCAAACTTTTTATGTGTCCAGTCCCACTTCAATGAAAAACTGAGATTTTAAATCTTGAGATTGACTTGATCATGGTAAATTATCAGATTAAACAACTAGTCAATTATTCAACTTTTGCACGAAGAGTTGCTAAAAACTAATACTTAATGTTCTAAATCGTTATATATGCAGTAACAATCGCATCGAGAGACCTGGGTTCAATTCCTGGCAGGGCGAAACGTTGACCAAATTTTCTTACTCAACATGCCGCTGTTACCTAGCAGTAAGTAGGAACCCGGTTGTTAGTCGATTGGCAGATCGCTTTTCTGGGGGTAATAATTCCTTTTTTTAAAAAAAAATAATAGATTGGTCACTTCAATCCACGACTGTTTGTGGAACACTGCTACTTTTCACCCACAAAATATAAAGTCAAATTCACTTTACAGTATATTCTGTGAAGCACTTTAAGACGTCTGAAAGACATGATAAGGTGCTATATCAAATGTAAGGATTATTATTATTATCTGATGTGGTGATCACTGTTAGATTTTTATGTTTACAACTTTTGTAAAAAATGAACTTAGTACAGTATTTGATTTGATCCTTTCAATATTTTAGGAGCTTACTTCCATGGGTTTGACATCATTTTATAATGAAGATGCACAAAAAGAACTAAATCTGGTGGCCATTGTAAATTGCATGTATGATCTGCTTCAGCTTAATCGCAGAAGCCTCCGTACACTAGAAGATCTAGAAACCCAACATCTGAAGTCTAGTAGTGATCTGGACCATTTGCAACATTGCCAACTTAAGCTAAAGGTAACGTATCTAATTGAATCAGCTTTGTTAGTAGATCTTCATTTCAGAGCAATGGCAAATCTTTGTTGGAACACTACAATCCTTTTCCATATGCGCAGAGATTCCCAATTTTGAATCGGATTACTGTTTGAATTCTTCATGAATGATTTCCTTTGCTGTATAAGCAGAATCTGTCTGGCAGCTGAACACACCCTGCAGCTGCTTTTGTTGAAAAGAGCTTGTGTCTGATCTGCAACCTCAACATGAACGCAGTTCTGTATTTAATGATTTTCTCATAGTTTTGTGGGCATGGTTTAATTTTAACTTATGAACTCAAATCAGTAGAGTCAATATCCACACTAATTCGGGCCAGCCCATGTGGATATGAATACTTTGTATGTTTAGTCACTGTCTCTTAATTGTCTGCCTTTTGTGTTTGAATCCTTGGGCGAGGGGGCAATCTGAGTGCTGCCAGATTCACCCCTCCTTAAGTTTAGGCTCTTGTGCAACAACAAAAAAAATCCTGTTATGCAGGTAGTTGGAGTATGGATGTATGGTATTCAACTGTATGATTTTGAAAAGTCCTATTCCCTCACTCAACTCAGTGGTAGCACTTGCCTCTTGAGTCATAAGGTTGTGGGCTCAAACCTCACGTTGGGACAAGAACCCATATAATCTAAGATGACAGTCTAATGCAGTGCAAGGAGGTATTGCAGTGCCGTCCACATAGGATGTTAAACCAAGATCCTGTCTACTTGTTCAGGTGGACGATAAAGATCCCATCGCACTTTTCGAAAATCTTCTCCCAGTGTTCTAGCTGACCATCCCCAAATAAAATTGGTCATTCTTTTCATGACTGTTTGTGGAACATTGCTGTGAGCAATTGGGCTGCTGTGTGATCCTACATGTACAATGTCACTTTACAGTGAAACCTGTGAAGCGCTTTGGGACATCTTTCTGATGTGAAAGATGCTACACCAAACCAAAGATTATTATCTATAATTTTAAAAGTGATCTCTTTCTCCAATTACTGCTCTCAAATGCCAGCTAGAAAATGTGTGAAAATCCTCACACAGTACTTTGTCCAGTTAGAATTTCTCCTTGCTACCTGCCTAAGATTGTGAACTCACTCTATGGGATTTGTCTGTACAATCTGTATCATGCTAGTTTGTGGTATGTTGTAGTGACATCTGCATATTATTATGCAATCAGTGAACACTTTTAGAATGGAATTAATTGTATTGGTCATGTAACATGTTTTCCCTCTCTTAGGATCAACTTGAGTCCTCTCATAGGGAGGTTAAATCCTTTCAAGAAAAGGACAGGCAGTTGCAACTGAAGAACAGAAGTTTACACAGTTTACTGAAAAGTGAAAAGGAGGAAGTAAGGACTGGTGCATGTTTTCTCTGATTCTAAGTTGGTTTATTAGATTGCCGTTACTTGCTTTGCTGCTTTCTCCTTAATGTATTTGTAGGAGTTAAAGAATAAAAAACAGAATTCCTCAATGTGGATCAAACTAATCCTCATTGCAAGTGATATGGCATGCTAATTTAAGATAATGGGATCTAAAACGTGGTGACTGGAGTCTCACACAGCAACTCCTGCCAGTAGCTAGATGTGCATCACACTGACCCACAGGAGCTCCACCATGATGCAGTTTACTTGGGAGTGGAAATCAGCATGACTCATTTCTGGATACTGGTAGGAATGTCTGCTTGAAACACCTGTTATGAATACGCCCACCGTTCCCATATATTCCCAAAGATGGTTAATTTTGCATCAAAGAATTTTTCTACTGGAGTTCATGTCTCCTTGTAAGATGATTAATTTCTAGTCCTGCTATTGCAGCAGCTGAGTAATACCAATGCCATCAGTCCAATTCAGTTTAACTTCTCTTCTCACACTTTTTTAAAATGTTGATCCACAGTTGCTAAAGACTCGTATTTTCCTTTTTTAAAGCACATTTTAAATTTAAAATGGAAGGTCTGCTGAATTTTCTAACCTTCTGTACAAAAATTCAGGTATGTAGTCTAGGGTTCTCTTGAATCTTTGATGGGTATGTGCATTGCATTCCTGTAGAAAAAATCTTGGCTGCAAGTTTGTAAACATTTAGGATGTTCATTTTTTTCTGTCCTGCACCAGAATGATCAAATGTGAATTAGTTTTTTTCACTATTTTCAGATACAGAAATTACAGAATATCATAGCAAGTCGTGCAACTCAATACAACCATGATATGAAGAGAAAAGAACGGGAGTACAACAAACTCAAAGAACGTTTGCATCAACTTGTGATGGATAAAAGAGAAAAAAAACTATGTAAGTATTTCTAGGAATTTGTAATGTTTGCGGAGAAAATGTGCATGTTTTAACTATTGAAAATCCTTGTGAAGCGCTTTGAGATACATATTCCCAATTTAAAGATGCAGTATCCAATACAAGGATTATTTACTTATTGGCATTTCTGTGTGGTCTCCTATTCTGTTACCTAAGATTTTAAAGGTGTTGGCAGAGCATTTCTTGCTTAAATACTTTATTGGTTATGAATGGCAACATGAACCTTCATTAAGAATAACTACACATTTTTAGACTTTTGGGGATTTATTTCACATAGAAGTGGAATGATCTCTGAAAGTGCTAATGGCTTTTGCTTTTGTTGAAGCCTTTAATGATGCATCTAAGAGTATGATAATGACTGCAATACTTTCTCTTCTGATGTTTTACGTTTGAGATAGATACCCATAGATGGCCTCGAGGCTCATCAATTTTCCTGACCTGTATAAATGAGTTGCATGAGATTTGTGCAACAAGCAGTGTAATTTATCCACTTCTTGCTAGTGCAAGAGGGGCTGAGAATACCTAAATACTTAACCAGCTGCAACTATTTCAGCTGGCAATCAGTTCAGCTAGAGCATGATTTTGTTAGTAAATTAACACTCTATGAGTAAATGGCTGTTAGTGGTCAATATTTTGTTACCTAATTTGGAAGTCTTGTGCCTTACTCTGGATTACCCACACTTTAGTCGTGGCTACTAGTATGACCCCATTACCTTGCCTCCTTGGTGATGCATTTTGCAGGCATCTCTTTTACAGAGCCCCAATTTAACCAAAAGCCTGGTTTTTGAATGGGATAAGCGGAAAATGCTGCAAAGTATTTGCTCTCTGGACCACTTGTACTGCAATGATTTCATGTTTGTCTTTTTTCAATAGTTTTTTTTGGTATGATTTTTGAATAGCTATTGATGTCCTTAACTACTTGGGGCGGTCTGATGGACGACGCAGTGCATGGAAGACTGTCAAAACAGAAGCCAGGTACTTTAGTTATTTTGTGTAACAAGCGTTAGGCAGTGTGCTGCATGCACCAGGGCTTGGCAGACATTTTTAAGTGACTTAACATTTTTTTCTCTTGTCATAAAACTGCAACTTTTTTTTCTTCCACCCTCTTTCTCTAACCCCCCCACCCCACCACCCACCCTAATTGTTCAGGAATGAAAACGAAATGTACCGAGCCATTATAAATAACTATGAAAGGCATCATAAAGAACTGATGATAGAAAATGTGGAGCTAAAACAGGTTCTACAGCAGATGAAAAAAGATATGATGTCTATACTTAGCCCTAGAAAACAAAGACCAAAGGAAAACTCAGAAGATAGCAGTGGCATAGTAAGTTTGAAATGTTGCTGTTTTTAAAATGTTAATATGATGCTCTACTACCTTTTAATAGAATACTATGTTTTTAATTTCATAATTTCACCTGCTGCATATTGAAAAAAATACCAATACACCCAGGCAAATGCATTGTTATTTTTTGATCTTTGTTACAAAAACCCGTTGTGGAAATTATTTGCATTTTATCTTCTACATAATTTTTTTAATGAAATTCAACTGTGACTGATGCAGTGGATTGGCAGTCTGTAGATGAGCAGTAAGATTCAGACTGTTCATAAGAGACATTTATTAAAAAGTACACTTAGTGTTTTGATGGAACAAATTATATAGGGATCAGCAAATGACAGATGCACATATTCATTGCCCTCTTATAGAAGTTGAATCAAGCACATTCATTTTTTAAAATACTTAAAGGGACTAATTGCTTCTCTTATTTGAAAGCCATATAAGTTATTTAATCAAGCTTTAACAACTTATCCCATAGGCTGAATCAGACAACGAAGAGGATATTCGTGAACAAAATAAAGAGAACACATTGGAGCTGTCTTGTGATGTAGTTAGAGAACAACTTACCAATAGTATCCGACAGCAATGGAGAATGCTGAAAAACCATGTTGAGAAATTAGACTCCCAAGGTATGATTTGAATGGGTAATGAAAGTTATTTTGCAAGTGATTCCTAAGGAATTTTCTGACATTTTTGAAAAATGAACTGGCCGAATTTTATTTTCTTTCAAAAATCAGTTTCTTTTCAGACAAGATAGCACAACTGCTGATACTAAAAGTGTTTGAATGTTTTTTTTAAAAATCCATCATTCTTTTAGATACCCCCCCCTGCACTCGCACCATGGATTGGAAGACATTTTTGTAATTTTGTAAACAAAAATATTTTTTAACTCCAGCCAAAAAGGTCTAACCAAGTTGGTCATTCATTGTGCTGAATGGTGATGAACTACTTTGAACAGCTGGTGTTAAGTGACTTCTTGGAGAATATCAAAGTAATTTTTTAAATAATTGGAACGTAACGCCATCATTTGGTAAAAAATATTTCAGTGATGTGTGTCAAAGTTCCTTTGGCTCCAATGACTCCATTTTAGAAAACTGCAAATACATTAGCATTCTTGCAGCATCTTTTTATATTAAAAAATATTTTAATCTACATAGGCTTGCTTCCTAAACCTATATTTAATTACTGCAAAACATGAATGCACATAGGGCTGTGAAAAAAATGAAGTTATACAGTTAATAAAAAAATTTAAATTGTGATCCAGCAAAATAGTTCCTGTGCCCAGAGCTTTTTTTTATTGAAAGGAGTGAGTTATCTAGGAGTGCCTTTAACCGAGTTTACTGCGACTTGTATAATGTATGAGGAATTGTGAAGCACTTCAATATATTCAGTGTAGTGAAATTCATCAAATATTGTAGAGTTAATAGGCCACATTTTCACTTTATTGTAGCTTCCTTGGTACAATCTGGCTTTCTGGTTGGTGATGAAATAATAAGCAGAGAGCACTATGAACAAGAAATGGAAACACTCAAACTGGAAATTCAGCAATGCAGGGATGTTATCAAAGCTCAGCAACAGCTTCTACAGGTAATGTTTAGATAAAACGCTCTGGGATGTTACCTCCGTAAATGGCACTGTGTGTGTGTATATATATATATATATATATGCGCAAGTTGTTGTAATACTTGATTTATTTGTATAACCTGACCTATGGGAGGTGGGGAACAAAATCTTGTTTACGTATTTACTATATTTACAGATGGAAAGCCAAGTCTAAACATGGGCAGTATTTATTTGTGTTTTTGTTGTAAATTATTTTGTGGGCCATTGGGAGAAATGATTGTGACCATTGCCACATTGGTTAAGAGCCTAAAATATGGATTGAGATGGGACTATTTGGCTTTTTACATATCCCCCTTCTGTAACCAAAACAAAACCTATCCTGTTGTTGATGCCACCCCACTCTCTCCTGTGGGGAGATGCTGCCTAAGGGCAATGGAACATATTCACTCTATTGAATCCCTGCTTGCTCCATCATTTTGTTCTTTATAGTGTGTGTTACAATATAGCCAAGGTTTTTCAACCAAATGTTTGGATCTAGATTAGACTACAGCCTTCATTTGTGCATTTACTGTCTAACTTCTATTGTAAAGGTACCTAGTGATTGTGAAATAATATCTGCATATTAGCACATGTGAAGTATTTTAATATCTAAAAAGACTTGGTTAAGAGTAGTGATTTATTTTAAATATCATGAATTATTCCTCTATCTGCAGATAATTCTATGAAAAATGTAATGCATTTTGGGATTGTTTTGTTAATTGATAAATGTAACAGAAAGGGGGAAAACAGTTGCAGATAGGAACATAATTGTTTTGAGATGAAGAGTTTATTGTTTATGACTTCAAATTAAGGTGTCTGCCGCACTCCAATGCTACCCAATGTGAAGAGCACTATATAAATGCAAGTTGTTGACTACAATTTAATCTGTAAAAATGGGTGAATGCAACATAATCTTAAAGCTTCAAAGCATTGAACATTTTAAATGTGAAGGTTAATTGTATTTTCTTTCCGAAGCAACAGCTTAATGTCCAGTGTGATGATGAAACAGCTGCACTACTGCGTGATTGCTATTTGCTAGAAGAGAAGGAACGATTGAAAGAAGAATGGAAATTATTTGATGATCAGCGAAAGAACTTTGAAAAGGAGAGGAGAAATTTTACAGAAGCAGCTATTAGACTAGGGCATGAGGTACTGTATATTTTAGCATATTATAATGTTGTCGCACTCTTAAGTATAAAGGGAAGAAAGTGAGGTTTCTATTAGGAAGGATGAGATTGAGTCATGGGGCTTTCAACAACAAATCTTGTCAGTTTCAAAGCATAAAATACAATAACTTGGAAGAATCCAAATCATGTCATAAAATATGTTGTCTCCTTTTTAAGAATATTTGGGTAATTCAGTGGATACTTTTCATATATCTAGAATAGCAGGGGCTTGGGAGATGCATTTCAATAATCCATTTTTATGTTGCAGAGGAAAATATTTGAGGAAGATCGAGCAGGTTGGTTAAAACAACAATTTTTGAACATGACTCCTTTTGCAGAGAAGAAGAAGCCAAAGATCATGAAGCAGCAAAGTATGTGTTCTGTTGGCGTCTTTAGTGTCTTTTTAAAATGCTTTACTTTTTTTAAAAAAAATGTATTTGTGGTTTTGGGAAGTAGTTTATGTTCAGACAAAGCTGAGTGAATCTACCAAGGCCACTCTTACACCACCTGCTGGCTCTTTTTCTAACTGCATTAGTAAAATCCTAGGAGCAGACAGCCCGTTTGCCTTTACAAAATTAGAATGAAGCAGAAAGTGGGCAAACATAAAGAATGAGCCTACTATCAAGCCTAATTTGGACCAATTTGTGGGTGTGAAAACTGCATATTTGTGTGATTTCCTATTGCTCTCCATTTCAGCTGCATGGGGAATAAATTGTGCCCTTTCAGGCAAATAAAGTTTTTTCTTTTTGGACATTGCAGCCTGATTTAACATAAGAGGACATACTGATATTCTACTTGCCGTTAAACATAATTCTGCTGCATATTCATCAAGTTGTAGCTGTGGGGAAATTTATTCAAGTAAAACAATTAAAGGTTTTGAGTTAGTGGGTTCATATCCAGTGTATCTTAATTTCCAGGAGTACTTCAAAGTTCTTTCCACTTATTTGCCTGACTTTATAATATCTTCCAGGTTCAGAACAAGAGAAGCAGAATACGCAATCACCACCAAATATGTCTGTTTACCTTCGACCTAGTACAGTTCCAGCAGCAACACCCGAAACCTCATCAAAAATCAGATTTCCACCGCTAGTCAGTTCAATGTCCACTGAACCATATCGAACGGTGCGCCATATTCCAGGAAATAGGTGTGTATGTGTGGTATTTCATACACTATGGATTACAATTGATAAAGTAGCTTTCACATTGTGAGGATGGCTCAAAGCACTTCAAGTCAACTGACTTGTGGCTTGGATTTTAAAGTGACATTAATTAAGTGACATTAGTGTAAGAGTTCAATGAGCTTTCTGATTTCAAGGTAGAAAAGAGGAAAAGTGTTGGACAGCTTATTTGGAACTTGTAAGGAACATTGCAGAAAGTGTCAATATAATCAGAATTTGACTTTGTAAATTGTTGTCAAGTGAATGCAATCGGCTGTTCCGTGTTTATTCCTTTTTCATTAAAATTTAACCAATGTTTTTTGTATAAGTACATTACAGTTCAGATTGAGATACAATGTTTTATTTGTCATTACAGCTCAAGACCTCTACCAAAAAGGGGAAATAATGGTGGCATTTACGATAAAAGAAACAATTGTGGAACACCAAGTGAGAAATGGAGAAACCCAGCAAAATCAACTTCATCTCATGATTATTATGATGCATCATCTCCCATGTTTTTAAAACATTCATGGGATGAGGATTTCAATGAAAACTCTCAACAAACTGGAGCTGAGCCTAACCTCAAGTGACTATATTTGTACAAGACCAAAACAGTGCCACATTTTGATTGTTTTGAAGTTCAAAGAATGTAGGGAATTGCATTTCAAATAATGCAGGAACATTTAAAATGTGGCATTTGTATTGATTACTTCATGTAGCACTTTGAATGCGAGTGGAACTGTTGGTTGTTGTAATTATAATCTATGATTTTGATTTTCTACAAATGCACTATGCGTATGATTGGGTTTGAGGAATTGGTTTTAAGGGGAGGTATTTTTTGCTATAGATAATTTAAGTCTGGGTGCAAATTCATTTATCATTTATACATTTGTTTACCTAGATTGTTTTTATCACTACTACAGTGATCAGGTTTTCAGAGAATGTGTCTACTGAAGAAATTTGCACACTTCAAAATTACCACTACATGCAGTCTTTGCTGAACTTAATTACTTTAGAGAATTTTAATTTTTTAAGAAAAATTGTAACTCATGAATTTTTGTCTTTGGAAGACATGATTTTAATAAAGTGAGTTAATTGCATTTGTTTCCCAACTTTTTTTGTTCTACAGTTGATTATGTCTTCTCATAGTTAACCTGAGCAGGTATATCAATTTCCAATTGGATGATTTGCATCTATAGCTACTGAATCTTTCTCAAAAATGTTAACTGCAGTGCTTTGATCACTTAACCCACAGTGAATATATTTTGATTATTGCAAGAAATTTTGTACTTGCATGTTAAGGTTTTTGATTGCCACAATTTTATTACGTTAGTAAAACCAGAGTATGTTCATGTTTCAGAAGATGCTAATGTTTTTCCTGATGTACAGAGTCCATCTTTCTCATTTCAGCTACCTGGTGTATAATATTTATTGGCAGGTTATATTGAAATTCGGATGCACCGAGGTGCCACCTTTTGCAAATTGCTCCAAAGACAATTTCAGTAATGAAAGTTATAGAGTAATTGCTTCTCTGACTGGTTCACTAACTCTGGTTCAATCTTCATAGAATTATACAGCACAGAAGGAGGTCATTCGGCCCATTGTGTCTGTGCCGGCTCTTTGAACAGAACTATCCAATTCAGTCCCACTCTCTCCCTGTAGCCCTGCCAACTTGTCCTCCCCAAGGAAATCTTGACTCTTGGATTTCCTTCATGTAACTGCTTGCTAATGGTTGTGGTCACATTCTGGGGGAAACTGTTTCAGCTGATGGGCTAATGCAATTAGGAACTACATTTCTACTGAGAATTTAAGGCACACAGCAGTGTTCCGTGGATAAGGCAAACATGGGCAGTTAATGGCTATTTAGAGTTGTCAAGTATGCCTCCAATCTTGGGAGTTGATTCTGTACAAAAAAAACTATGCGTTGAATCAGGTGGTTTGCATGGTCAAATTGGAGAAGTTCTGCGGATTTCAATATTTTGAAAATTAAAGTTATTACTCATTATGAAGAAAATTAAAGTTAATACTGCAGAAGATCCACAACTTCCACAAGTTGATCCACAAATTAAAACTATAGCACCTTAAACGGGACTTAGCTCTACATAAATGGGAAATTGAATTGAATCTTTTGAGACGAATGCATATAATTTGATATTTTAAATTTGTATTTGTTCAATCAAATGTTTTAATATCTAAATCCCATCTTTAAATTTAATTTACTCTAACCAAACAAATAACGAAAGTACCAATTGCTATTTTAGACAGTCCTTTTAGAATTCTGGTCCAACCAGTGAAACCCCCAAAATGTCTTTAAAAAAAGTTAATTATAATTAATAATATCCAAATGTACAAGGAATGCTATCAGTGCTTTCAAGTAGCAAGTTATTTTCTTCTGACTATACTTTAAACAGGATGTCATGTGGAAGAATTAAATACTCTGCCATACAGACACTAGATGGAACCAGAGCTTAATTATGAAACGGGTGTGTGATTTTTGTTAAACATGCATATGTTAGGTAGCTTTTTGAAATATGTGCTCATGAAATGGAACGTGAGCTATTTAGGAGTTTTTGACCAAACATAAACAGTGCTTTTTCCTCTTCCCACTGCTGTCTGGTGTTAACTTTAAAAACTGTTTAAGCATCTAGCAATAAGAGGCAGGGGAAAAAAATGATACCTTTCTAATGGCCATTATTTGCTGACTTTTTGAAACCATTAAAATAACCATAGTTGTATGTCTCATTCTGGGTCAGACAGATTTTTAAAAATCCTTACATTTGATAGTGTGTTGTCACATTGTCAGTCTCAAAATATTTCACTGAATATTTCTGTCAAAAAAATAGTGACTGTATTTTTAGACAAATGTGTTTGGTAACGTTCCACAAAATGGCCAAGAAGCAAATGATCAATTTTATTTTGGGGATTCAGGTGTGGGACACCAGGAGAAACTCCCTTGTCTTTTTTGAATAGTGCCTTAGGACCTTTAATGACCACTTGAACAGGCAGACAGGATCTCATTTAACAACACATCTAAAGGACTCTGCCATTGCAACTCACCCCAGAAATGCCCTGGAGTTTTGTCCTACACTGAGCTCAAAATACAGACCCACGGTTTGAACTCAAAGGGGAGGTTCTGAGGGGAGAGTGTTACCAACTGAGCCAAGCTGAACCTGTATTTTATTCTACAATACTACATTTCAATTGCTGATTGCCTCAGTTACGATTGTTGATTCTTTATGGTTTTTACTATTCAGACCATGACATTGCATATGGCTAAACACTGATTCTTGTGGAGCCCTTGACCAATCTTATCATCCCAACACTGATCCTCATTTCTTTTGGTGGGTGATTGCTTTCCCAATTTAGTTCAAAAATGGAAGATTAATTGAAAATAATCTAATGTATAATTGCCATTAATTAATTAGAAAGGTTAGATTTACAATAACCATTTTATTAAAGGTGATATCCTAAATTCACTGTTTAAAAGCTTTGTGACATAGTGCACCTGGACTTTCAAAAGACGTTTGCTAAATGCACGACATAAGAAATTGTATTCCCCTGATGTTGACTGCTGAATGGAACTTGCATCGGCCCATTGAAAAGCCCACCAAATTTGCAAATTGCTGCTGTTTAGCCTGGGTTGACATTACACCTAGAGGTCTTTAGCAGGAATATGTCATCAATAATTGCCTCTTGAAAGTAGTTGTTTCGATGGTTATCTGGTTAAGGCAAGGTAACAGGAGGATGTGGTCTAGCAGATCCCCTGCACTGTTACGAATCTGAGTTTCATGATCAGTTGAAAGGATTCCAAATTAAGCCTGAATCATGGAGAATTAATTAAATTGTTTGATAAGAAATTGATCGATAAGTGAAGAACATTTCTGATGTGAGAATCAACTCTGATGAGCTGCTGTTACAGTTGAGACAAGGGAAGCCAAATAGTTTATAACATTTAGAATAAATGTATTACTCCTTCATTTGATTGAAGTAATCCCTGCCCTCATGACAGAAATAAGGTGTAAAGATTTAAAATATATCAAGAAGAAAATATGATATTTTTAAGAAGCTGTGAAACTTTGCAGCAAAAATGTGATTCTTTTGCTTTTATATTCTAATGCTACTTCAGCTGAATTACTTTTATACTGCATTTTATGTTTATTTGGGCCAAAGCACATCTTGACAAAATCAATAAAGAAATCTACGAATAGGGAAAATATGTACTATATACTTTGACCAAAAAAAGGGCAAGTTGATCTCAATCCAGGTCATCATAACTTGTGCAAAGGAATTTAACCCACGTTAAACCCAATGAATTTGTTACTCTTTCAAAAATTATTTTTGATTATAAAGGCATTTCTTTATCTCACATAACTGCAAGTCACCACGGTTAGAACCAAGATATTTTAATATACACTAAATAATTGAGAATAATGATTTAAATCAAATTGTTAATCCTTGGTGAACTTTGGTACTGATTTAACAAATGCATCAGTCAGCAAATAAGCACATACAGGTAGAGAACTGTCTGGTATAAATTGATGAAACCAATTCAATCAGTACCATTCATCAGTCAACATGAGGGGAATTATTTTCTTATTAACCTTGACCATTGTGGGTAAGTTAATAAACATGTTGTGCTCTCTAGTTTTAATTGTTTTAAACATTTATACCAAAAATATTTGTTCTCATTTGCATATATGTGTTCTTCAAATTCCAGGAGGTGAGAGAAACCTTGGTAAGTGCAATTTTCTTGTTTGAAAAATACAGTTTTTCAACATGACTTTAATTCAGTGATTTAATCAATACTGTACTAACTTGATTCAAGTACCCAGTTTCAATGAAAGAAAAACACACGTTTACAAGTATGAAGGCATAATTCTAACTGGACTTCCAGAAAGTGGTTTGAACCGAGCAGGTTTAAAAATTACTTGTGGAGTGCAAATCAGCAGACTGACACAAAGAATCCATCTTCTTAATGTAAGTAGATGTAAAATACTATCATGATCATCAATTTAAATAAAAATGTGATGCTGAAAATAGAATCGCAAAGTAACCAAAAGACAGGCAACTACAATTAGTTATTTGTGTAATGTTGTTTCTCAAGCGGAAAAGTCACACGAGCACACACACACACACCCACAACAAAATTACTGTTATATAGCGCTTTTCACGTCAGGAGGACATCCCAAGGCCTTGGGACACACTCTCCAAGTGACAAAGGCAGATACCATCTACACTGCTGTGAAAATAGAACTGGGATTAAGTGGGTGCCAACAACATGGGTGAAAGTTTTCACTCTGGAATGAATCAATAAATCTACGAAGAATCTGACCTTGCGATGTGGTAGCACCTCAAAGTACGTCATCGTCCTGTAATTACTGTCAAATGTAATCATTTTTGTAAGCAAATGCGGCAGCCATTTTGTGTACAGCAGGGATCCCAAAACAGAATGATCAATTTGTCCAGAAGATTGTTGACCACAGCTTCAAAAGTCTGGTTCTTCCCAAAGAGAGGTAGTTGCTACGATGCACAATGGAAAATCATAGAAAATTTCATTATCCATTTTGATATTGCAATATTTTCAAAAATGAAGAATGCAAATCTCTTTTTAAATACAAATTGTATAATTCTCTGTGGCCAATTCATTGTGCCTATTGGTTATTTACGGGTAATGTGTTATGCCTTTCAAAATTTGTTCGATGCTGTTTCTTAGTTCATTTGGTTTTCAGATCACAGACCCTCAGATTCAGGAGCTCAATGGTGTTTGGCCCAATGTTCCATCGAATACAGCAAATAAATTGACACAAAGACTGGCAGCCGACCTGACCAAACCTGTGAAGTTTGAATACAGCAATGGCCGAGTTGGAAATATTAATGCCCCTAAAGGTTTGCCTGAAAACATACTCAATATCCACAGAGGCATTTTGAACATGCTTCAGATCACTATGAAGAACACACAGAATGTCTATGAGTTACAAGAGGTAAAGGTTCAGGCTTCACCACTCACAGCAGATATTTACATAAGTATTGTTATTGTATAATAAACCAATTTGTCTCTCTCACCTTCAGGCTGGAATTGAAGGCATCTGCCATACAAAGTACATACTTCAGGAAAACAGAAAGGCCAACCAGATTATTGTAACAAAATCAAAAGATCTGGATAATTGTCAGGAAAGGGCATTGGAGCAAATTGGTCTTGTGTATACAATGCTATGCCCTACCTGCCAGCAGGTAAAACTGTTAGCTTTTCATCATATTATTCTAGATATTATCTGTATGTCATACTTAAAAATATATTTGTGACCTAGTTTACCTTAAACAAAAGCTATTTGATATGCATTTTGAACCATTTTAATCTTTTTTTAACTCTATTAATGGAATTGCATGGAATGGTAATCACATTTTTTCCTACTTTAGAGAAGCAAGAATTTACGCAGTATGGCGACATTTACCCATATCCTGAAACCTAAACTGTCTGGTGCACTCATTGTTCAGGTTGAATCGCGTGAAATACATCAATTTACACCATTCCATGAACTTGATGGAACTGCGATTATGGAGGCAAAGTAAGCTTCCAAGAGTGAGATTATGAATTCACAAAGAATTTGTAGAAAATACATATTATTTTGCTTCACCTCAAATTTCAAACTGTTTTTAATAACAGAATGTTTTGAATAATAATAATCCTTGCATTTGATATAGCGTTTTTCACGTCGGGAGGACGTCCCAAAGCGCTTCACAGAACACACTGTAAAGTGAATTGACTGTATATTTGTGGGCGAACGCGGCAGCCAATTGCGCACAGCAATGTCCCACAAACAGTCGTAGATTGAAAATGACCAATTTTTATTATTGTTTTTGGTTTTGGGGGGATTATTATTAGGCGTGTGGAGTGAGGAAACTTGCCCAAGGTTTCGCCCTGCCTGGAATTGAACTCAGGTCTCTCACTTGCAAAGCGAGCGCTCTAACCACTGAGCTACAGGACTCCACAATCTATCCAAGTATATTGTGTTATAATTTAAATTTATAATTATGTATGATTGCAGATTATGCCAATGTTGCAATAATTTGCTGCAAAACAAAATAATCTTGTTAACATTTCCAGTGCTAATTACCTGTCATTTGATATAATGTTTGAATGTCTAATAATGTCACACACATTATGGTACATTTCTTATTAATATTTTGCTTTTCAGACAACACCTCTTTCTGGATAATGTCATAGCTGTAAAGGTTTCTGAACCTCAAGTTGAGCTTCAGAGCCGTGGAACTTTGAAACACCACTGGGATAATGATATACTCCAGCAACCAATCCAATTAATTAAATACCAAACTCTGGAAACCCAGGTAAATATCAACACAATATTGTTGTGCCGTTCCCCCATCCCCCCCCACCACCATGTGATAGGGTGCACTTTAATACCACTATATTTGTAAAATTTTTTATATAGATAATTGAAACCTTGAACCATTTGGCCCAGAACAATCAGGATCAGGTTCATTCTGATGCTCCAGATAAATTTCTTCAACTTGTGCAGCTTCTTCGTACAGCATCAGATAAAATCATTGATAGTGTGTGGAAGAATTATGCAACAAAACGGGCGTACAGGTAACTAATTAATCACAATATTCTCCGTCGAGAATTTAGTTAACCCAAACACATACATACTGTATATATGATACAGTAGATACAATTATATCCGAGGCATTGGTAAGCTTTCTGCTGCTTGTCCATTTGTGGACATTTTATTAAATAGCTTCACAGGATACACTGTAAGGGATCAAAACGCTGTGTATTTTGTAGGCGAATATAGAACAAGAAAATGTTTTCACCTTGTTTCTTAAACGTAGACACTGGATTTTGGATGCACTTCCTGCTGTAGCAACAGCTGATGCTCTGAGATTTCTCAAACACAAGATTCAGTATTCAGAAATGAAAGCCACCGAAGCAGCTCAGGCTTTAATTCTTGCAATGCAGCAACTTAAAGCCGACCGGCAAAGTGTGTCTGCAGCTAAAGTGAGTATAGACCTACTATTTACCTGAATTTTGTGATTTGGAGAGGAACCACACCAAAACTTTTTCCCTAATATTTTTGACATGTGTTTGACATTTAACAGTGCACCAAAATTACTCTTAATATATTTTTTTTTGCAGGGATTACTTAGTGTTGCTCACGTGCAACATTCCTCCATTCTTCGCCAGATTGTAATTCTTGGATATGGTTCTGTGGTTATGAGGTACTGCGCAGATCGCCCAACATGCCCCGCTGATGCTCTTCAGGTAAACTGCTGTGATTAATAGCTCATTCGCCATTGAGTTTACATGAGATTAACAAGACTCTACCTGAGGTTTTTTCTTTCCAGCCACTCCATGATCTACTTGTTCAAGCTGATCGGAATTCCCACGAGCATGACATTGTTCTCAGTCTCAGAGCAATAGGTAATGCAGGACAGCCTTCAAGTATAAAACATATAAAGAAATATTTGCTTGGTTTTGGAAGTGACTTGCATCTTCCATTGAATATTCAAGTTGATGCAGTATCTGCACTGCGTAACATTGCAATGAAAGACCCACAGAAGGTACGAAAATCAGCATACCACACCTCCAGTTAAAAATCAAGTTACATTGAATCAAATCATTCTTACAAACCTGCAATTTGATAAAATATTCTATACATTTTTTTGATCTTTTCTTTGTTATCTTTTGAGACAGGTACAAGATATTACAGTACAGATATTCATGAATCGAAAGAATCATCCCGAAGTACGAATGATTGCTTGCGTTGTGTTGTTTTCTACTAAACCTAGTTTAACTTTAGTGACAGCGGTAGCTGATTCACTGCTAAAAGAGACCAGTTTACAGGTTACCAGCTTTACATATTCACATATGAGAGCTCTGTCCAGAAGCTCGCTGCCATCTGCCAGACCAGTGTAAGTGTAGTACTGCATCGCATAATCTTCACAGCACCAAATGCTGCCAATCAGCCCTTGTGGAGTTATTTTCTCTAATACTATTCCAATTATTTTTTTCCCATTACTCTTATTATTTCCTTTTAAATGCTGTATGTAAATGATCCTTCTAACCTCATCCTTTTTTATACTAATATAGTCAATTTATGTTCACTATGTAATTCACTTTGCAACTAGTGAGAACTTATTTGCACTGTTAAAACCAATTTTCAGTTTTTACTGGTGAAATGTTGCATGTATTTAGTAATCCATTATTTAGTAATTTGGAGCCTGTATTGATAATCCAGTAACAATTCACGTTAACAGGGCTGCATCCTGCAATCTAGTCATCAAACTCCTGACCCCCAGACTTGACCAACTTGGTTCCCGATACAGTAGAGTTTTCCGAATGGAAATGTTTAGATGTAAGTTCTAGCAAGATTCTAAAGGCAACATTAAATCAATGGTTAAATAGCTGTGTTTAAAAGAGACTTTTTAATTGAGAACATATTATTAAATTTCATTAAATTTGTAAAATTGTCTCAGAATAGATTCCACATGAAGTACCTTTTATTGTGTGTGCCTTGTAAATATCTAGGAAATGTCTAATTTCTAATCAATATTATTTTGCAGCATTACTATCTCTAGTATCTAAAACAATTCAATTTCTAATATAAACAGCTTAGATTCAAATATACATTTGAAGGCTTAAAACAATTGCAATCTTCAACTGGAAGAACCAATAAATTTATTGTTGTATCTTTCAGATAATCTAATGACAGGAGCATCTGCTGAAATGCTTTTCATAAATAATGCTGGCAATGCAATCCCATCAGCAATCTTGGGCAAAGTTCATGGTTATGCCCTTGGCTCTTCAGTAGATCTTGTGGAGGTAATGGATCACTAATTTGGAGTATTCAATTCAATATGAAATGGATCTCTAACTTCACGATGGATTTCCTATCTACGTGGAATGTGGATTAAGTATAATAAACTGATTTTTTTTATCCACCAAGGTTGGCTTGCGAGCAGAAGGTCTTCAGGGAGCCCTAATGAGAAATCGTGTAACACTCAGTGGAAAACCAAATATTGAAAAGATTCAACGTATTTTAAAAATGGTAAGAACAAATTTGCACGCTCACTGGTTAACAAATACTTTGTAATATATTGGCATATTTCAAAACTTGGTTCCTAATCCATTTGATTTTCCAGCTTTCTGGATGGAAAGCTTTGCCTGAAGAAGTACCTTTGGTGTCAGCGTACATCAGATTATTTGGTCAAGAAATAGCCTTTGTTGAACTCAGAAAAGACGACATCCAAGAAGCCACTCAGGTACCAGAGAGCTATGCAAAGTATGCTTGTAAAAATACAACTGAATGAGCTGATCTGAGCAGAATTCTGAGCACCCACTCTAATCATTGTTATGCCACTAGGTTCATTTCACTTTTCTGTACAGTCAGACACTCGTGGATCGAAAGTACTAACTGGATTACGGAAACTTCTAGATCGGCTCCATAACCAGATTGGATTACATGCTTCTGTAGCATTACTAGCAGCTGAGGTACGACATGTCATAGCGACAAGTCTTGGTCTGCCAATGGAACTGTCCTTTCATTCATCTGTTGTAACAGTGGCCACAGCAAATGGTGAGCATATATATACTTTATCTCTAATTTCTTTCCTTTCACTTCCTTAAAAGGGCTCTTAAATAACCACAGCCACATTTGACTTACAGTGGAAGTGTACAACACATTAACCTTTCAATGAACTCTACCAAAGTCTCAATTGGAAATTTCTGCTTTCGTTCTCGAACAGAACATAAATTGTTGTTTGATTTAAGGGTCAGCCACACTCTTTCCATAGATGTGAAATAAGAATAATTGTCTGTTGAGGATCTTCCATTCATATAAATATAGGAACTAACAGAGAAATGCCTCTCACTGGACTTGTTGCAGGAAATAAAATTTTGTTGCTGACTCATTTTATTCCTTTCTCTTAAACAGTTCAAGCACGCATCTCTCCTTCCTCCATTTCTTCAATTTTTCAGTTACTCAATGCCGACATTCAATTGAAGACCACAATGAACCCAAGGTATTTGTTTATTAAACAAAAGGAAAATCGTACTTGATTTCTGTTGAAATTTATGCTGTAGTGTAGAAGGATCTCATTTTTATGTTCTTATTCAGATTCTTCTCTGTATTAAATCCTTGTCTGATTTAATATTTTCTGTGGTTTGCAGTGTAGCTATTTATACCAAAGCTGTCATGGGAATTAATGCACCCTTCATCCAGGCGGGTGTGGAACTCCAAGCAAGAGTCTGTATGAATCATCCAATAAATATAGCTGCAAGGATAAATCTAAAAGAAAGAAATCTGAAGATTGAAAGTAAACCAGCTCAACAGGAGAACCCGATCATATCATTCAAGTAATTAATACTATCTTCCTTACTGCAAACATATGAGGTTAAAGGTATTCATTAGTTTCCTTTTCTATAATATTTCTTATTTTTTTAAAAACTCTTAAGGTGTTGTTTCTTCTTGGCGTACAATACCATTAATGACAGCACCACTGTTTTCAGACAGGAACCCAGTTGATGACTGCATTATTTTGCCATTGGAACCTGCTGTAGCAGAGCTCGATCCTTCCTCACTTGATTCTCCTCTTCGACCATAGCTTCAGTCACCCTCCTACCCCTACCCTCCACGCCCTGCACCCCTCCTGATCCCAACCAGCAGCTCGGGTGTGGATCCCTGACTGGCCAGCGCCTTGGGAGGTCCTGCTGACATGAAAGGCGCTATACAAATTTAATTTGTTATTGTTGATTAGAAGAAGGAACTATATCAATTTACTTTTAACTCATCTTCCTTATAGGGGTAGAGGGTTAGGGAGGGAAGCTAATACCAATTTTAGCATCAGCGTGGCTGAGATGGACAACATCACAAATTCAGACAGGAACCTTTCTGTTTCACGTGGCTCAATACCACACTATTCAGTATACATATCACTGAGAGACTAGGTGAACTCTGCTTATATTGCTTATGTAGTGTGTGTGTTTTAAAACAGTGTTGCTTTTGCTATGTTAATAATATTTAATATATTCATTGAATATGAAGGTCACAAGTTTTTGCTGTTTCAAGAAATATTGAAAATTTAGCTGCAACAAAAATGACACCAATTTTACCTGCAAATACAATTACAAAGCAAGCCTTCATGTCTTCAAAGAGGTCATCCAGAAAGAATAGGCAAAAAATTGTAAGTAACTGATTTTTCTTTCACATGAAATAGGATGACCTTAGTCTTGTGTGCAGGTTTCCATTCTTATACACCTCCGCACTGTTTTCTATTTGCTGTGTACTTGTGTTCTTAGTTTTTTTTAATATACTGTAATACAAAATTATGTTATGTCATTGGAAAAGTGTGACATTTCTTTGTTGTTCTACAGGCTCAACAGTCTTCAGGAATAATATCAGAAGAAACTGAACAGAGAAAACGATCACAAGTTGCAAGAACTTCTACATATAAGATTTGTTCCAGAGCAAGTGAATTGGGGATTGAAATTTGCCTTGATGCATCAATAGAAGATGCTGTTTTTATCAGACCATCCCCATTGTATGCAATGATAGGCGAGCATGCTGTTACAATATTTGTAAGACCAGGTAAAGAAATCTAAAAAGCACATTTTGCACTTAAGTATTTAAGTACTTTTGCAATATTGTTGGCAAGGTTATGATTCACGATAAACCTTTTGTTTGCATTTCACTCAGAGTCAGACATTGAAACAATTGTGCTAGAAATACAGACAGGATCCAAAGCAGCTTCAAAAGTCATTCGAATGATGCAATGGGAGAATCAGCAAACTGTAAGAATCCAGCACGAAATATATATTGATCAATATCTAAGGCGATACATTTATTTCTTGTGTATTGAACTCTAACATTTAAGAACATCGCTAAAACATTTCTAATTTACTACAATAGAAGTGTCAATAAAATATGAATAAACAAGTACCTGATCCAACTGTAGAATCCCAGTATTTCTTTACTGATCATTTCTTAAAACATTGTTTTAATTTGATTAATTTGATACATCTCAAAGACGTGAAAACACTATATTAAATGCAAGGATTATTATTATTGTCCCAAATACAAATGTAATACTTATGGGCATCACATTTCTCGGAAAATACATTTTTAATTTATGATGATTCATCTAGAGAGTTTTATGATTATTGAGCTTTCCAACACAGATAGAAGCTGTATAATTAATACAACTATCAAGAAAAGGTTTTGCCCAGTTCATGATCTCTGTCTCCACAATATAATCATGGATGATTTTACTTCTGAACTGTTTAGCGTTCAAGCACAAGGATCTCAATGAGAGGTTTGTCAGGAAGAAATCCATCCTCTGGTTCAAAGCGAACACAAAGCAGTAGCAGTTCATCAATTCTTCAATCATCTCGCCAGGTTTGTCTTCTGCTCAACAGTAAAGTTTCAGCATACTTGAGAACTCAGATGAGCTCCAGGTCTAATTAATCTATTTAAAATATATTTGTTTGTAATCCTAGGACGAACTCATCAGGAGCGCTGGCTCCCCTATTCTCACCATCCTTCTTCGATCCGTAAGGATTGACAGGAAACAGCAAGGCTATCAGATCACTGGATTCGCAGAGGTTTCAGATCGCAAACCCAGAGTTCACTTGCGTGTGGTAGAACTGGCTGAAGATAGCAGGTGGAAAATCTGTGCTGATGGTATAATGCCTCATGGACATAAAGCAATGGTAATAGACAATTCTTCTGTAGCTACTTGAATCTACACAGAGAATATTTCTCATTATTCAGTAAAAATAATCTTTAGTAAAATATTCTTTAGGTACTATTGAGATGGGGTAAAAACTGCCAGGACTATAAGGTTTATGTTAAGGCTTCGACTGGTGACTTTGCAAGCCATCCAGCAATTAAGATGAAATTGCAATGGTCCAGGATTCCTGATTGGTTGAAATCAAGTGGAAGAATGTAAGTTTCAAAATAACATATTTATCTCACTTCACTGTGCACTTTCTATGCTGTAGGAAACAATACGACTGTGCTAATTTATGTATTTTATCTGGAATCAGGGTTGGAGAATCATTATCAGGAATTGATTACCTGACAGGAATGTCCCAAAGATATCAAAATAATCCTTCTCATCAGATTACAATGTTGGTCATTCTAACAACACCACAATCCATTGATTCCATTATTAAAGTACCCAAGGTATCGCAATCTATATTTACTTTTATCTCCTTGTACTTCAAGTGATATTTCTTTGCCTCAAGAGCTTCTGTTTTTAACGTCAGAATAACAATAATCTTTGCTTCTGTTTCAGATGACAGTCTATTATCAAGGTGCCCAATTTCCTTTATCAATTCCCATTGGTGCAATCTCTCCACGGGTAAAAGCAAGAGGATTCAAATCCATCACTGAAATTCCTGACTTGCTTCTTACAATGAACCAACGTAATTATTAATTCCAAGTTTGGCCTCTAAATCTCAATTAGCTATACCCAAATGATTAATTCAGTTGAATCTTGTTAAATCATTTTAAGTGAAAAACAATGTAGGAAAGCATCTTCTCAGTTTATTCAAAATATTAACGTAGGAAGGATTTTTGTGTTGCATTAAAGTGTGGGAAAATATTTTATTTTCTACTTTAATAATTTGGTCACTCAATCCACGACTGTTTGTGGGACACTGCTGTGCGCAACTGGCTGCCGCATTTTGCCCATAAATATACAATCATTTCACAATATAGTGTATTCTGTGAAGTGCTTTGAGACGTCTAGAACATGTGAAAAGCACTATATCAAATGCTAGGATTATTATTACTCCTTCAGATTGCTTTTCTTGGCATTATTTTAAGACCAACAGAGATTACTCCCAGTGATGTCCAACATTATTTCCTAATCCAAGTTTACATGAAGTAAGTAGTTGGACATTGATCTCAATATTGTTTATGGGACTTCACCAGCACAGGTTAGCCACCATATTTATCTATGTATGGCAATGACTATGTTTCAAATTAACTCATTGTGTAAAGCATCTTAATGTAATAAGCTACTATATTAAATGCAATTCTTATTTTAAATACAAAGAAATTCAGTTCATTCTCTTTGTATTTAAAATAAAAATAATATAATAATAATTCTTATATTTGATATAGCGCTTTTCACATCTTCCAGATGCCTCAAAGTGCTTCACAGATTATACTATAAAGTGAATTGACTGTATATTTGTGGGCGAAACGCGGCAGCCAAATGCTCACAGCTGTGTCCCACAAATAGTCGTGGATTGAATTGACCAATTTATTATTGTTTTTCTTTCTTGAGGAATTATTATCAGGCTATTTTAAGATAAAATAAATTATTATTTATCATAAAATATTTATTTATAGAAAATATTATTTATTTAAAATATTTTAAAATTGCACAGCTTCTATTTTGGGGGTAATCATCTGTCAATTTCTGACTGGATTTCCTAATAAAAAAAACAGAAGTACATCACTCCAACTCAGGGGAACTATGCTCCAAATCGATTGCAATCTCACAAATTGGATTGTTACCTATGAGTTTCCATTTAGTTTCCATCTTAAGGATCCTTGGTCTACATATAAAGGAATTCTGTTAGAAATCACTACATTATTGGTCTCCAATGTGTAGATTGCCAAATAGGTATTTTGTGTAATATTTTTTATTTTGTATTTTTGCAGGGAAGTGTATTGCAGAACAAAATAAGGTACTTTCATTTGATAATGACCAGTTAGAATATCAGATACCTAATAACTGCTATTATGTCCTGACACAAGACTGTTCAAGTGCTCCAAAGTTTGTTTTATTAATGAAACGTGCGAAGATTCAATCAAAGAAGTCAATAAAGATCCTAATATCAAATCCCAATCTGTAAGTAACATTACAAATAAGCTTTATCTCTTTTCTTGATTCAAGAAAATGTACATAGTTTATGGCTGATTTATAAATTAGGTAATGATGCAAACAAAAGCAGTCAGATATTATTGTAACTGGACATTATTGATCCCTTAATAATAAATCTATAGCGGATAAAGAATAGCACACATTTAATGCAACTAACATAATTTTCCTTAAATACATGTATAAATCCTAGTTGAAGGTCTTGGGAAAGTACATCACACAATTATATTTTTACGGTTGATGCCTTTCTGGAAGCTTACGGTTCTTTAAATAGAATTTTGTGATTTTGTTTCTTAACAGTGTCATTGAAGCATATCCTGAAGATCAAGATATTAAGCTGTTAATTGACAATGTGGATTGCCCAGTGAGCTCCCTACCAAGAGTTGAACAAGGTGAGTGTTTACTATATTGGCTAGATGGTTAAATGTTCTAAAACCAGTAGCAGAAATGTGAGACGTACAATGCAGTTCAGCTCAAAATGTATAAAAGTTTACTTATTTACCCATCATCGCTTACCTTTTGACACCACATAGTTTAAGGACATTATTGTACTTCCTGTTTTCTTTATTCTAATTTAGGTATTGTCCAGATTCGAACAAATGGCACTGGAATTATTTTGGAAGCAAAACGCATTCAATTGGACTTATTATACTTTGATGGAGTCAAAGTGCAGGTAGCTCACCCAACTGATGAGATAATTTTCCAAGTAGATTGTTTAGAATTGTGGTTGACTAATATATGTTTTATTTTAACTGTGTTTTAAGGTTGTGGTGAACCAGATGAATAAGCGGACTTGTGGTATTTGTGGGCATAATGATGGGGAGAGAAAGATGATAATGCCAAATCACAAGCAAACTGAAAGTGTTGATGTCTTCTTCCAATCGTGGTTATGTGCAGGAACCACCTGCCAAGATGGTAGGGGATTCTGAATTACTTTTAAACCATGTTATGTCACAAAAGAAAAAAATGATGCCTGCATCCATTTCTTCAGAACAAGAACATATGCATGTTTTTTCTTTTATTTTAGAATGCAAAGTTCAGCGTGAATTTGTAGAACTAGAATCACCACTGAAGTTTGGAGGCAGCGAGTCCAAATGCTCTCCAATAGAGCCAGTCCAACGCTGTCTACCTGGGTGTTCACCAACTGGAAAAGTTCCTGTCAGTGTCGCTTTCCATTGTGTACCAACTGGTAAGTTTATGGATTGTTTTCAAGTAATAATAATAATAATCCTGGCATTTTGATATAGCGCTTTTCACGTCAGGAGGACGTCCCAAAGCGCTTCACAGAATATACTGTAAAGTGAATTGACTGTATATTTGTGGGCGAACGCGGCAGCCAATTGTGCACAGCAACGTCCCACAAACAGTTGTAGATGGAAAATGACCAATTTATTATTGTTTTTGGTTTTTAGTACATTATTGTTGTGTTGAACTTTAAGATACAAAACAAAGCTGCAAAAGTGATGGGTGGTAGTAGTTATCAATGAGTATGAAAGTATGATTTAAGAATTAAAACAGAGGTACTGTCCATTCGTATCAGGCTGATAATAACATAATTACATCCCAGACGAGAGGCCATACCGTAGTATTTTCTTTCTCAAATTTTATTTAATTGTAACAAAATACTTTGACTTACAAAAATTGACAATAAACAACATTTGTTATTACATAAAGCAAGATAAAGTGTATTGGTAGGAAATGATGTGTTGTGTTGGAATTCTATGACTAGTTTAATTTCCGATTGCAATATTAATCAAACAATATGGAAAAATCATCACTTGATTGTTTTAAAAATATATACAATGTGTACTTCAATTATATGTGATCATAACCAGTCTGTTTAAGCAAATATGTTCAAATTGTTAATTAAGCATATATTGCATTCTTAACAGATACTTATATGAGTCAACCTTTGAGTTTCGATTTCCATCACTCTGTGGATTCCCATAGTGACTGTACTGAAGCATGAAGACTTCCATCTTCCTTGACTGCATTGAGGATAGAGTTTTCCTGCACACCAAACTCACTCGAGACTCAAATGTATAATTTCTGACAGTCATATTGTTGCTATGCTAATTTCAAAAATGAACTTTAAAATGTGTAACTGTACAGTTAACTCATCATTCCAGAATATGCATTCATATATTCCAATAAAGTTATTACCTGTCAGCAAGTTTAAATACCCAATACTGTGTGTGAATTATTTATATACATAGCAACTGGATCACTGGAAATAGCAACTGAATGAGGAGAATCAAGCAAAGAAGAATCAAGTTGACCTTCCAAAGTCAAAGTAGTTAGAAGAACATATAACATTCAACAACATCAGCACATTGCAACTTCATATCTGATTTGATTTTATATTGAATTTTTCTGGAATATTGGGAAAAAAAGGTTCAAGCTTCACATTGGGGCTTGAGCTCCTAATTTAGGTTAACTTTCCAGTGCAGTAGTGTCGTCCTTTGGTTGAGATGTTAAACTCATGGGGAGCCATATTGGTGTAGGTTTTGTTTGATTGTGGAAGACGTGAGCTCAATGGGCCAAATGGCCTTCAGTCATTCCATATTTTCATATATTTTCATGAAGTAAATCAGAACAATTTTGATCAGTGTTCTGAAGGATTCATTGCCAAACCTTGTGGGAGTAAAACACCCTGAATTGTTTTGGGTTTGGAGAGGAATTTGCAAATAGGAATGAAACAGTAAATACAGTACACTGACATTAGTCCTCTCCAGTACTGTGCACTTTTTTTCCAGGAAAATCTTTAAGGAATCTATAATCCTTGCATTTGATATAGTGCCTTATCACGCTGTTGTGACGTCTCAAAGGGCTTCACTGAATATACGGTAAAGTGAATTGATTGTATATTTTGTATACAAACATGGCAGCCAATTGTGCACAGCAATGTTCCACTGGGAAAGCTTTCCAGAGTTTCATTCTTCAAATGTATCATCATTTGAATTGTTCTTGTGACAATAATGCGCCATGCAAACATTCAGAAGATTTGTATATCATGAATATACATCTGTGAGCTCTTACAACAACAACAACAACATTCCATTTATAGAGCGCCTTTCACGTCGGGAGGACGTCCCAAGGCGCTGTACAGTTGGGTCAGGACCCAAGCAAGGGGGAAATGGTCAGGGTGAGGGGAGGGACGGGAGGGAGCAAGGAGTGGGTAGAGAGTCGAGAGGGGAGCTGAAGGCACGGTCAAAGAGAAAGGTCTTGAGACCGGCCTTGAAGGAGGAAAGGGAGGAGGCGGAGAAGGCACTGGGGGATAGAGTTCCAGAGCCTCGGGGCTGAGAGGCTGAAGACCCGGCCACCGATGGTAGGGCGGTTGGGGCGGGGGATGTGAGCAGACCGGAGCCAGAGGAACGGAGGAAACAAACCCAGGCAAGTGCGCTAATACCATCTATGTAAAGAAACTCTTCCCAATATTATTTAAAATTGTCCTTCACAATGCTGAATCTGTGTCCGACTGTCTTGCAGCCTTAATGTATTTGAAAATATCGTTTTGGGTTTACTTTCCCTATTAAGAATTATCTATTAGGCTGAGCTGCTTTCTGAGCTGTTGCTTTAGAAGGCTAAATAGTTCTAACTAACCTAATCACTCTTTCATGACTCATCCTTCCAACACTGAGAATCGATCTTAATGTTTTCCTCTGAACTGCCTCTGGAGCTCAGTTGGCCTCCTAATGTCACAGTGACCAGAACAGTACACAGGTTTGATCATTCCAGAACACTGTAGGTTGAACAGGACCTTGGATGATCTGAACTTACCTGATTTTGCAATGTATCCCAGCATCCCATTTGCTTAGTGTATTACTATCTCATTCTGCTTGGATACAGTGGGCAACTTTTCAACTTCATTCATGGCAATTTCTATCCCATCCTTGGATATGCCATCTCCAAATAAATAACTGTAAGGGTGGTCAGAGAACATTTACCCCATTTGAAGCCATGTTGGGAGTCATTAATGATGTTTTTTTCATGCAGTAACTATCTTGTTTTTGACTACTGATTGTTGAGGACAGGCTAATGAATCTAGAGTTGCCAGGTATGGCATCATTCTTAAATATGGAAACCACATTGGCTTGTTTTTAGTCTGCTTGATGATACCCCGCAAATCGTCATCAGTGCTTGACAAATCTCTTCCCTTGTCTTTCTCAGTGCCCTAGCAATGTATTGGTTTCAGCACCATGAATCCACTAGATCTACTGCCTCACCATTATCAAAATTTAATTGAGAAATATGTTTTAAATAAAACTATGTAAGCAGTTGACAGAGTATATCTTAATACATATTTTATTTGCTCTTAATGTCCTATAATTATTTTATTTTAAGAGGTGGGCGAGTGGGTTTGTTTATATCTTATGTACATTCATTTGTGAATGACATAATTTTATTCATCGGGGAAAATTACATGTGACTATTTGGCTAAATAGTTTATTTTTGCCCTGTCTTATATCGCTTCTCCTACCAGGTAGCTCTCCCATCTCACTGAATCTTGGATATAGATCCAAATATAGATCCAAAACCTTCATTATGTTGTTCATATTCTGTTCGCAATTGATTCAATTTCCAAATTCTTGGTCTCGTAACACATGGATTTGCTTTTACCTACTCGGGCTTGTCTTTCATTAATGTAATTAATACAGAAAATGTTTTTTTTCCGTTTGGATATGTACTGCGAAACATCAATTCTTTGGACCCAATTGCTGTTGCAGTGTTATTTTTGCCATATTTCTGTTTTCCCTATTGGAGTATATTTTCCTTACTTACATCTCCCTCTAAATGTTTTTAAAATAATTAAATTTTTCTCTTATTTTCTAATTCTACCTTCCAGTTAATCTTTCCAAAAGCTCACCTCACAGCTGGAACATTTGCACTCACCCCTTTATTGTTACTTTTGGACTTAACTAAAATCTAGTTATGCATAAGGACCACAGTAAGTTTTCACTCATTTCCATGTTATCGCTCAACTTTGGATGACTCCTAATTACAGAATCTAATACATTATAATATCTCAGCAGCATGTTTAACAGCTTCATAGATTTTACTACAAAGTGTAAAATTTACAGTATTTTATGGATGAATTCGGGTGAATACTTTAGTTTAGTATATTAGGTAATTTGCCCTCAAACTGTGTCTGAACAAAATTGATAAAGAAATCACTGCTTAAACAAATCGTGTGCCATAAATTCATTGCCCCAACAAGGGCGAATTGATTTTAACAGATCCAGGTCACCGTAACCTCTTCAGAGGCCTATGCCAAGCTACATCATCAATTTTATGCATTTTAAAGCTTTTTTCAATAGTTCATCTCATTATTTAACTAAACATGTATATAAAGGTATTATATGCAGTTAGACTTTAAAAAGCCATGTATAGTTTCTGCATCATTGTAATCTAGGCAATATCACCACAAATTGGCAACTTCTATTTAAACCAAAATATGTTATTGCTCAATGTGAACTTTGATACTGATCAAAAAATAGATTATTCAGCAAAAGTTACCACGTACAGGGACATGTGGTACAGAACCTCATGCTTTAAAAGAGCTGGCAGAGTGAGCAAACCTCCATTCACCAATCAACATGAGGGGAATCATTTTTGTACTGACTCTAGCCCTTGTGGGTAAGTTAGAAAACTTCCATCTGCTAGCTATGTTCATCTATTTTTTTTATTAAAAAAACAAATTGTGAATCTTTAATTTGGGCTCACTTTTATTTGTTTCTCATTTCTAGGGAGTCATGGATCCAGCGACAGTGAGTAAAACTTTACTTGCTTAACACTAATATTTTGCAACATGAGTTTATTTTTATGTGTTCCTAAAAATATTGCACTATAATTTTACTTTGTTCACAGATTACCACTCTGATGAAAAGAGGACTCAACCTAGCTTCAGTGAAAAGCAGACCTATGTTTATAGGTATGAAGGTGTGGTCCTGACTGGGCTTCCAGAAAAGGGCTTAAACAGAGCAGGTGTGAGAATCAATGCCAAAGTGAAAATCAGCGCACTAGCACAAAGAAACTATTTGATGCTGGTAAGATAATTTATAAATAATAACAGGTTAATTTGAGTAATCATAAAACATTAATCTCACTGAGGGACAAGATATCTCCATCAACCATGAAGGAACCTTATACAAAAGTTAAATCTCAAGATCACATTAATTTCATGCAACAACCCTGAGAACACTGCTCTCACCCACACCAAACTTTGTACCCCAATTACCCCAGTCCTTGCCAAACTCCACTGGCTCCCGTCACAAGAGAGGATTGGCTTCAAGATCCTCACTCTAGTGTTTAAATCCCTCCATTCCTTGGCACCCCCCTATCTCTCTCACCTCCTCTCTCGCCACAGCAGAACCTGCTGCCTCCGCTCTACTGGATACGGCCTCCTCCGTGTCCCCCGAATCCTCCGCTCCACCATCGGCAGCCGGAGCCTTCAGCCACTACACCCCGAAACTTTGGAACTCCCTCCCTCAACCCCTTTGCCTCCCCGCCTTCTTCCCCATCTTCAGGTCGCCCCTGAAGACCTTCCTCTTCGACCACTCCTACAGTCACCTTCACCCTCTCCCTGGCTTGGCCTCGGGCTCCACCATTGTTAAGTGTTCTGATACGTGTAAAGAGAATGAAGTTAAAAACAAATATCTGATCGGTATTTCCCCTATCAGATTGATTTTTGATTATTTTATTAATGCCTGTTGCATTATAATTTTCTTATATGTATTGTACATTTCACTTATTTTTCCTGATTTCCTTATTTTACTGCAAAACAAAAATATAAACTGTTACAAAGTAGTTTTGCCTAACTAACAAAACCGTAAGTACAATGTACTCATTTTTCACAAAAACATTTTGGAATTCTCTAGTCTGAACTCTCAAACTTTACAATCACATTACAGCTCATTTCAGATTTATAAATTATAAAATATCTATATCAATTTTTAATTATTTACCATATTAAAACACAGACTGTTTTAAGTAACATCATAGCAAGTGTGTCAGTACTGGCACAGCTTAGACCATTTATGTGATTTGGTTCATATGTTTTTCAGATCAGAGACCTTCAGATTCAGGAGCTGAACGGTGTTTGGCCCAATGTTCCATCGGGAACAGCAAGCAAATTGACACAAAGACTGGCAGCCGACCTGACCAAACCTGTGAAGTTTGAATACAGCAATGGCCGAGTTGGAAATATTAATGCCCCTGAAGGCTTGCCTGAAAACATACTCAATATCCACAGAGGCATTTTGAACATGCTTCAGATCACTGTGAAGAACACACAGAATGTCTATGAGTTACAAGAGGTAAAGGTTCAGACTTCACACTTGACAGCAGATATTTAGACAAGCATTGTTCTTGTATAATAGACCAATTTGTCTTTCTTCTAGTTGGGAATTGAAGGCATCTGCAATACAAAATACATACTTCAGGAAGACAGGAAGACCAACCGAATTATTGTGACAAAATCAAAGGACTTGAGCAACTGCCAGGAGAGGGTCATGAAGCAACTTGGTTTGGTGTATGCACTGCCCTGCCCCGCCTGTCAGCAGGTAAACTGTCATCGTGCTTTGTTTCATCTTATTATTTTATGTTTCCCAGATATTCACACTCAAGAATATTTTTGTATTGTGTTGGATGTTCTTTACAAGTACATCATTATTATTGTTTTTGTATCTTTAGAGAAACAAGAATTTACGCAGTAACGTGGCTGTCACTCAAATTCTGAGGCCTAAAGTATCTGGTGCAATCATTATTGAAGCCCATGCACGGGAAATACATCAGTTTACACCATTCCATGAACTCGATGGGACTGCTGTGTTGGAGGCAAAGTAAGCTTCCTATGCTTGGATTATAGATACTATAGCAAAGTAAACCTCCAATGCTTAAATTATAGAAATGATGGCAAAGTAAGATTTCAATGCTTAGATTATAAATGTGCCATTAAACAGCCTCTTTGTCTGTCTGTTTTATGTGATCTTCCAGTTCAGGGACACAAACTAAATGTAGTACAAAAATAGAAGTCGCGGGGAACATTCAGCAGGTCTGGCAGATCTATGCAGAAAGGAAAATGAGTCAACGTTTTGGAACCCAGTTCTGACAAAGAATCGTGGACCCGAAACGTTGACTCACTTTCCTTTCTCCATAGATGCTGCCTGACCTGCTGAGTGTTCCAAGCGACTTGTTTTTGTTACAGATTTCCAGCATCTGCAGTATTTTGTGTTTTATTTATAACCAAATATAATATCCCAGCTGCCACCCTAACTGAGATTATTAGGACTAGGGATCTAAACTGGCACTTCACAGTAAAATCCTGTGAAGCACTTTAAGATGTGTCAACGATGTGATACGATGCTATGCCAAAGATTATTATTGTTATTCTGGTCTCTATGGCTCAATTTCATTCTTCAGAGTTGTTTTACCAACTACACTACTGACATAAAATGGGCAGAAAGTTTTCCCTATTATTTTCAAAATAATTTTATTATTATTTCTAACTATTTCTGTAGCAGTTTACAACAATAAAGGTACAATGTTTGTATTTTAGAATTAGGTAGGAGCATTAGTTATATCGAAGTATAGATATTATTTACTGCTAAAACAAAACCCAACTGTGTTTTTCTCCCCTATATGTTGCCGTGTGATTTTTAAAAAAAAATATTACTGGCACAGAGCTATAGTCTGATCAATGCAATTCTTTGCAGACAAAACCTTATTCTGGATGACATCAAAATTGAACTAGTCCATGAACCACAAGTGAAATTTCAGAATCGTGGATCTCTGAAATACCGTTGTGGCACTGATCTAATGCAGAAACCAATTCAGTTGCTTAAGTACCAAAGCCTGGATGCAAAGGTAAACAGTCCCAATGTTATTCTATGGTGTGTTTTACCTACATTATAAAGACTTGAGTGTCACACTGTTTGCTACTGTCTGTAGATAATTGATACCGTGAGACACATGGGGCAGTACAATGAACACGAGGTCCACTTTGATGCCCCAGAGAGATTTTTGGAACTTATTCAGCTTTTGCGTTCTGCCTCATTTGAGATTATTGCAAACAGTTGGAGGAGAGTTGCAGACAATCAAGATCATAGGTAATTATTTCATTACAATATTGTTCATTGTAAAATGTGTTTTATTGTGCATTACCCATAATCTGAACACCTATAGGCACTGAGATGTTTTGGGTAAGATATTTGTTTTTTCATTACAAAAGCAGAATTAAGTTTGCCACACTTAGCAAGGGTGAAATCCCACTCTTGACATTTAGCCCGCCCGTGCACTTGAAGAAAAGATTTGAATATCACGCTGAATGCGGCAAAAAGATAGAAACACAAGAAAATCTTCTCACTTTGTTTCCCAAATGTAGACGATGGCTATTGGAAGCACTTCCTGCTGTAGGAACAGCTGATTCCCTGAGATTGCTCAAACGCAAAATTCAAAGTTCGGAAATCAAAACCATTGAAGCAGCTCAAGCTTTGATTCTTGCAATGCAACAACTCAAAGCCGACCGACAGAGTGTACCTATTGCTAAAGTGAGTGAGATCTTGTGTTATTTACACTTTTAGAGAAAAAAAATCAAATGCTTTAATGTTTGTCACGTGTTTACAACAACAAAATTAAATTTGTATAGCGCCTTTCACATCAGGAGGACGTCCCAAGGTGTTGGACAGTCAGAGTTTTGGGATTGGGGAGGGTGGAGGGCAGGAGGGGAAGCAGGGTGATCGAAAGCACAGTCGAAGAGGAGGGTCTTGAAAATAACGCTTGAAAACTAAAGATTGATCTCCTTTGTATGTCTTCTGTATAGGAACTCCTCTCCGTCGAACAAATAAAACAATCTCCCATTCTTCGCAAAATTGTTCTTCTGGGCTATGGTTCTGTCGTGAACAGATTCTGTGCAGAGCGACAATCCTGCCCCGAAGAAGTCCTGCAGGTAAAATGATGGGTTTAATGTGAGAAATGATCTGGATTATTATATGGTTTGTACAAAACTCTCACAGAGGCTTTTTTTTTGTTGTTCCAGCCACTCCATGATCTGCTTGCCGATGCTGGCAGTCGTTTACACGAACGAGAGATTGTTCTTGGCCTCAAAGCAGTCGGTAATGCTGGACAGTCAACAAGCATAAAGCGTATTCAGAAATTCTTGCCTGGCTTTGGAAGTGCAGCGTTGAGTCTCCCACTAAAGGTTCAGGCTGATGCTGTAGCTTCATTGCGTAACATTGCAAGGAGAGACCCACGAAAGGCAAGAGAAGCATTCCTTTTATTTCAGTAAAAAAAAATAATGTTTTTTTAACTACATTCATTGTGTTAACGTTGAACAAGCTCACTTAAAATGCTTAATGACATTTGTTTAAATGTAAACATTACAAGATGCAGAACTGTTTCTGTTAAATGGTGCTTGGATCGCTGTCAATTTTCTTTTTTTTTCTTTTGAGACAGGTACAAGATATTACCATCGAGATATTCATGAATCGAAAAAATCATCCCGAAGTACGAATGATTGCTTGCGTTGTGTTGTTTTCTACCAAACCTAGTTTAGCTTTAGTGACAGCAGTAGCTGACTCACTGCTAAAGGAGACCAGCTTACAGGTTGCCAGCTTTACATATTCACATATGAGAGCTCTATCCAGAAGCTCGCTTCCAGCTATCAATACATTGTAAGTACACATATAACTCAACACAAATGTATTACCTGGGCAAAATTCATTGTCCTGTAACTAAGAGTTTACCAGCATGGAACCTGTATTGATAATCTGACAATTGTTCACGATAACAGGGCTGCTGCCTGCAATATAGCTGTCAAACTCCTGAGCCCCAGACTTGACCGTCTCGGTACCCGATACAGCAGAGTTTTCCACCTGGATATGTTTAGATGTAAGTGTTGCACTAGCAAATTTCTAAAGGAAAGATTTCTAACTGCAGTGCACATATCTACATGTTTAGAAGAGGCATCTTATCAGAGAGCAAACTTCATCTGTAATCCTTTACTGAGTGTACAACAGAAATCCGACAAACAATATAAACCTGATCAAGTCACGCTAACTTGCCTCAAATTATATAATTTCCTTATTTTCTTGTCTATTACAACTTACTTCCATCCTGTATACCTTATAAATGATGAGAAAATGTATAATGTATATTCTAATATGCTTAACCCTAATTACTAAACAAATGAAATATCTAATTTAAACAAAAAAGCCAGAGCTTAGGCTCAAATATAAATTTGACACTGAACATAGAACCAAATTTTGCTTTTTTTTAAACTGATGAAATAAACTTTTGTTGACAAAGACTTATTTTTGTTAAAATGTTAAAGGAACTGGCCAATTCACTGTACCTTTCTGATTTAGATAATCTAATGACTGGAGCTTCTGCTAGAGTGCTTCTGTTAAACAATGTTGGCAGCACTCTCCCATCAGCCATATTAGGCAAAATCCGAGGTCATGGTCTTGGAGGTTCAGTGGATCTTTTGGAGGTAAATACAATACAAATTACATTCATATAGCGCCTTTCACGTGAGAAGGAAGGAGCTGGACAGACAGGGATTTGGACCAGAGTTGAGAGTCGGGATTGGGGAGGGTGGAGGGCAGGAAGGATAGGAGAGTGGCCGAAGGCTCGATCGAAGAGGAGGGTTTTGAGACGTGACTATTATATGTATTTTAGTATTTGTTTTAAAAAAATATGCTTAGCACAACGTCTGTGTCCTTAAATAATCAATATCAGTATCCACTCATCATGCCCAAATCAAAACAAATAGAAATTATGAGGTTGAACAAGGTCTCCTTAAATTAACAAACCACTCCTTCAAGTAATTCAGTAAGAGATGGACCTAAACTTCTCAATGGATTTCCCATCTACATGGAGTTATTCCTTTGTTTTTGTCAACACAGGTTGGCGTACGAGCAGAGGGTCTTCAGGAGGCCCTAATGATAAATCGTGTCCCCCTCAGCGATAGGACGAATGCAGAACAGATTCTACGCGTTTTGAAAACGGTAAGAATGATTTAGCAACACTACTGGTTAACAGACTGTGATTTTATGACACGTTAGCCTATTTAAGCACTTTGTATTCATTCATGATCAATTTAATTTTTCAGCTTTCTGGGTGGAAAGCCTTGCCCGAAGAAGTGCCTCTGATGTCAGCGTACATCAGATTGTTTGGTCAAGAGCTCGCTTTTGCTGAACTCAGAAAGGATGACATTCAACAAGCCACTCAGGTACCAGAACGCTATACAATATATGATTCGTAAAAGTACATCCGGATGGAGCTGGTGGGAACAGAATTCTGTGTAGCCACTGACTCTAATCACTCTTATTACACCTTTTTGCACAGACACTCAGCACTTCAGTACAAAACCAACTCAAGAGATCCATGGAACAGCTAGAAAGGGGGATTAAAGCACGTCCTTCTAAAGCATTGCTAGCAGCTGAGGTTCGACGTGTTATACCAACGGGTCTCGGTCTGCCCATGGAACTGTCCTTGATTTCTTCTGCTGTTGCAGTGGCCAAAATAAACGGTAAGGGTTTGCAATCCTGTTTCTAATTCCAAATTCCTTTCAGAAGGGCCATGAATGTATTATTTTCCTTTTGGCTTAGAGAGGTAACACAGGTAAACTTGCATACAGTCAGGACCATAACACTTAATACGATTTACGTGTGGTACATGTTAGCGGAAAACTCACATAAGTCATATCAATTTATGTAAAGCTCATTTTGTATTTTGTGACTTGATGAAGGGATCAACACCTCATTTCCCGCGCTTGTTTCAAATGCAGCACCGAGCATGTAGCTGACATCCATGTAGCCGCTAAGTGCACATTTGGTGCTTCATCAATGAAGCTGCTAAATGCAGTAGCAGCGATACAAGTAAGGAGACGATTTGCAAAGGATTTAGGATTATTTGGGACCAAGAAACTGTTACGACATAGCCACTTATCCAATTCGTAAAATATCATTAATGCAAAGAAATCTTAGTGTTTTTTTGGTAGGAAAATGAACGGGACTCAGGTGTATGTACGACAAGCGAGTATCCCTGTACAATACCAACTTTTCTATGAGCGCCATATGTACATCCCTCTGTTCTCTGCTGTGCCCCACTCGACCTGACCAGGAAGTGGTGCAGCTTGTCATGAGCAGGGCTGAATGCCACACGAGGACTGACCAGTATCCTATAAGCCAAGAACAGTATTATTTCAACTCGTTTGAACTGGTGCAGCAGTATAAAATATAGAGGGAGAAGTGTCTTTAGGTCTCCATCATCAGATATGTTGCAGGAAATAAAGTAATTGTAATTCTCTCTTCCCTCAAACAGTTCAAGCACAGACTTCTTCTTCCTCTGCTTCTTCTCCCATCACCAGAATTTCTCAATTGCTAAGTTCCACCATTCAGATATCAACTACAATAAACCCAAGGTATTAATTTTGTAGCATGTTAAAAAAGCTTACTTAAAAAAAAACTAGAAATAATGCCACTTCAATTATTTTGATAAAAATTGTTATTCAGTATTGGAATTTAAATTTTCCCGCTCTTTGCAGGCGTTTTTCTCATTAAAACCTGTGCAATTAATCTTTTTTCCATTTTATTTTTACAGTTTGGCCATTGTCACCAAAGCAGTCATGGGAATTAACGCACCATTCATGCAAGCCGGTGTAGAACTCCTCGCAAGAGTTAGTGTGAATCAACCAATAAATATAAATGCAAGGATCAATGTAAAAGAGCAAAACCTCAAGATTGAGAGCAAGCCATCTACAGAGGAACGCCGAATAATATTGCTAAAGTAATATTACTATTTTCCTACTTTAATCTATAACCAAACCATTCGAATTTTTCCCTGGTGTCTAACACAATATTTAACGTGTAGTTCTCAGGTTTTTGTTGTTTCAAGAAATATTGAGGATTTGACTTCAGCAAAGATGACCCCAATTTTACCTTCATCAAATGAAGTCAGCATTACGCAACAAGAATTCAGAACGCAACATAGCTCATCAGAAGACTACCACCAAACCATTGTAAGTGGCTTTCATTTTTTATCTAAAGTAGCAAGTGAGCTTTTGGCTATTTGGAATTCCTGTGCATAACATTAGCCAAAATATAACACTATACGGCTATAACAGTACGCATACTCAAATGTGTACAAAACATACCAAGCATTTCCGAGACCGGCAACCAGCATAACATTATGCAGATTCTAACATTTGGTGACTTAACATTATGTGAACTCAACTGTAGAGTCATTGCTTTTTTTCCTTACAATTTATGTGAAATGGAAAGCACTAGTGATATTAAACTGTCTGGCATGATAATAAACAGAAGTCAGGCTTTACACTTGCAATCAATTGTTGTTTCTTTGCAGCCCCGGTTGTCTCCAGAATCAATATCTCAGGAAACGTCATCCTCTGAAGAACAGCGACGTATCCCAAGTGCCTCTACGTATCACACCTGTGCTATAACAACTAAACTTGGCCTAGAAGTTTGTCTGGATGCTAGAATGAAAAACTCTGTCTTCATCAAAAATTGTCTCTTGTACCGTCTCATTGGCCAGCATGCTGTTAATGTAACCATCAAACCAGGTAAGAAGATGAAATAAACCAAATTTAGTCCTAAAGGCTATTGTTCTCTAGAATGACATATTGTTTGACAGTGAAAGGCCAAAGCCATTCTTTGTGAATGTATACATTTAAATCCTTACGCCACAATGACGTGAAAGGCGCTATACAAATGTAATCTTGTTGTTGTTGATTAAACAGTAACTCCTCTCAAACATCTCGCAAAACAACAAACTGTTCAGATCTTATTGGAGCCTGTTTTATTCTCATAGGTTCACGAGGATGAAGAAACAACCTTAACATACATACTTAGAATGTTCCATAACGGCAATGAATGTCCCTGCAATTATAGTTGTATCCCCTGGACCTTCACTGTAGGAATCAGCCCAGTGACAAACGTCTGTTCCTTTCACTTAGGCCAAGGACCCCTTAGGTACCATAGATTTTCTTGAATTACAACCCTAATAACACCACTTCTATTTAGTGGATCGCTCATAGTAGCAAAATTGGGATTGGGCTGTGTGAGACAGGTAATTGAACCCATGATGGTACCCGGATTTCCCATTGCTGATATCTCCCCAGATAATCAATCAGTGATGTCTGTCCCTGAACAACCATGACCAAATCTTCTCTGCTATTTCACAGTACGATCCAGAGACAGCAAAGATTTCACTTTCAGCAATTAGGCATCGGCGATACTTACATCTCGATTCTAAAGGGGCAAGACAATATAGATCATGACAGGCCGTTTCAACTTCTCCAGAAGAGTAGAACCAGAGGACACAGCCTGTAATTGAAGGGGGGTGAATTCAGAATAAATCTATGCAAATACTATTTCAGTGAGTGAACAGTGAACGTGTGGAACAGGTTCCCTAGGGAGACGGTTGAAGCAGAAAGTGTTGATTTTTTTCAAACAGATTAGATAGTTTTCTTTTAGGAAATAACATTATGGGATATAGTACATAGGTAGTTTGGGACATATGTGCATGCAATCGCCAGGAAGGTGGAAGGCGAACCAGATGGACTTTGGTCCTTTCTCGTCTAGCATTTCTTATGTTCTTATGTTATGTTCAATGGCAATATATGATTCATAATAAACCTCTTCTTTTCAGTTCAGTCAGAGTCAGAAATTGAAAGAATCGTGCTGGAAATACAGACAGGATCCAAAGCAGTTTCAAAAAGAATTCGATTGACAGACCAAGAGGACCAACAAAGTGGAAGAATTCAGGAAGGAGCTTTTATGAAGCGCACAGAGGTATTACGTTTATCTCCTGTGTTTCCGACAATTTTAACAGCATTATCAACTGAAGACAACCATGAGCCAAAGGAAGAATGTTCACTGAATGTCATAGAAAAGGAGAAGTTGGCATTAAGTGTTATCTGTACCATATTAGGATTATCATTGCTATGTAGAACTAATGTGTCTCTTGGGGAAAAAAGAATATAGATCTCAGGAAAACTGAATTGCATTTCTACTTCCCCACCCCTCCCAAACTCGGTCTATAATTTAATGGAATTTATGCCTCCTTTAGTTCAGATCAGATAGAAGGAGCTAATTCTCTCGCACCCTGGTGACTTGGGAATATCAGAGCCTGGTGGGAATGCAATGGCTTCAAGATCCTTTTTTTTCCTTCTGATCTCTTCAGTGGGGAACAGCTATAGCTAAACTACTTATTGTTATAATAGTAATAATCCTTACATTTGATATAGCATCTTATCACATCTTCGAGACATTGCAAAGCGCTCTACAGAATATACTGTAAAGTGAATTAACTGTGTATTGTGTGGGCAAAACTCGATTAAAATGCTATTTAATTTCCAGAGCAAAACAAAAAATACCTCTCTGAAAAGCAGTTCCTCATCCAGTTCCAGAAGATCATATCACTTTTCTAGTGATCGCCGATCGAGCAGACGTTCACGTGATGGAATGCGTGGAGTTTCCCCAGATGATCAGGGACTAGGAAGGACAACAAGTGAGTTACAGAGCAGTAGCAGCAGCAGCAGCAGCAGCAGCAGCAGAATGCAGACCAGCACACAACTAAGCAGCAGTAGACAAATATCATCTAGTAGACGCATATCCGATGACCGACGCAGATCCAGTGACCGACGCAGATCCAGTGACCGACGCAGATCCAGTGACCGACGCAGATCCAGTGACCGACGCAGATCCAGTGACCGACGCAGATCCAGTGACCGACGCAGATCCAGTGACCGACGCAGATCCAGTGACCGACGCAGATCCAGTGACCGACGCAGATCCAGTGACCGACGCAGATCCGATGACCGACGCAGATCCAGTCGCAGACGCACATCCAGTCGCAGACTCGGATTATCCAGGAAGATGCAGGTAATCATACTACAACAAGAACTTGCATTTGTATAGCGCCCTTCATATCGGGTAGTATCGCAGATCACTTCACAGTGGCGGAGTCTGACAACGAGCTGGGGGAGAGACAGTGGGGAGGTGACCGTAAACACGGTCAAAAAGGAAGGTCTTTATGTGGGATTTGAAGGTGGGGAGGGAGGGGGCAAGGCTGAGGGATTGAGGGAGAGAGTTTTGGGGCATAATGGCTCCTTTAATTCATGTTTAAAATTAGCAGTTTCTATGAAGTTAACAATCTGGTGCCTGAAAATACAGTATCCATACAATTATAGAGAGGTTGTAACCAGTTGCAAACAATAACTATTTATGCATTGACAGGTACAGGGATTTCCATGTAATTAATGTCCAACATATTCTGTAGGAAAACTGAAAATGATTTTTTTTCTTTTTGAAATAAATCTCAAGAGTGCAGAGGTTTTAATGCTTCGGTTCAAGTCAACACATCACACTGAGGTAAGGCCACATTCTGCTTTGATACCTCGGCTTTATTTAAAAACTAGTAAATGAGAAAACTATATATTGGATAGCATTGACAATATAATTTTTACAGTTAATCTGCACAAATTGAAAGATGGAAAATGTCAACTATTCTTTATCCCTATTAATGTTTTACTAAAATAGATGTTGTATAATTACTATATCTATCAAGAAACATTTCTCTTCCAATGTACAGTCTCTGACTCCACAACATAACCTGCGTAACTTTGCTTCTGAACTGTTTAGCGCTCAAGAATGTCACAGAGAACCATATCAGAAAAAGACAGCAGCAGTTCATCAATTCTTCGATCATCTCGCCAGGTTTGTCTTCTGCTCAATAGTAAAGTTCCAGGATGCTTCAGAACTTAGGTGAGCTCCAGTCCAATTAATTACTTTAAAATATATTTGTTTGTAACCCTAGAACGAACTCATCAGGAGCGCTGGCTCCCCTATTCTCACCATCCTTCTTCGATCCGTAAGGACTGACAGGAAACAGCAAGGCTATCAGATCACTGGATTCGCAGAGGTTTCAGATCGCAAACCCAGAGTTCACTTGCGTGTGGTAGAACTGGCTGAAGATAGCAGGTGGAAAATCTGTGCTGATGGTATAATGCCTCATGGACATAAAGCAATGGTAATAGACAATTCTACAGTATTAAAATGGCTACTTGCAGTAAAAGTAGCTACTTGAATCTACACAGAGAATATTTCTCATTATTCAGTAAAAATAACCTTTTTAAAAAATATTGTTTAGGCATTATTGAGGTGGGGTCAAAACTGCCAGGACTATAAGGTGTCTGTTAAAGCATCAAACGGTCAACTTGCAAGAAATCCAGCACTTAAGATCAAATTGCAATGGTCCAGGATTCCCGATTGGCTGAAATCAAGTGAAAGAATGTAAGCTTCAAAATAACACATTTATTTTGCTTTCATGTGCACCTTCTATATTGTAGAAAGCAATATGCTTAATGATGCTTGTTATCTGGGTTCAGGGTTGGCGAATCATTACCAGCAATTGCCTACCTGTCAGGAATGTCCCAAAGATATCAAAGTAATCCTTCTCGGCAGATTACAGTTGTGTTCGCTCTAACAACACCACGAACTATCGATACCATCATTAAAGTTTCCAAGGTATTGCAATCTGTATTTACCTCTTCTGCTTTCACTTTGAGTGATTATTATTATTATATTTCTTTGCTTTGAGAACTGGTGTTTTTATGCTGGAGTAACACGGAACATTTCCTCCTATTTTAGATGACAGTCTACTATCTGGGTGCTCAAATTCCTTTAGCTGTTCCCATCAGTGCAATTGCTCCACGAGTGAAAGCAAGAGGATTCAAAAGCATCACTGAAATTCCTGACATACTTCTGAAAATGAACCAACGTAATTATTATTTCTACTCTTGCCTTGACAACTTAACACATTTTATGGATTTATTGAGTTCTGTTTCATTGATTTAGTGTTACAGTAAAATCTGTAAAGCCCTTTGGGGGCTGTAAATCTGTAAAGCCCTGTAAAGTCCTTCCCTCCCCTCACCCTGACCATTTCCCCCCTCCTCGCTCCCTCCCTTCCCTCCCCTCACCCTGACCATTTCCCCCTGCTCGGGTCATGACCCAACTGTGCAGCGCCTTGGGACGTCCTCCTGACGTGAAAGGCGCTTTATAAATAGAATCTTGTTGTATCTTGTTGTTGGGAGGTTTCAGTGTCAAATGGAAGGATTATTATTATTATTCACAAAAAGTTATGTTTAGTAATATATTTGTTATTGTTGCAGAGGAGTGTTGGGTGGAACCAGACAGAGTTCGTACATTCGACAATCAGACATTAAAATATCGAATTCCTAATGATTGCAACTATGTGCTGACCCAAGACTGTTCAAGTGTTCCAAGATTTGTTTTATTAATGAAACGTGCCAAGGATCAAACAAGGAAGTCAATAACACTCATTCTGTCAAATCCCAGCATGTAAGTACCATCAGAAGTGATTGTTTTACTGTTATTCACATGTTTTATACAAAAGTCCAAAGTATCTGACTGATTCACAGAATATAAATTAATCTTGGCAGAGAGTGTGGAGAATGATGACTCAAAGCCAACAATTTCTAGAAGCATTATCACTGTCTAGTACCTAGAGGACATTGATCCCTTAGACTGATAACTTAAAATTCGGTTGCAATTACCTAAGATCTTAGGGTAGAAGGTTAGTGCTCACATGTATTAATGCCTGTTGTAGATCATTGCCTTAAAGTAGACACAAACTGGAGAGTCACAGAAACAAAATAGAGATAGTACCCTATTCATTAAGTATTATGCCCTTTTCTAAAAGCTGTTTTTTCCTGTATAAAACCCACCATCAGGGCTGGAGAAAATAGATCACACAATTTTATATGTACTCTCGATGCCTTCCATGAAATTTACAGTTCGTTGAATAGAACTTGTGGTTTTGTTTCTAAACAGGGTCATTGAAGCATATCCAGAAGGCCAAGATATTAAACTTAAAATCGACAATGTGGAGCATCCAATGAGTTCCCTACCAAGAATTGAACAAGGTGAGTGACGAATGAATTTCACAGAGGGTTATGTTTCACATCCCTCTCTCCTCCACCAAGCCCTCAACCATCCTCTACCGCCCTTGAAAAGGCTACCCCCTGTTACTTACCATGTCACACAACTTAGTATAAGACTTAACATTTTTAGGATCATGGTTAATAATTTATGTGTTTCGGAATTGTTGTGAGCTAAAAAAAATATAGAGCTTGTGTTTCCTACATAAGAGCAATCTTGTTAGTATGTTACACAATCTATTTGTAGGTTTCCAACTTGTACCATAAGGCCTTGAAACTACAGATGTTCCTTCTTGTTTTAGGTGTCCAAATTCAATCAAATGGCACTGGAATTATTCTGGAAGCATCTCATATTAATTTGGATTCAATATATTTTGATGGAGACAAAGTGCAGGTATCTGACCTGATTGATGAAAAACTTCTTTAGGTAGATTTTTTTGGTATTGTAGGTGAATTGCACTATTACATGTTTTATTTTTACTGTGTTTTAAGGTCGCAGTGAACCAGATGAATAAGCATATCTGTGGTATTTGTGGACATAATGATGGGGAGAGAAAGATGATAATGCCAAATCACAACGAAACTGAAAGCGTTGATGTCTTCTTCCAATCATGGTTATGTACAGGAAATAGCTGCAGAGATGGTAGGGGATTCTGAATCACTGTTAAATCACGCTATTATGTCACAAAAGAAAAGAAAAAACTAGCCTACATTCTTTGAAAACAATGCCTTTTCTTTTATTTCAGAATGCAAGGTTCGACGGGAATTTGTGGAACTAGATTCATCGCTGAGTTTTGAAGGCAGGGAATCCAGGTGCTCTCCAATGGAATCAGTTCAACGCTGTCTACCTGGATGCGCACCAATGGAAAGAGTCCCAGTCAGTGTTGCTTTCCATTGTGTACCCTCTAGTAAGTTTATTCAGATCCCTTTTTACATACTGCATTGTTTTTTGAGGATGCTCTCTTTGTGAAACTAAGTTTACTCGATTAAACTATTTTGTTAAAGTAATAGTAAATAAGAAAGAAAACAGCTGGTAAAAACAAATGTCACAGCTAAATATAAACTCATTGAAGAATCCACTTTTGATTCTTGTAGACTGAAATATTCTTATGCAAAATATTACTATCTGACCAAGATTGAAATCATTACCTAAACATATATTGTTCTCTCAACAGATCCTTCTATGAGCGAACTGATAAGTTTTGATGTACGCCGCTCTGTGGATTCTCATAGCGACTGTATTGAAGCATAGAGACATTCATCTACCTTGTCTGCACTAAGGATATACAATGTATACTGTACCTCAGTCTTACTAGTGCCTTAAATGTAACATTTGTGATGCTATGCTAATTTTAAAAAATGGACTAGGGAGCTTATAATAAGGCAGATTAACTGTCCATTTAATTCAGTATTCTGTATTATTCATTAATGTTTTCTAATAAAGTCTTCTCTCAGCAAGTTTAAATACCAAGGATTGTTTGTCAAGTATTTATATACATGGAGATAATAATAGGCTGATAGCAAAAGAACAAGAAGCATCACTTGAAATTTTGACTGACCTTCCAAAGTCAAATTAGTTACAATAACATATAACATTGATCAGTATGACAGTATTTGCAGTTTCAATTCTGATTTGAGTTTACATTGAATTTTGGGAGGCATTTTTCAAAGAATGAATCTCATATATATGTAAAGAAGAGTCATATAGTAACAGTTTGGGTATAGGTCACCATTGCTCAATCTTTCCAACCTTCCAAAGCATTACATGTTCAGTTCCTTTTTTAAAAAAAGTTTTAATTCTGATTAATTTCAAGTTAGGAATATTATTCTCAAAACAGAATCAAGCTGTTACGTTTTAATGAGTCCAGTATCCTGGCCTCAACCATTTCTTGGTAACATGTTCCAGTCATTAATTACGCTCTGAGAAAAGATAATTTCTTGGGTATGCCCTGAAGTTGTCCTTTGCGACTTTTAAACTCATGTCCTCTTGTTCTACTGTCTTGGTGCATCTAAAGTATTATAGAATCATATAATCATAGAATATTACAGCACAGAAGAAAGCCATTCAGCCCATTGTGCCTGTGCGGGCTCTTTGGAAGAGCTACCCAATCCATCTCACTCCCCTGCTTTTTCCCCAGATCTTTGCAACTTCTTCCTTTTCAAGTACCTATCCAATTCCCTTTTGAAAGATGTTATTGAATCTGCTTTCACCACCCTTTCAAGCGGTGCATTCCAGGCCATAACAACTTTCTGTGTAAAAACATTTCTTCTCATCTCCCCTGTTTTTTTTGCCAAGTATCTTAAATCTGCGTCCCCTAGTTATCAACCCACCTGCCACCCTATCCAGTCTATCAAAACCCCTCATAATTTTGAACACCTCTACTAAATCTCCCCGTAACCTTCTCTGGTCTAAGGAGAACAACCCCAGCTTCTCTCGTCTCTCCACATAAGTAAAGTCTCTCATCCCTGGTGCCATTCTTGTAAATCTCCTCTGCACTCTCTCCAAGAATAAGCTACTTGGGAAGTTTCTGGGCCAATAGAAAAATGCGGAAATATTTGCCAAAAATTGCAGGGTGTTTGCCAAATTTTTGGGGAAATTGTGGATAAATTGGACTTACCTATAATCTGAAAACATTTTCCAAATTGGTAATATAATAATAATATTTGTATTCCGACTGTCTTTGGGCTACATAGCGCAGTTGTCGAGTCGAATAACTGTTAATTTGTAGGACAACACAGCAGCCAATTTGTATACAGCAAAGTTTCCACATATAGCCATTAAATAAATGAACAAGTTATATGGAGGATTCTCGGTCAGGACACCAAGAGATAATTTGTTCTCTTTTCAAAATAGTATCATGCAATTTGTAATGTCCACCAACAACCAGAAGACATTCTGGTTATTTAAACATCGTAGCCAAAAGACACTATCTCTGACAATTCAGCACAGTACTGGATTGGAATATCAGCCTGAACTATGATTTGAAGTTCAAATGTAGATATACTGAATTTAGTTCAAAATCAATTCAAGAAACAGTTATCATAATTTGGCTGAGCTATTTTACACACCTGGGATAAAAAGCAGCTGAACAAGTTTCTCTTAGCTCAAAACATTTTAATACATAAAAGAAGCACTAAAATTACAAAAGGGAGGAAGAAACAACTCACAAAAGTTAAAGAGATTAATATAAATCAAATTTAAATGTATTTAGGAACAAATGGGAGATTGGAGAATTGAGAAACTTTGGAATGCAACATGTATACACTCTGGAGTATGCCCAGCAGACAAAGGTGGTTAATTAGAGTAGGCGCATTAGGGTTTGAGCTAGTACGATTAACAGGAGTTGAGTGGGAAGAATCCCTGACTTCAGTGACCAGTTAGCCCCTCCAAGTCCTACCGATTCACTAGGCTGGCTGTTCTATCAATCATCAAAAACAAGGTTCAGACAAACTGAAGTCAAGACTGGAATATGGTTCCCTGCTTCAAGAAAGGTGACAGAGCCATAACTGACAATGACAGACCCTTAGCCTGTCCTTAATAATGAGTAAACTAACACCAGTTGAAGCAAAATTGAAGATTTACCTGCATGGAATAACCTAATAAAGGACAGCTTGCATGGCTCCAGAGAGGGTAAATCTTGTCTAACCAAATTCCTAGACTTTTTTTGATAAGGTGACAACCCAAATTGTCTGTGGGAAGCCGTATGATGTGATTGTACTTAAATTTCCCCAAAACCTTTGAGAATGTATTACAAGATAGACTCCTTTACAACCCAAGGTGTTAAGTGGGGCCCATTCTGAATACATTGATGATTTGCAGACTCAATGCAATTAAATTTGCAAATGATACCAAATTAGGGAGGCATTGGAATCAAAGGTGGTAACCAAAGTGTTACGTAGAGATCTTGATAGGATATGCACCTAAGCTGCTAACTAGCAAATACAGTTCAATGGAGGGTTCTGGATTTAGGAAATTAAAATAGAAAACATGTGTAGTCCATGGATGAGATAGAACTTGTGAAAGGGGAAAGAAGTTGAAAGAGATCTAGAAGTGTGAGTTGACTCGGTGCTCATCATGTCAAAACTTTATGTAATGATATTAACATAGTCATCATGGTGCACTCACACAACTCCTCATACAATGTATCTGCAGTTGTGCTCATCACTGTATTAAGTGTTCATCTTTCTTCTTCCTCTCCTTGACACAATTCCAATTGCATTCTCCTGCATTTCCTACCTATCAGGAAGCGTATTTGACTGCCTCCCACTTTGGCTCATTCTGTGTTGCAAAACGCAAGCTAACCCTGAACTCTTAAGTCCTCTATCAACGTGTGGACAATAACCGAGAACATACTGACTCACAGCTGAAGGATTGGTGCCATCTGACTTCCTATGTTCCAAAGTCATCTTTTATCCGTCAACAATAGCAATGAGTTGGTCAGTTCAGTGGATCAATTATGTTTTAATCAATTTTGTTATTTTTTCAAACTCATCAATTTCTATCAAAAATACTTCTTAATTCTTCTAGAACCAGAAACACTTATCATAAAGGCATCTTCTTCCTCATAATTCCAACATCTCTCACACAAAGTATCTTTGGCCTATAAAAGATGCCCTATGTATAATTTGAACTGTGAAGATTCCTATTCAGATTTGAGTATAAAGTCTTGGGTACAGGTGATGTGTAAAGAAGACTTATGGCACATATGAGTGCATGGTTGAACTCACAGTTTGTTTTTCCACAGCACATATCTGCTTCATTATCTGTACACAAGACTTTCTAACAACTTGTTCAAACCTATGCACAGGAGTCTTCCTTTGCTGCATAAAACAAACTTTTGGATTGGTTTAACAGCATGGGTATCCATTTCATAAAACAAATGTTTCCATAGACCTGCTGGCAGTATAGATAATAGAAAAATGGAAATGAGTTAATAAAACCATCAAAATAAACTTTAATATCAAAAGTGCTATGTTGCCACTGTTAATGAAAAATACTAACTCAAAAAACAGTCTGTTATGCATATAATAGGTCTCAAATTAACATGTCTCATTCATCTTCACCCATGGATAAATATTTTTTCTCACAGATGAGGGGGGTTGTAATATTTTGTGCCTGGTGGTGTAATTTATATAGTGTTAGACAATTTGGAACATGGTACTATGTTTTTGAATGAGAAGTACTGTTAGATGAGATGTGAATTCATAAAATTAATTTAAAAATCCTAAAATAATTAATGTTAGAAATTGTTACACTAATTGTGATGGCAAAATCTCCGCTAAACATTTATTTAAAAAATAAGACAAATCGTAAATTAGCAATGCTTTTAAAGCAGTCTTAATCAATGAAAATTACAAAACAAACTAACAATGGTTCCAACATCACCCATTAGTGAAGGCCAATTAATGATTTTTTATTAATAATGTTCATTTTTTTTAATCTCACAAAATAAGCAGGTTACTTTATTTTACTCTCCAAATTCCATCATTAATGCCACTGATTTTATTATGGAATTTTCAGCCCAAGGTTTTCTTGGCATCAGCATTTTACCCTTCAGAGCCTATCATTTCAAGCAATTTGCAAGCAGAATGTCTCATAGATACATCAATACCATATTCCTGGGTAATTTAATCTGACATTGCAAACTGGTATATTGAACTGTTCTTTATCAGTGAAAGATATATCACATATTTATTGGCACAACCAAAACTTAAATGGACATTGATTGAAAATGAAACTGAGTCAAAGTCTTGAAAATAGAATGCAGGTGAATGTTAATAACATTCTTTTTTCTTTTGCCACAGGCATCTGCAGCATTTTTGTGTTTTAAATATTTTTCGATATGGAATATAAAATTTGTTATTGAACTTTATTGAAAGAAATATTTTAAACAAGTACTTCTTCCTTTGAGAAACTGGAAAAAATACTTGATTTGTTGCTGGGACTGGAATATTTTATTTCACCAACAAAATTATAACAACAAAATAACGCCTTTCACGTCCCAAACTGCTGGATTCTGTGAATCACTAAAGACAGGTATTTTTACCTCTTTATATCATAAGATAAATATATATGCTATGCAGTTACCATTATATTCTTTGTCTTGCTGTCATTCTGTCTTTTTTCTTTCAAGATCAATTTGGGGGGATTTTGGAAAGACAAGAAATCCCCCCAAAATGGTCTTGACAGAATTCTATTTTTCCTATGTTCTATTATTGTCTCTTCTGTTTCCCACTAAACCTTTGCTACAGCTCCATCCAACAGAATCTTGAAATAGTACTATTATTTAGTTGACATGCGACCGCCAGGAAGCTGGAAGAATAGACCTTGTTTTTTTTTCGTCTAGCAGTTCTTATGTTCTTCTATATGACATTAGATTCTGTATGAAAGCATTGGGCAGGAAATGTAGGTTAACCTGCTATTAAGGTTTTAGTAATAATTATTGCGTCTGATGTAGCCCCTTACACATCATTGGGTTGTCTCAAAGTGCTTCACAGAATATATTTGTTTTGCTTGTTGTTTTTCTTTGTGTCACATTGACCCAAACTGGACCTGAACAAATCAATAAAGAAATCTGTGATTAAATAAAACGTAAGCCACAAAATTCACTGTCTCAGCAAGGACAAGTTGATCTCAAACCATCCAGGTCATCATAACCTGTGTATAGTCCACGCCATGGTATATCATCATTTTTCATGAATTTAAAAGTTATTTTAATGTTTCCACAGATTCTTTAAACAAACCTATATTTAACAGAACCTGAGTATAATATATAGCTGGGCCTTTGTAATTTAGTCAATACCATGAGAAATCGGCAACTGTTATTTAAACCAAAATATGTTACTCCTAACTCCTGTTCACTCCTGTGAACTTTGATACAGATCAAAACTTGGATTATTCTGCAAATGTTACCACATACAGGGTCACGTGGTACAGAAGCTCACGCTTTAAAAGAGATGGCAGAATGAGCAAACCTCCATTCGCCAATTAACATGAGGGGGATCATTTTCTTATTGGCTCTAACCCTTGTGGGTAAGTTGGAAAATGTTCTACTTAGATCTGGTAGTTATGTTTAGTTATTTTTTGCTGCATTATAAAAGAATTGTAGAATTCTGTCTACAATATTTAGAAAAGTATATAGAAAAATGTGTAGAAAATTTTTTGAATATTTAATACTAAATCATTTGTCCTCACTTTTATTTGTTTCTCAATTCTAGGGAGTCAGAGGACGAAAAAAGGTAAGAATAACTTTACTTGCTTAACACTAATATTTTGCAATATGGGCTCATTTCTGTGTGGTCCTAACAATATTGCACTATAATTCTGTTTTGCTCACAGAACACTATTCTAGTGAAAAGAGTTCACAACCCAACTTCAGCGAAAGGCAGACCTATGTTTATAACTATGAAGGTGTGGTTCTGACTGGGCTTCCAGAAAATGGCTTGAACAGAGCAGGTGTAAAAATCACTGCCAAAGTACAAATCAGCGCACTGGCACAAACTAACTATCTGATGATGGTAAGACAATTCATAAATATAAATAATATATGAATAATGTGAGTACTTACAAGAAATTAATCACATTGAGGGTCTAAGGTGGCACCATACATTTTGGAATTAGGGGCAATACAACACAAATTTGCATTTATGTGGTTCCTTTCACGTCAGGAGGACGTATCAAGGCTCTTTGTAGAAAGAAAGATTTAAGCCACTCTCATATATCTGATGCTTAGTTATTGAGTTATTGAGCAAATTTGAAAGAAGCCCAATAAAAAAAAGTGAACAAATAATTTAAAACATAGCCACTGTCAGATTGATTATTAATTGGGATATAATTTTGCACTGTGTAGTATTATATAGTATCACTTACTCGAGTAACTGAAGTAAAGAAACTAATTTTTCTACTGTACTGTCATCAATCTACTGTCAACTAATTTTTCACAAAAAAACTTTGGAATTCTTAGCATTCACTGCACTCTGCATTTACAAGACATCATCTCCAGTTGGCAAATCGCATTTTGTTTTTAGAAAATTCCTCTAAAATAATTGAAATATTGGCTAAAATGCTTTATATTTACAATTAATTAAATGTTTGCTTTAACTGTTGAATTTATCGAAACATTAAACTACAGTCCATTTTAAGCAAAAGGAGGGCAAGCACTGTGAGTGGCTTTGAAAATTTATATGATTTTCTTTTCGGCTCATTTGTATTGCAGATAAAAGACCCTCAGATTCAGGAGCTCAATGGCATTGCACCCACTGTACCATTGACTACAACAAGTAAACTGTCACAGAGAATGGCAGCAGACTTGACCAGACCTGTGAGGTTTGAATACGTCAATGGCCGAGTTGGAAAGATCGATGCCCCTGAAACCTTGCCAGAAAATATTCTCAACATCCACAGAGGCATTTTGAACTTGCTTCAGATCACCATTAAGAAGACACAAAATGTCTATGAGTTACAAGAGGTAAAGGTTCAGACCTCACACTTCACCGCAAGGTTTTGCATAAGATTTTTTCATGCTGTTTTACAATAAACCATTTTGCTTTTTCCACCAGGCTGGAATTGAAGGCATCTGCCATACAAGATATATACTTCAAGAGGTCAAGAAGACCAACCATATTGTTGTAACAAAATCAAAGGACTTGAGCAATTGTCAGGACAGGGCCATGCAACAAATAGGTGTGGCTTATGCACAGCCCTGCATTTCCTGTCAGCAGGTAAACATGCTATTTTGAGTTAGTTCCTGATTATTTTATGTTATCTACATATCTCAAGCTGAGGACCAGATTGTTTATTAAATATAATAATTCCTTAATCCTCTGTAAAACCATAAGTACCTTGGAATCACATAATAATAATAATAATAATAATAATAATAATAATAATCCTTGCATTTGATATAGCACTTTTCACGTCGGGAGGACATCCCAAAGCGCTTCACAGAATATACTGTAAAGTGAATTGACTGTATATTTGTGGGTGAACGCGGCAGCCAATTGCAACAGAATTGTCCCACAAACAGTCGTAGATTGAAAATGACCAATTTATTATTGCTTTTATAGTATAGGTTGACACTCCAATGCAGAGCTGGGAGAGGGTTGCAATTGTCATTGGGATGAGATGTTAAACTGAGGTCTGGTCCACCTGTTGTACTATTCACTATTCAAAAAGAGAAGGCAGTTTCTCAGATAGTTGTTTTTTGTCAGTGCGTTGATTTGGAATCTGGCAGTGATTTTTAAGCCTGATTATGATTCTTACCCAACAGATTCCCCAAATAAAATTGGTGACTCATTCCATGGTTGTTTGTGGGACACTGCAGTGCATAAATTGGCTGCCCCTTTTGACCCACAAAATACAGTCAATCCACTTTACAGTGAATCCTGTGAACACAATATAAGACAATGTATCAAATGCAAGAGTTAGTGTTATTACTATAATTATCTGACTTATGATAGAGTATAAGTTAATAAAGCCATGACCAACTACTCTGATATTCGTTTTTTAGTACATTTTGGAGAGGAATGATTTTTTTTTACTGTTTTTAGAGAGGCAAGAATCTCCGAGGTACTGTGGCTATTACCCAAGTTCTGAAACCCACAAAATCATCGGGTGCTCTCATTACTGAGGCTAATTCACGGGAATTGCATCAATTCACACCATTGCATGAACTTGATGGAACTGTAATTTTGGAGGGAAGGTAGGTGTTTGATGCTTAGACTCTTAATATCTTACTGTGAATTAAATGTTCTTGTTTTAACCCCTTCAACATCTTTGCTCACCTCTTGAAGCTGTTGACTGATATGATATGGGATGCCACAGATATTAGTTGCTCTCAGGTACACTGCCTCATATATCACATGAGCCATAGGCAGAGCTCACATCAAGTGCAGAGTTTCCCCATTGATTTACAATAATAATGGAGGGTTCACCTTTTTTATGATTTCCGTTATTTTGTTTTATGGTATTCATGTCGCACTATTTCTATGATGTGGCATTTGTAAGTCCGTGTACATATTACAGCTTTAGACTTTAGGATTCGGAACGATTCCTGTTTATCAGAGCCTACTAATTATCTGCTGCCAAAAGAAAAATCTCACTAGTATTTCCATTTTAAATGTTTATATGTCTTCCCCCATCTATTGCCATATTGCCATCTATTGTCACTCGCAGCATCGCTAGTTTCTAAGTAATCTTTTTCTTTGCAGACAAGACCTTACTTTAAACGAAATCAAAGCAGAAGCTGTGCCAGTGCCACAGGTTAAATTTTTGCCCCGTGGAAGCTTGAAATACGTTACTGACCGTGATATACTCCAGAGACCAATTCAATTGCTTAAATACGACAATCTGGAAGCACAGGTAAATATTTACCAACACTATTTTTATTTTAGGAAATGCAGTGTGTCTCTTACATGTAAACCTTCATATCTTACACTTTCCTACTTTCTGTAGATCGTTAACATCTTGAGATACCTGGCTCAGTATAACCAACAGGAGGTCCGAATAGATGCTCCAGATAAATTTCTTCAACTTATCCAGCTTCTCCGACTTGCCTCATTTGAAACCCTTGCAAAAACTTGGAGGCGATTTTCAAACGCAATGGACAGGCAAGATACAGAGGAATACAGGTAACTAATTAATCACAGTGACATTAATTGTAAAATCTAAGATCAATATCAGGATAGCTGTTTGACTGGGTAGTGCCTGTGGAGCAATTATTTCTATGTCAAGGAGTCGAATAGAATGGAACCAAACAAGTTTTTGATGATTATTTGATTTTCCCTTGTATGAGTTAGAGCAGTGAATAACAACACACTCTATTTTCCAAGACTATTAGAATCTGAGCAATCCAGTGCCCAATAAATGCAGCTCTGTAGCACGAAATGCAACCCCCCCCCACCCCACCACCGCCTAAATCTCCATTAATCTGATAACCTCATACAAATAAAGTAGAATATCATACAAAGAAAGCTGACGTGGGATTTGGAAATGGCACGAATAGTTGCAGCTGGAATATATGGTATTGTTAGAGCAGCCGGGATAATCTTTATACTGCACCAGCAGCTGCAGTATATCTGACTAGGAAATGGTTAATGTCAATGCACTAAAGGTGGAAACCATCCCCATCATTTGCCTCCATGGCTACAAAATTCACTCATTTGCCTCCATGGCTACAAAATTCCCAACAAACTTAAAGTAGTCCACGACACTCTGACCAACCACACACCGAGGATTCACGGTGGATTGAATAGAATAGAATAGAATAGAATAGAAAGAAAATGTTCTCACTTGGTTTCCTAGATGTAGACGATGGCTATTGGAAGCACTTCCTGCTGTAGGAACAGCTGATTCCCTGAGATTGCTCAAACGCAAAATTCAAAGTTCGGAAATCAAAACCATTGAAGCAGCTCAAGCTTTGATTCTTGCAATGCAACAACTCAAAGCCGACCGACAGAGTGTACCTATCGCTAAAGTGAGTGAGATCCAGATCATTTCAAATGAAATACTTTAATTCAAATGCTTTAATGTTTGCCATCTAAAAATATTTCCTTTTTTGTATAAAATAAATTGACAAATATTTCTGTTAGTGTATTTTATTGTTTTAAATCATATATACATTATACATATATATACACACACACATAACTGCACACCTAATTTACATAATAAATATTATAATATATTTGTTATACTGGGTCAAGTAATCTATCATAGTACCGTTGTCATATAGTGGCCATTACAACGCTTGAAAAGTAAAAGATTAATCTCCTTTGTATGCCTTCTGTATAGGAGCTCCTCTCCATCGAACAAATAAAACAATCTCCCATTCTTCGCAAAATTGTACTTCTGGGCTACGGTTCTGTGGTGAACAGATTCTGTGCAGAGCGACAATCCTGCCCCGAAGAAGTCCTGCAGGTAAAATGATGGGTTTAATGTGAGAAATGATCTGGATTATTATATGGTTTGCACAAAACTCTCACAGAGGCTTTTTTTTGTTGTTCCAGCCACTCCATGATCTGCTTGCCGATGCTGGCAGTCGTTTACACGAACGAGAGATTGTTCTTGGCCTCAAAGCAGTTGGTAATGCTGGACAGTCAACAAGCTTAAAGCGTATTCAGAAATTCTTGCCTGGCTTTGGAAGTGCAGCGTCGAGTCTCCCACTAAAGGTTCAGATTGATGCTGTGTCTGCATTGCGCAATATTGCAAGGAGAGACCCAAGAAAGGCAAGAGAAGCATTCCTTTTATTTCAGTAAAACCAAACTTATTTTACTCAATTCTTTACTCAAGTTTTTTAAAAAATCTTTAACGTAACATATGTTTATCAATCCATACCATAAAAAATATTTCTTTTTTTATATAGAATAAATTAACAAGTGTTTCTGTTAGTGTATTTTAGTGTTTTAAATCATATATATACATAACTGCACAGCTAATTTACAAAATAAATATTATAATATTGTTATACTGGGTCAAGTAATCTATTATGGTACTGCTGTAGTATAGTGGCCATTATCTTCTTTCTTTTGAGACAGGCACAAGAGATTACCATGCAGATATTTATGAATCGAAGGAATCATCCTGAAGTCCGAATGATGGCTTGTGCAGTGCTATTTTCTACCCAACCTGGTTTACCTTTAGTAGCAGCAGTAGCGAATTCTCTGCTACAAGAGACCAGTTTACAGGTTGCCAGCTTTACATATTCACACATGAAAGCTATATCAAGAAGCTCACTACCTGCTCTCAATTCAGTGTAAGTATATACAGATTTTAATGAAGACATATGATAATGAACAATTACCATAGGGGATTTAGGTGCACAAAATGTTGGGGTTAAATTTCAGTGGATTCATCCTGCTTTTCAACCTCTTCAGGCTCACAAAATGACTATCCGATTTAACAAATATTTTCCTGGATGGTTAGTATGTTCCCCCTGTAGTCCACAGCAATCAAAAATGCTATTGATGAGCTATTGCGGATTTTAAATGTCTCATAACACTTCACCAGTAATTAGTGTCTCCTGTAGTCACTTGAACTTTCATGTGAATTTAGCTTTATTCTATTAAGGTAGCATTTCGGAGATTCTAGAATTTTCAAAAATTGTTGAAATCAGTCTTAACTTTGAAGCCTCCTGTTTTTTCGCCCTGTCGTCTTTTAAAAAGCACTTAGGAGAAAAATAAAAAGCAGAGGAGCCTGGATAATTAAGGCTGCCAATAAGAGAAATTGTCATATTGTGTGCACTATGAATTATTACATTAGTAATCCTTATATTTTATATAGAGTCTGGTCACGTCCTTGAAACACCTCATCTCAATGACCTTGATCTTTTTTTAAACCAGGAGAAATTCCCATCTCTTTTTGAACAGTGGAAACTGTAATGTACATTTAAAGAACTGGCAACATCTCACTCAAAAGATGCCCCAAAAAGTGAAGCAATCACTCTGTACTGAACATTATTGAGTCAATGCAGTAACCCAATTCCTGTTTATTTTAACAGGGCTGCTGCCTGCAATGTGGCTGTCAAGCTTCTAAGCCCCAAACTTGACCAACTTGGTGTCCGATACAGCAAGGTTTTCCGTGCTGATATATTTAGATGTAAGTACTGTACCAGCAAGCTTGTAAATTAAAGTTTTATAGCTACAGTTGAAGTAGTTAAGAATTTAGATTATCCAGTTTGTTGCACTATTATATCCACATCATTTTTTAATCAGTATATTTTCTCCATAGTGTTGTGATTTACCTAATATCGGATAGATTGTATTTGAAGTACTGTATATCAATATGTTACATGTAATGCAACACATACATATTTATGTCAATTAAAAAAGATGGATTGTCAACAAAAAAGTCATTGGCTTTGGTTCAAATGCTGGTTGGAGATTCAATGATTGTTGCAACATTTTGCCAGCTGCAATTTATTTTTGCTAACAAGCCACAAGAACTGGGAAATTCATTGTATCTTTCTTATTCAGATAATCTGATGTCAGGAGCAGCTGCTAAAGTGCTTCTAATAAACAGTGCTGGCAGTGCTATCCCAACATCAATTTTGGCCAAAGTTCGAGGTCATGCCCTTGGCTCTTCAGTAGATCTTGCAGAGGTAATAAACTAATTCAATCTGAAATGGATCTTTAACTTTTCCGTATATTTACCATCTACATGGAGTTTTCATGGAAAATAAAATAAATGTTTTTTTGTTCAATGCACCAAGGTTGGCTTGCGAGCAGATGGTCTTCAGGAAGCCCTACTGAGAAATAGAGTAACACTCACTGGCAGGCCGAATATTGAAAAGATTCAGCGTATTTTAAAAATGGTAAGAACAATTTAGCACTATCTTTTTTTTTCAAAAATGTTGTCCCTGCGATAGATTAGGGTTTTGTGAATTTAAAGTTTGTTCATTCATTTTGAATGTTTTTTTTTGCAGCTTTCAGGATGGAAATCCTTGCCTGATGAAGTACCTCTCGCATCAGCACACTTCAAATTATTTGGCCAAGAAATAGCTTTCATTGAATTCAGAAAGGATGACATCCAACAAGTCACTCAGGTAACCAGAGAGCAGTACAACATATGATTTGTAAAATGTACATCCAGATAGAGCCGATGGGAGCAGAATAGCTTATAGACTCTAATCACTCTTATTGCACCTTTTTACACAGACACTCGGCACTTCAGTGCAAAACCAAATAAAGAGATCTATAGAACAACTCCAAAGGGGGATTAAAGCACATCCTTCTAAAGCATTGCTGGCAGCTGAGGTTCGACGTATTGTACCTACAGGCCTAGGTCTGCCCATGGAACTGTCCTTGATTTCTTCTGCTGTTGCAGTGGCCAAAATCAATGGTAATATTAGCTTCTATTCCCACTTTATTTATCGGAGTGACCCTTCATTCATCAGTTCCTTCTTTAGTTTGGAGGGCAAGTAATACAGCAACTATCCTCTCAATGAATGCTGTCCATGTGTTCCTCTGACCTCTACCACACTCCATCTAGCATGGCAAGGAATGGGTGTAGCTTGTCAAAGTGGACTTGAGTTGAGTATCAGGAAAGTCTTCATCATGGATACAAAAACAGAAATTGCTGGGAACACTCAGCAGGTCAGGCAGCATCTATGGAGAAAGGAAAGTGAGTCAACTTTTCAGGTCCACGACCCCTCATCAGAACTGAGGCATGTTGGGAGGGAGAGGCTTTTAAGGGCTAACAGATAAGGGAGAGGCAGGGCAAGGAAAACAAAGGCAAAAATGGGGTAGAGGACAGGGAAAAGGGTCAGGCATGCTGCCTGACCTGCTGAATGTTCCCAGCAACTTCTGTTTTTGTTTTTAGATTTCCAACATCTGCAGTATTTTGTGTTTTCTTCATCATGGATAACCATTAATTGCTAAGTAGTTTGAACTCTTATAGCAATACAGGAATTAGAAGAGACATTTCTCTCCTACTGGGTATGTTGCAGGAAACTAAGCAATCATCACTAACTCTACACTCCCTTCTCTCAAACAGTTCAAGCACAGACAACCCCTTCCTCCTTATCTAGAATCTCTGAATTGATGAGTGCCAACATTCAACTAGACATCACCCCAAGGTATGTATTTCACATGATTGTTCTTAAAAAAAACTCACAGAAAATATCGAGTAAAAACAAATTAGGTTAAATATTATTGAGATGTTATTTTTGATATCCATAGTGGGCTTTTTCTTCATTATAAATTTTCAAGGATGCAAATGCATGGATTATTACATTTGTCTAATTTAATGTTCTCTGTGTTGTTTTGCAGTGTGGTTATACTCACTAGAGCAGTCATGGGAATCAATACTCCCTTCATCCAGGCAGGAGTTGAACTCCAAACAAGAGTCCGTATAAATCAACCTGTAAATGTAGCAGCAAAAATAAATATAAAAGAAAGAAATCTCAAGATTGAGAGTAAACCATCTGTAGAGGAGCACAAAATAATATCTCTGAGGTAAATAACAATATTTTCCTTAATATAATTTTAAACTAGGATTCATAAAAACCTTTTTTTTCTGATTTCCTTTGGATTCTATTGACTTTTTTTTTAAATGATTCAATGGCTACACAAATGAACAATTTCTGGGTTGCCATGGATGGCTAAAATTGTTAAGAAAAATCTATTTTGTTTATATATATATAACATATATTGCTTAACAGTTACCAATTTGTATCAATTTCCATCGACAATTACTATAGCCAGCTGAGCTTGATTGTAATCATTAGGTATCTAATTCTGAATATTTAACGTGTAGTTCCCAGGTTTTTGCTGTTTCAAGAAATATTGAGGAGTTATCTGCAGCAAAAATGATGCCCATTTTACCCATAACAAGTGAAGCCAGCATTACAAGGCAAGAATTCAAATCACAGCACACATCAACGCAAGAGGCTAGACGAAGCATTGTAAGTGCCTTTCCTTTTTTTAAAACCTAGCATGAGGTGAGACATCGATCCAGGTTTAAATTCCTATGCATCTCTGCAGTACACTGTATTTGTTTTCAGCGCCTTGGGACGTCCTCCTGACGTGAAAGGCGCTTTATAAATGGAATCTTGTTGTTGTTTTGATGATTCCGTTTTTAGGGATGGCCATTGCTGAAATGGAAAACACATGATACTAAGCTGCCTGGCATAATAGTAAAATAAAAGTCAGGCTTTGCTCTTACAAATGAGTTACGGTTTCTTGTGTCTTTGCAGCCACGGTGGTCTCCAGAAACAATATCTCAAGAATTGTCATCCTCTGAAGAGCAGCGACCACGTATCCCAAGTCCCTCTACATATCACACCTGTGTTAGAACAACTAAATTTGGACTAGAAGTTTGTCTGGATGCTAGAATGAAAAGCTCTGCCTTCATCAGAAATTGTCTATTATACCGTCTCATTGGCCAGCATGCTGTTAATGTAACCATCAAACCAGGTAAAGAGAAAATAATTTGTACATTTGCTATAGCACTTTTTCACGTCGGGAAACCGTCTCAAAGAGCTTCACAAGGTATACTGTAAAGTGGTGTACCTGTGTGTTTGTGGATGAAGGTGGAAACATTTTGCGCAGAATTGTCCCACAAACAGCCATGAATTGAATGACCTCAGATTGACATTTCATCCAAAGGATGGTACCTAAACCAATGGAGCACATCCCTGCACTGAATTGGAGTGTCAGCCTAGACTATATGACCTCCAAGTCAATTCAACATTACATATTGGTGGCAACATATGATTTACAATAAACCTGTTCTTTTCAGTTCATTGGGAGTCAGAAATTGAAAAAATCGTGCTGGAAATACAGACAGGATCCAAAGCAGCTTCAAAGGTGATTCGATTGACAGACAAAGAAGAAGTGCAAAGTGGAAGAATTCGGGAAGGAGAGTTTATGACGACCACACAGGTTTGTCTCCTGTTTTTGATGCACTCAATGCACTGTTGCTATTTTATACGTATTTTATACGTATCATATGCCTGCCAAAATATGTTCTACGCATAAAACAATAAAACAATTGAAGAATCCCTTTTTTCATCCCTTTTATTTCTCCAATTACAACGATTTTACCTAAAATCCTCCATGTATTTGATTGACCACAGCGTCGAACACGTCTCTCTTGGAGCAGCAGTTCTTCATCCAGTTCCAGGAGACTAACACATGCTTCTGGGCATCGCACCATTACACCTGTAAGCAGTGATTCCCCTGATGAAATAAATGACAGCCTTCGCACACCGGAAAGAAGACTGAGGACATCAAGCAGCAGCAGTAGCAGCAGACGGCTACAAAGCAGCAGAACACAAGACGATAACAGAATGCAAATGAGAAGCAGCAGCAGCAGTAGTAGCAGCAGCAGGAGAACAAGCAGCAAAACCTGGAGTGATCAGGTAACCATTCTCACTGGACGATCTCATTGGCAAGCCATTAAACTGATAATGCCCACAAAATATAACAACAACTTGCATTTATATAGTGCCCCTCACGCTGGGTAGCGTCCCAGACTATACAGTCAATTCACTTTACAGTACATTCTGTGAAGCGCTTTGAGAAGTCTTGGCATCATGCTCCGCCACTGTCAAGCGCTCTGGGACGCTGCTCTGTGTGAGAGGCGCAATTTAAATGCAAGTTGTTGTCTCAACGACGTGATAAGGCACTAGCTATTTATCAAATGCAAGGACCATTAAGAAAATATAAAGCATGCTATAGAATAATCTGGAAACGCAGGTGTTCATGTAGGCACAGGAAAGCTGGTAGCACTTGCCAGTAATTTATATTGAAAATGATTTAAGCAATAAGAATATATATATAACTTACATCGATAATTAATGATTCGGATGTTGAATTTCTAGTCAAAAAATTCTAAGAGTCAATATTTACTTTAGTAAAGTCTTTCATTTTACTTTTGTTAATCCGATTGTCAAATCAGCAAACTGAAACAGTAGGAATAACATTCCTTTATATTTGACCAAATAGTTTAATGTCCACAAAATACACAGTCGCTACACTTTTTACATTAAATCCTATTAGGCACATTAACCTGATATTAAAGGAGCTCTATCAAGTGCTTGGATGATTATTATGATTATTTCAAACACTACTGTCGTTGTGTCAATTCTTGTTAAAATAACCAAAACAGCTTTTAGTCTTTGTAACATCTACCATCTATGTGATTCTTGTCCACACCCATGGGACACAGTTTGGACAGTCTTACTGATGAAATTAAATTCTTTAAACTGCTCAAACATTTTATTTCTAAGAAGGATATTAATTGCAACTATCTATGTGCCGAAAGAGACAGTAACATTTATACGATTGATGTTTAACAGTCCATGGAGGAATACTTAATAGTGTGAATCTTCTTTCTTACAAATTACAGCAAAGAATGGCAGGAGGAGTTTCCGAGCCTCGGTTCACATCAACACAGCGCAGTAGGGTAAGACCACTCTCTAATCTGATATCTTGGCATTCATGCTGACTTGTCCTGTGGTATTGTGGTATAAATTTACATAATTTATTTATTCTAAATTTAACAGGCTTGATAGACTAATCTCTAGTTTAAGTTTGTTTAACTAAACAAGTTCGCACAAAAATATTTTCCAAATTCTCATTGCAGATATTCTGTTCAAAGTGGTCTTGTGTCCACTGAGACCATCACCAGGGAAACCCTGTTCACGATGAGCAGCCTTCCCTAACAACCTCATTGTTTCCATCACCACCCATCACTCCTCTAAAACGTGTTTAACATAATTTGAACCCTGGGCAGAGTTTATTTCTGATAAACAGTTTTATTTTTCTGCATTTATATATAGAGGATTTTGTCATATTATGGGCCGGGATTCTTACCACTGGGCTCTTATTAACTATGCAAGCTAAAACCCTAATGGGTAGGGTAGATCTAGCTGGGCAAGCAATGGGAAGTTTACCAGGCTGTGTTTACAATAGTAAACTCTGTGGTTTTAGCCTGTTTTAGCACCACATCACATCTTTCAGGGTCCCCTTCGCCATTGTCAATCTGTGCCTAATACTATCTGGAATTAGATAAACAGGGTGTTTGTTCTGGGGAGAGAGTTCACATTCCAGACACAGGGAAATTTCCAGATGGAGAATGCAAACTTGTGTGGAACTCTCAGTCTGCTTTGGATGTTGTTAAGCATGTTTTCCGCATGTATCAGACATCTGACTTACCAAAAACAATAGTGAGGCAATCAGGCTGAAACCTGATTTAATCATGTACAATGTATGCCTAGATTAGTGTATAATTACGATACATGTTCAATATATCATGCCTATATTTTATACAGTATTTGTATTTAATACCTGTAAATGTTAGAAAACCCCATAACCGTAGATGGACAGCTTTTGCCCATCTTATAATGTCTATAGTTAAGCTACACTTACTAAAAGATGGGAAATTGCCAAGTATTCATTATCCCTATTAACATTCTACTCCCAATTCATGATATCTGCCTCTAAGTCACATAACTGTGTAACTTTTTTTTCTGAACTGTTTAGCGTTCAAGCACAAGAATCTCAATGAGAAGTTTGTCAGGAAAAAATCCATCTGGTTTAAGGCAAACACAAAGCAGTGGCAGTTCATCAATTCTTCGATCATCTCGCCAGGTTTGTCTTCTGCTCAACAGTAAAGTTCCAGGATGCTTGAGAACTTAGATGAGCTCCAGTCTAATTAATCACTTTAAAATATATTTGTTTGTAAACCTAGGGCGAACTCATCAGGAGCGCTGGCTCCCCTATTCTCACCATCCTTCTTCGATCCGTAAGGATTGACAGGAAACAGCAAGGCTATCAGATCACTGGATACGCAGAGGTTTCAGATCGCAAACCCAGAGTTCACTTGCGTGTGGTAGAACTGGCTGAAGATAGCAGGTGGAAAATCTGTGCTGATGGTATAATGCCTCATGGACATAAAGCAATGGTAATAGACAATTCTTCTGTAGCTACTTGAATCTACATGGAAAATATTTCCCATTATTCATTAAAAATAATCTTTTCAAAAAATATTGTTTAGGCATTATTGAGATGGGGTGAAAACTGCCAGAGTTATAAGGTTTCCGTTAAGGCTTCAACTGGTAGCCTTGCAAGCCACCCAGCAATTAAGATCAACTTGCAATGGTCCAGGATTCCTGAGATGCTGATAACATCTGGAAGAATGTAAGCATCAGAATAATATATCTATCTCATTGTGCACCTTCTATGTTGTAGAAAACAATGACTTTGCTAAATGATGCTTGTTATCTGGGTTCAGGATTGGAGAATCATTACCAGGAATTGCCTATGCATTAGGATGGTCACAAAGATATCAAAGCAATCCTTCTCGACAGATTACACTGCTGGTTGCTTTAACATCACCACGAACTATCGATACCATTGTTAAAGTACCCAAGGTATTGCAATCTATATTTACTTTATCTGTTTGTACTTTAAGAAATTTATTTCTTTGCTTTGAGAATTCTTGTTTTTATGCCAGAATAACACAGAACCTCTGCTTCTGTTTCAGAGGACAGTCTTTTATCAAGGTGCCCAAATTCCTTTAGCAGTTACCGTTAGTGCATTCCCTCTACAAGTAAGAGCAAGAGGATTCAAATCCATCACTGAAATTCCTGACATACTTCTGACAGTGAACCAACGTAATTATTTGTTCCATTTTCACCTCCATTATTTACGTTTTGCTGAGTTGCTTGATTTATTGGGTTCCATTTCTTTATTTCAATCTTAACATAATGTAAAAGACATTAAAATTAATGTGAGTTCAAACCTTAATATGTGGATATCAGTCTAAGAAAGGTGAATTAATACATGAAAGCATGAAAGATTTTGCATTCCTCTTCTAAAACTATTTACTGTTTTCACCAGCTTTGGAATTATACACATACTGTATTATGCAACAAAATATTGTGCTAAAGATGAAAAACTATGTCTTAGGAACAGAGACATAACTCTGCAGAAAACTGCATGATTTTCAGGAAAAAATAAAATTCATAATCTTGATATAATAATGCAGAATATGAACTGTAATTGCAGCTATCATATTCCCTACAACTGAAGCAGGTAGAATTGTAGTAATATTGGTAGAAAGACTTGTATAATGTGTAGATTCACAAAATGTTGGAACATATTTGATATTTTTGCAGAGGAGTGTTTTGTGGAACCAGGAAGAATTCGTACATTCGACAATCAGACATTAAGTTATCAGATACCTAATGATTGCCACTATGTGCTGACCCAAGACTGTTCACAATCTCCATCATTTATCTTGTTGATGAAGCGTGCTAAGGATCAATCAAGGAAATCAATAACACTTGTGTTGTCAAATCCCAATATGTAAGTAATATCAGAAGTGATCTTTAATGCTATTAACTCATGTTTCAACCAAATGACCACACTACAGTACAGTATGCAATTTAAAGATTTAAAGAATAGGAAGAACTGAAATATTATCAATGGCAGAGTCTGTAGGGTATACTAACTGGATACAGTTATCATATTTTATTAGAAGTTAGTTTATTAACTGGAGAGCATTGTTTTTTACTGTGATTTGATACAGTTAGACATATTTTGTTAGCAGATTAATCTCCGCATGCCATTTAAGAACATTGTAAATAACAACTGGTCCAGAAAAGACATTTGTGGAACTCTCCTAGACATTAACCCAAAAAAGGGATTTAGCCCTCATTCATAATCATATCTTGTTTACTGTTGACAATTTTCAAAATGCCATTCGTGTCATTAGGTTTGATCTTCTGTTAATGCTTCGCATGTAGTGAAAGCACCTTCTGAAAATCCAAGCAAATCACTGGTTTAAATTCAGATCCACTTCAGGATATATGCACTTTTCTGAATAGAATCTGTGGTTTGTTTCTAAACAGGGTCATTGAAGCACAACCTGAAGGACAAGACGTTAAATTGTTAATTAACGGTGTAGAGCGCTCAATGAGTTCTCTACCCATAATTGAACAAGGTGAGTGTTTACTGTACAGTACTACAGAATATTTCTTAGACTTGTAAAGATTTTTAATATGGGAACCGAACAATATATTTGAGTATGCTTGACCTATTAGCTGACTGTCAACATTGCTCACTATTTGATACCATATGGTTAAAGGCTTCATATCCCCATGTATTTATTTTAGAATCAGTGCTAACAGTATAATTTGGTTTTGAATTATTTGTCAATCTTGAGGCTTTCAAATCATAGTCTAGGCTGGCAATATGTTTAAATACTGGGGAAGTGCTGGATTGTAAAGGTGCTGTGCTTCGGATGTTAAAGATCCGATGATACTATTCAAAAGGAGAGGGAGATATTCGTATTAATTTAGCCAACAACCCTCCAGAGGAATTGATTATTCAATCTATGGGTGTTTGTGCAACCTTGCTGTGGTGCAAATTGGCTGATGTGTTTACCTACACATTTGTACACTAGATAGTAATTCCTGTGAAGCTTTTTGAGACATTTAGATATTAGAGGGACTATATCAAATACAATGATTATTCATTCTTACAAAACCATCGAAAAGAAACAGTATTACTATTTCACTTGACTATTTATTCAAGCAATTGTTCTATTTGCACTACCCACAAATGTTCTACGATCTACTATTCTGCCCACTAACTGTAGAAATGGCCTCTTGTCAGGAGGTATCCATAGCTGAGATATCTTATTCTGATATAATAAAATGATACACAAAAAACATCAAAGGTAGGCTTACTATAGAAGATAATAACAAGGGCAATACACTATGCAAATCTATTCTGTCACCATTGAATTATAATGAAATGAAGGCTTGAACCTGCAACCTTCTGACTCAGAGGCAGGAATGCAGCTGAGCCAGAATAAAATCCTGTGATGGATGAACAAACCGAAAGTGTCGATGTCTTCTTCCAATCATGGTTGTGTGCAGGAGAGTCCTGCAAAGATGGTATGACGAACTGAAAAGAACATGTCAGTTTCATCCTGTCACAGAAAGCATTACTTCAACCCAGCAGTCTCATTATATAGGACGTAAGAACAGCAGTAGGCCATTCAACCCTTCGAGCCTGTTCCGCCATTTAATTAGATCATGGCTGATGTATACCTCAACTAGTCCTTTCAATTCCAAATCTTTAATATACAATACATTTCAATCCACATGTCTTAGGTTTGTACTATAAGACTTCAAAGCTACAAATGTTCCTTCTTTTAGGTGTTGTTCGGATTCAGAAAAACAGCACTGGAATTACTTTGGAAGCAACCCAGATGAATTTAGATTTGGTGTACTTCGATGGGAACAAAGTCCAGGTACCTCACCTGACCAATGAGAGAATTTGTCAAATAAACTGTTTTGAATTGTAGTTAAATTGCACTAATAAATGTTTTATTTTAATTGCATTTTAAGGTTAGAGTGAACCAGATGAATAAGAGGACATGTGGTATTTGTGGACATAATGACGGAGAGAGAAAGATGTTAATGCCAAATCAAGAAGAAACCGAAAGTGTTGATCGCTTCTTCCAATCATGGTTGTGTACAGGAGAGTCCTGCAAAGATGGTATGAGGAACTGAAATACTTTCAAATCATTTTATGTTACAAAGAAATCTAATTTGAAGTTTTTGTAAAACAACAAATATACATTTTCTTTGATTGCAGACTGCAAAGTTCGCCAAGAATACGTGGAACTAGAAGAATTGATCAATTATGAAGGGGTAGATTCCAGATGCTATTCAGTTGAACCAGTCCCACGCTGTTTCTCAGGATGTTCACCAACTGAAAGAGTATCCGTGCCTGTTTCTTTCCACTGTGTATCATCCAGTAAGTGTACATATCCTATGTGTTTTATAGTGGTATTATTTTGATCAAGGTGTATACTTTTAAAGCAGTCACTCTTTTAAAGGAAGTAGACTTCATGTACATTTAAATTGTGTATGATCATAATAATTTCTACTGTGAGAGTTAAACCAGAGCAATACCCCCTTCCAGAGGGAACATCAGATCAAAGGACTTTTGCTGTCTAATTTTAACTTGCTTTTAACTCTTCTTAGTCGATCGGCAGATTGCTTTTCCTGGGGCCATAATTCCTTAAAAAAATAATAATAATTTGATCACTAAATCCACGACTATTTGTGGGACACCACTGTGCGCAATTGGCTGCCGCGTTTCACCCACAAAATATACAGTCAATACACCTTACAGTATATTCTGTGAAGTGCTTTGAGACGTCTTGGAGACGTGATAAGCCGCTATACCAAATGCAAGGATTATTATTATTATTTTCTCTAAATCTGCCTCTACTTAAACATATCTTGCATATGTCAACAGATTCCTCCATGAGCAGATTTGAAGAATTGAGTTTTCGTAAGAAGTCTGCTGATTTACGAAGATTTGTGGATTCCCATAGTGACTGTGCTTGAACAAAAAGATATATAGTTATCTTGTCTGCATGAAGGATATTACAGCATAAACTACACATCAGTTTGACTACTACTTCAATTATAATCATGAATGTAATACCACAATTTTTTGAAAAATTGAGAATTAATGTTTTAAGCAATTCAGTGTTCTGGAATGTTCCTTAATATGTTCTAATAAAGTTTTCACCGCTCAGCAAGTGCAAAAAAGGATCATTTTCAAATTATTTACATAAATTATTCACATTGCTGGAAATACTGACAGCAACTAAACCAGCAGAATTAAACTGAATTGTTGACAAAGTCAAAGTAACAACAACAAGGGATCTGTACCCGAGCTGGTGGTTGGGATCAGGGGTGTGGCGGGCGGGGAGTGGAGGGGTCGGAGGGTGACCAAAGGCAGGGTCGAAGAGGAGTATCTTGAGACAGGTCTTGAAGGAGGCAAGGGAGGGGCTGAGTCGGAGTGATAATATCTTATGTAATACTGATGCATGGATGATGACATGATCAATTTGCCATATGAAATCTGCCGGGATTTAATCCAGTCTCTGGGGGAATTGGAGTATTGACAGTAGTGGGTTCGCTCTGCACCCTGGTAGACACCAGGCTGACCAAAAAAAAAGTTGTTTCACTCAAATTAGTTTAACTTTCTGGCCTCAATCACCCTCCCTGGTTAACCATTCCAATCATAAATTTCCCTCTGTGTGAAGAAGTATCTCTTGGGTCTGTGAAATAGTTTCAGAGGGGTCTAATTTGTGGATTGAGTTGACTATCTGCCACACAGATACACATCATTATACAAATTAACAAGTAATGGAATTAATTACAGAATCCCCTGAATTCATTACATTAGGCAAAAAAGGACATACAATTCTTAATGTACTTTACTTTCAATTGTCAGTTTACAGCAAAGTCTATTTTGATCGAATTCTTATGCTGCCATCTAGTGAGCATTGTTGTATAATGTTGTTTTATAATGAAACGAAACTTGCTGTAGTTTGGTGTATTGTTCACACACAACTCAAAACAGGAGCCTCTGTGTACTCTATACAATAATGTTGTGAGTTGCACCCCAATGGGTGGGGGGGGGAATCAGGCACTGGTTGCTGATCTTACATGATGCTGATTGATGGATGGGTTGCTCTAGTGTAAATGCAGGAACATTTTAAGATATACAGTATATATTACATCCTAACCATGGCCAGTGAGGTTGCAGGAAAGGTCACTTCCAGCAGTAATGTATACTTGGATGGATGTTTGATCTGGTGTTATAATGTTTGCTGTAACCAGTGACCAGACTGGAAGGTCAGTCAGCCTTGGTCAAGTGCTTGGTCAACAGCAGCAGAGGAGGAGGTTTGTGTACAGCTCATAATGAGTGAGTCAGTGAGGTCAGGCAGTCAGTGAGAGAGAAAGAGAAAAAAGAAAGTGCTTCATTAACAGGGGCAGAGGGACTCCACAATCACAGTGAGAGAGAGTGTCCTCATAACACCAGATGGGATCATCTCTCCATCTATTTTACAAGTCACAGTGAGATACACAGAGAGCTTATCTGAGAGACTGAGTGAGTGGGAGATTTGAGTGAGGAAGACAGTGAGAGGGAGAGAGAGTGAGTGAAGGAATGAGAGAGTGGGAGGGAGGGAGAGAGAGAGTGGGAGGGAGAGAGGGAGAGTGAAGGAATCAGAGAGTGGGAGGGAGAGAGAGAGAGAGTGGGAGGGAGGGAGAGAGAGAGAGAGTGGGAGGGAGGGAGAGAGAGTGGGTGTAAGTGACAGAGAGAAGAACAGTGAGACACGGGACAGAAAGAGAGAACAGAGAGAGAGAGAGTGTGAGAGGGTCAGAGGCAAAAGGGAGAAGAGAAAGAGAGTGAATTTGAGAGAAAGAGAGAGAGAGAGAGAGTGACAGACGGAAGGAAAAGGAGACACTGAAAGATTGACATCATTCATTACGTCCGGGTCAAAAAAAAAGAAATGAATATATGCTGAGAATCTGAATCCCAGAGAAAGAGAGGGAGAGGAGTGGGAGAGAAAGAGAGAGAGAAAAGAAGAAAGAGACAGAAAGAAAGAGAGAGAGGGAGAGAGAGAAAGACAGAGAGAGAGAGAGAGAGAGAAAGAAAGAAAGAAAGAAAGAAAAAGAAAGACAGAAAGAAGACAAGTTGTGAGGATGGAGCAGAGTGTGGTCCTCACTCTGGCAGTGCTGGTGTGTGTGGTGCTGTTCACCTGTGGCAGTGGATGTCCCTGTACAGACTCTGCTCTGTGCAAACCCATCACTGGTACCAGAGAATTTGAGGTGAGATGTTATCTATATATACATGCAAGTCGTTGTAAAAATGAAGAACACTGATTCTTATTGACAATTATTAATAGTAATGGTCCTCATTGCCTTTTTTGGGGGGACGGGGGGTTTAGGTGTTTGTCTTTGATGTTGGCAAAAAGGATTGGCAGCACTACGACTGGTCAAAGGTCACGACTGTGGCCACCTTTGGAAAATATGACGCCGAACTTATGTGTTACGCTCATTCAAAAGGAGCTCGTGTCGTCCTGAAAGGTAAGAACGAACTTTGTCACAGACGTCTTGTGATACATGCTACAGTATTGAACCAAGTGAAAGAATATTGCAACAAATAGTCTTAATACGGTTGTACAGTGCATTCTGTTTTTTATTGACACCCACTTCATTGCAGCACACAATGAACTGGAGGTTTTTTTTAAAAAATGCACTTCATGAACAAAAAGTAAAAACATTTACTGCGTTTGATGCTTTTCATTCAGTTTAGAAATCGATTAAATAGCTCCGCTAATAGTCTAGGGTGCTCCAATTCACAGATGTACCTGATCCCTTATCCTTAATTGTTCGATTACAAAAAATGCATTGTTTATATACACTTGAAGTGTCCTCACATTTGATTCTGGTTGTTCAGGGTATCTTCCAGTAAAGGATATTCTAGATCAAGCTAATCGAACAGCTTGGATCAATAAACAAGTGCAGTTGGCAAAAAATCAATTTATGGATGGAATCAATCTGGACCTGGAGTACCCTGTTGCAAAGGGTTCCCAAGAGTATTTTGCACTCACTGCACTGGTCAATGAAACAACAGAAGCATTCCACCGCAGAATACCTGGATCACAGGTGAATAATACATTCATGATAAATAGCTTAGCTATGCCTCTGTTTAAAGAGGAGAGGAAAGCCCAGTGGAAATGGTAATCACCATCAGTACAAAGCAAATAGAAATGTATTTTGCACATATAGCGCTTCACTTGCAGTGAAGAGACTTTCGATTTTAGTATATCCTGGTGATTCACCTCTTTAGTTGCTGATTCTTTTCATTTCATCATGATTTTCCTGTGATAGTACTTGAATTGTAATTGATTCTTTTCTTGATCACTCTTTTATCCTTAGGTCACGTTTGATGTTGCTTGGTCCCCAAACTGCATTGATAGCCGATGCTATGACTATGTGTCTATTGCAGAATCTTGCGATTTTTTATTTGTGATGTCCTATGATGAACAGAGTCAAATCTGGGGAGATTGCATTGCAATGGCCAATGCTCCCTATAACCAGACTTTGAAAGGTATGTACGTGCAATATGGTAGGATGCAAGGGTATTGTTTTATGTAGACGTGGGAGGGATATCTGCGTGTGAGATTTTTTTTGGTTGTTATAAAAAATAATTCTCTGCAATTTTCCCCTTAGCTTACCTGGAATATATCAGGATGAATATTCATCCTAAAAAGCTTGTGATGGGAGTTCCATGGTATGGTTATGATTATACTTGTGTGAGCTTGATAGAGGTAAGGAGCTATATTTACCTGTTATTTTATTTCTTCTATTTAATATGACAGTAAGAAATCAAGAAATGCAGTTGTATTAAGGCAGTGGTACAACTTTTACTGGAAGTTGGCTCAGCTTCCATTTGAAAAAGACTTCAAGACAATTTAATTGAAATGAAGGGGATTAACAACATTGACACAGGTTAACTGCTTATGAAATACAGAAATGTATCTAAAATGTAGGAGGTTGGCATGAACTTAATAGTAATGGTCCTCATTGCCTTTTTTGGGGGGAGGGGGGTTTAAGTGAAGAGTGGAGGGCGGAGATGCTAGTAGGTTGGCCGAAGAGGAGGGTCTTGAGGGGAATGTGGGATAGAGTACTAGAGGGTGGGGGCAGAGAGGCTGAAGGCCCGACCCCCGATGGTGGGGCAGGCCAGGCGGTGGACATGGAGCACACTAGAGCCTGCTGGGTGGAGGGAGCGGATAGGTTGATAAAGGGTTAGCAGGTCAGAGAAGTAGGAGAGGGCAAGGCCGTGGAGGGCCTTGAAGATGGACGAAGATTTTGAACTGGATCCTCTGAGGGATGAGGAACCTAACATTCTGGAGAGAGAAAGGATATGGTGAGGAGGCAAAGAGATACCATATCCTAATGGAGCTAAGATTCAGAAACACATTTGTTTGGACTTAAAAACCTTTTTGTGTATCTAAACATTGTCTGTAGTAAATTTAATTGGCCATTGTCTTTCTTCTGTGTGTACTTCCCTGTTCTTGGGAATCACCAATTCATGTTGCTGCCTCTTTGGAGTTACCACTTTAGGGGCATTAAAAAAATTGTCTATTGGAAGTAGGCTCAGCTGTATTCCTAAATACAGAATTTACATTTGTGTCTTGTTGTGCTTTGCAGGGTGTTAGATGCACAATACCCAAGGTTGCTTTTATGGGTGCCCCTTGCAGTGATGCTGCTGGACATCAAGTTCCTTATAGGACACTAATGAAGCAAGTGAAGATGTCAACCAGTGGCAGAATATGGGATGATGTTCAAAAAGCTCCATACTATATCTACCAGGTAAACAATACAAATAAAATCTATTGTTGATCATATATTTAATATTCCGACCAATACATTGCTTTATAACTGAAGGTGTTTAATTCTAGTTCGAAGTAGTTAGTGCAGTTCAGAATGTCCAGTGTGTGCACATGAAGAATTGCTAGGGAAATGAGTTAATGTGCAAATTCCAAAGCCAACTCGCCTTTATAAAGGTATAAAGCTTAATGGAAAACAAAGGAGGCAATTTGCACTTTATGGAGATTCATTCATTAAATTCTTATCTAATTCATTGGGAAAATAATGTACTGCATACAAGGATAAATCATTTTATATCAAAATGAGAGGGAGAAGTTACAATAGATTAGGGTTATGTTAAAATAGATTAAAGTTTAAAAGGGAAAACTAAACAAAATCATTTTTTGCAGTCTTGAGGTCCAGGGAAGTTGGAGGGATGTTATAGGTGAAAGAAGGAATGTTTAGCAGATGAGCCTTTTTTTTTTTTTAAAGATGATATTCTATCGGAGCAAAAATTCTCTGCTGAAAGAGCATCGCCAGGTATACGAATATCAAATACTTAGGTAGAGTTGACTCCATTTACAACTGAGTCTTTCAGGGTATTTAGCATAAGTGAGCACCAAAAAGACTGCTTTAAGTAATCGAGGGAGATCAGAGAATTTAATTTGAGATGAGTGAATGTGAAGTAAAATCTGATTATCATAGCTGTCTTGGTCAGAGGGAGATTTACAACCATGTTGTGTTGAGCACTTGACTTAACTTCACTGCTCGGGTTATTTTGCTTTTTTGGCAGGTGGATAAAGTATTTCATCAGGTGTGGTACGATGATCCTCAGAGCATCTCACTGAAGGCAGCGTACATAAAGGAATTTGGTCTTCGTGGTATAGGCATGTGGAATGGCAATCTTTTGGACTATGGCAATGATACTAAAGTGCAGCAGCAAACTGCAGATATGTGGAATGCTCTCTGTCCTACGAATACTTCATGTGGAAGTTATTCTGTGCAATAAACCAAAACCTCATTAGTCTAAAGTATGGACTTCAGTTCGGGGAATATTCTACGCAGAACAGAATCATGCTGAACTTACCTTTCAAGCTTATCATCTAACAACAATGAACTTGAAATCTGCAGGAATATATATTTTTAAACTTAGTTTGTATATTTATGTACAAGCACAAGTAATTGCAATTTGATTTATAAGACTTGGTGGGTATTCTGGAAATTTGAGATCAAATGGGCTGAATTGCCTTTTTCTTGTAAACCTCTTACATGAATTCCATTATGATCTTTTGACTGGGAAAGTTTTCTTTGGAATTTGGCATTTGGAATTGTGAATAAACAAGAAAATCAATTAATGTTTTGGCATCCATTGAATGTGTATAGATGTATTATTTAATGGCTAAACGATTCAGGCTTTGAGGGACTGAACCACCATGCAGTCTTGTTTGGGATGACTGGGCCTTTTTCTGTACCAGTTCTGCTCTGAGTGCTCGGAGTTCTGTGGCTGCCTGATTTCTCAACTAAAAGAGAGTGCAAGTTGCAAAAAGTTATTACTTAGTACAGATATCAATGTTCAGTTAGGCTTCACACACAACAAAACCTCTTTCACTCGGAGTATGACATCTAACTAAAGCACCCGAAATTAGTTTCAACTAAATGTATCATCAATTCACTTTACAGTACGTTCTGTGAAGCACTTTCAGATATCTGGAAGACGTGATAAGGTGATGCATAAAATGCAAGGATTATTGTTAGCTCAGCTACTAAGTGTATGTTCAGCGCTTAGTTATTTGAATTTGGATTTTTATGGTTAATATTTGTACCTACATTATTTCCATTCCAATATACACTCTATAACATCAATCAGTTTATAATCCTGATAATTTAAAATTGACGAAAAGTGCGTACAGATAATAAATGCTTTACTTGTTAAAAACATTTCAACAAGTAAAACCAGCACAAATGCCTATTTAAATTTCATACCTTTATTTCAGTCATTAGCTTCATTTTGGCATTTTCCACTTTTCTATAAAGCTGATCAATTTCATGCTTGAGTGTTGCAATTTGAATAATGAACTTATTCTGGAACAGCATATTAATTCAATACAAAAATGAGGAAATTAAAATATGTTAAGTATTTTTTTCAAAACCAACAAATTATCATTGTGTTCATAATTTTTTTAAAAAAGTAACCTTTGAGGTTTAAGCCTGGCCTAGTATCCAAGTTAAAACAGCATTTACCTTGGAAGAGCTTGCATTTGTTACATTTCTGGGTTGTTTCCTTGCATCCCTGGCCTCCAGCTGCCGTAGGAGCTTCAGGTAATGTGTCTCCAACTCGTGACGCAAGGTGTTGGACATTTCCTCTAATGGAGCAGTCGCCTTCTTACATTCAAAGTATTTCTTTTTCCAGCTGTCACGAGCTGCAAACACATGAGTTGACTCCTGAAACGTCGCTGCTATAAAATTCAGTATTACATTGTCTATTCACAAGATGAGTTCACTTCAAAAGCGGTTCTATGTACTGAAAGTGTATGTGTATTTCAGTTTCAATGTAGGGACAGTTAGCTTCTGGATCAGCAATATATCTATAGTGAAATATAAATGGTATAAATATATAGCATAATCAAAACCTTTCAAACATTGGTATTGATGGAGAACCTAAGTTATAACATCACCTTACTCCCAATTTGTTTTCCTACATGCAATAACAAGTACTACATCATGTGTGATGACTATAAAAAGTGCCAATACCTCTGTCAGTTTAAGTAAATGCCTCACAGCAGGGCCCTCTATATAATGTAAAACAAATATTTTAGCACATTATGGATGAAAATACTGCAAATCACAAATAGGTCCATTACCATGACTCTCGTGTGATAATCAGACCAGGAAGAGCACAATGAGTGTTGTGGTATCTTTTCCTTCTTAGCATTTTTCAAATCATTGTTGTGCATTAAAATTCCTGTGCCTGGGTAGTTTTATATCCATGAAGGTCCCCAAAATATTGTACACCAAGAAAATTGAGCAATGGTTAGCTTCTCACCTGGGAATCTTGAAGGAGGAGTAAAAGTTGTTTCTGCATAACTTTTCTTTGGTTACAGAGTATCACAGGGAACATTTAAATTCACACATCACAGCCCAATAATGGACTCTACCTTGGTTTCTTCTCAATTGGTTTTGTGATAATAGTCCTCTTGCTCTCTTCACCAGTTCTCCCCTTGATTTTTCCAGATGTTTTCTCTCTTGCCTCATTGCTTTTATTTGTGCAATAAGCTGGTCTAAAAGAAAAAAAGTTGCTTGGAAAACTCTAATCGACTTTCAAAATCAAAAAAGTGTGAATAACAAACCATGTAGATATACAAAGTAAAGCATCTATTTTAGCTTGAAAGCTGACGTATGGGGTGAGAGGAGGGAAACTGTCAAAGAACCTAAGAAAACATTTTCTGTCCTATTCACTCTCTCCATGTCGATAATATTCCCTGGCACGCACAAAGCAGTCACCAGTTCTGTGTGCAGCTAAAGTATGCTGTGTGCTGTGCTTGTTCCGTCTCAAGTATAACAGTAAAATCTAATTATATCAGATACTCACCATCTGTTGGAAATGATTGGATTTGCTGACTTTGTGTAGTGAGAACTAGTTGATGCGGTAGAGAAGGCATGGAATATATTTTTCTAACTGGTGCATATTGTACTTCTGTGTCATCCCCTTGCATCTGGATATTTAAAACAAAAAAGATGTGACATGAAAAGCATAACAATGTAAAAAACAGTAATAAATGCTGAAAGTAACTATTGTAATATAAAATGGTGATACAGTACGGTATTTTAGCAATTTCATCACATATCATGAACCAGTTTCAGGTTCTACAAGGACTCGATGGATGACTGAGACACACAGACTGGTTCAATCCCTGATCTGTTGTTGTCTGATCTCACCTTGGTGAGGTTTCAGCGCTTTCGGACGTCCTCCCGACGTGAAAGGCGCTCTATAAATATAATTTTGTTGTTGTTGTTGCTAAAATTAACTTTAATGTCTGGATTGTAGAGGAAACAGCAAGGTCTCCTCTCCACATCGCTCTCCAAGGGCCACTACAGGGAAGTGCTTGTGTGTGAATGGCAGGGGAGGACAGAATCAGGCTCAGTTTGTGAGTGTATTCTATTTGATACAATGTTGTTGCTGCTCAAAATAATTTCTCTTAAATAAATGTAGAAACTTGAAAAGTATCAAAACCTTGAATTCTTCAAAAACGCTAAAGAAACATTAAAAAATAATAAGAAATAAAAGGAAGAAAAAGATATGGCTTACATATAACTGGCAACAAATTAAATACATGTTTATTCCTTTGTGGTCCGAGTTCAGCAAATATCTTTATGCTAATGCCATGTTGGTGTTCGTTGCAAAAGGATTAGAGTACAAGAGTAGGGAAGTCTTGCTGCAGTTGTATAATGCCTTGGTGAGACCCCACCTAGAATATTGTGTGCAGTTTTGGTCTCCTTATTTAAGAAAGGACATACTCGCCTTAGAAAGGGTGCAGCGTAGATTCACTAGGTTAGTTCCTGGGATGAGGGGATAGGTTGAGTAAACTAGGCCTGTATTCTCTAGAATATAGAAGAATTAGAAGTGATCTTATAGAAATCTCTAACATTCTTAAGGGTCTTGATAGGGTAGATGCCATGAGACTGTTTCCCCTGGTTGGAGAATTTTAAAACTAGGGGTCACAGTCTCAAGATTAAAGATCTGCCTTTTTGAACTGAGTTGAGGAAACATTTCTTCACTCAGAGGATTTGTGGAATTCTCTACCCCAGAAGGCTGTGGATGCTCAGTCCTTAAACATATTCAAGACTGAGGTTGATAAGATTCTAAAGGATAGAGGGATTAAGGGATATGGGGATAGGGCGGGTAAATGGAATTTAGTTATAAGATCAGCCATGATCTTATTAAATGGCAGGGCAGGCTCGAGGGGCCGAATGGCCTACTCCTGCTCCTATGACTTATGGTTTTATGGTCTTTCGCGTGAAGTACAATCATACCTGGCCGACTATTTTTCCAACATTACTGGTTTCTTGTTCCAGATTTAGTCTCTGGCTGAAAAGAAAATTGGAGTAGTTCATGAATCATGAATAGTTCATAATTAAATAGAAAAAAAGAGCAAAATAGAGCATCAACGTTCTTGATTTATGTCATACTGACAGTAAAAGTGCAGACAGTTAACAACAATATTACTGTGTTTAAGCTGCAAAGTAAAATAGTTATCTATTTCTATATTAATTTTTACCTTTTCTTTCTTTCATTTTCTAAGTAGTCCAGATCCCTATCGTCCAGCGATTCTGGTACCCCAGAATCCCACGTGCTGTTACTCTGAATCCTGTTTTCCTTTGAAACTGAATTTACAACCGATTTTACATCTGCCATTGGTGCAGTTTCTACAGGAAAAAAAAGATGTTAATCTTTTTAAACAAGAGCAATGAAGTCCTCAATTCATTAATCTACATGAGCCTGTTTTAGTACCACATACATAAAAGGGCTATTGACAGCCATATTTTAAATCAGTAATTTATAACATCACAAAGTTTCAGGTTACATTTTTTAAAAAAATACATTGAAACAAACAAAAGAGAAATTGCTTTGGTATGTATCACTGAAAAAAATACAAGATTTATCAACCTTTTTTTCCTGGCAGCCTGTGATCCTCTTGTAGTTCACTGCTTTCTGCTATTTTATTCTCATGTATTTTATTTTTAATTGGTGTACTGCGTGGTTCATTCTTATATGGTTCTTTCTCCTCCCAGGTGAAAGGGTTGTTTAAATCCACACGGCTACTGTTGTGCACCTCCTGTGAAAAATTATTATTTTTAAAATCCCTTGAGACATCGTTTTCGTCAGGATTTGTACTTCTCAGTCCTTCGTGTGGCACGTAGATGCTACTGAAATCTGGACTCCTGGTATTGTGTACATTTTGTGAGAAACTCTTAGGTTTACATTTCCTTGAAGTCTCATTTTCTTCTGGGTTTGCTTTTCCCAGCCTTTGATGTGGCCCAAAATATTCCCCAGCAAAGCGCTGACGATCAGGTGTGAGTGTATGGGTAGAATCGGGTGTCAATGTGTGGGTAGACTCAATCCGAGTATCCTCATCCACACCGATCAGCAGGTAGAGTTCTGGCTGGGGAGCCTATAAGTAAAGGTTATTGAGACCAGAGGCATTCGATTAAATATTAAATATAATTCAATGAATAAATATTAAGAAAATAACAATAGATTTACATACGTAAGGAGGGGCAAATGACTTTACTTTGAGCTCTAATTCTTGTTTTGCTTTCACCTAAAAATAAGATTTCAAGAGTTCATTTTCAAAATGAGCCAACCATAGTACTTACAATGAGAATGAATACTAGAAGCATTAATCTAAATGGTTCATTAAGTGCTACTCTTATTCCTAAATCATTCACAAACGCTTTCTAATTTACTGAAAAATATCCAAATAATAGAAATGCAGTCTCTTGTCTTTTGCTTATTTAATTCTAAAGCATTAATTGTGAATTAACAATTAGATGAGAATATAACCAAGCAACCAATCTACGTAGGTGCTTACATCTTAGCATTAATGCCCAGGTCTGCAGGGATCATTAAAATAAATTCTACATTGAGCTGTGCAATGCAAAATTCTTCTTAACAATCAGTCATTCCGTGATTAAGCAATATGCTGAATCGAATTCACACTTGAGCTTATCATGGTGTTAAATCATGTAAACTAGCCACAAGTATTTCCCAATATAGTATCTTCAAATTATCATTCCTATCTTTTGCCAAATTTCATCTTTGTTAGCCGTTTTTGAAACATTTTTCTGGGACATATTACACTTGCAGATTGATTAAATTAAATTAAAGAATTAATTTCATAATTCTGATTTGATAGTTGCCCATTATTTGTTTATAAGAGCGTTGAACGAATAACTGAAACAATGTTACCCAGTTTAGCACACAAATTGTTATACGAAGAATATAAAATAAACATAAGCAAATAACTGCGAAAACATTCAAAGAAAGAATTATTTTACAAGTCAGAGTTTCAAACACAATACAATTTACAGACTCTTCACAGGAATTTTACCAGCACGCTTTATTGCAGCAATCACAGATTAAATGGGTATGAGTTCTAAGCATAGCCTCCTACGTTCAACTTTCTTCAGTATTTGGAAAGATTGCCATCCTTGTGACAAGTTACAGTGTAGTGTTGTCAAACAGCAAGCGATACCAAGCAAATATTTGAATACACAGAGACCATTTCATAAGGTTGCTGTGATTCTAGCTCCAGTACACTAGCTCCAGTACACTTAATAAATCAATGTGTCTGTTGTTGTTCTCTCAGCTTGTTAAAGCAGTTCAGCCAGGACTCGGGAAGAACGTGACCTTCACAGAGATGTATGACCGTACTGGAAAGGAAGTTTATTAAATTCCCTGATTGCCTTTTTTGTGGCATAAAGGGCAGTTTGTTTTCCCCTTTGCCTCTTGTTTTAAAACTAAAATCAAATACCACCAATCTAAATTGTTTGTCTATCACCTGACAGCCCATCACACCAGGAGCCAAGTCTTATCTGATGACTTTTCAATGATTGCTCTTTGATAAACCATGCATTTCAGATCTCAAAAGCAAATCTCCTCAGATCGAACACCAATCTCAGCCTTCTATTTTGAGACTTTGTTAAAATAAGATTTTGCTTGACTATTTCTCTTAATAAGAAATAATAATTACAAATACTCTGTGGGTTATTTGTTCATATTTTCATAATGGAAAACAAGACATTTCAGACTCAAGGTATACACTTAAAGTAAACTAACTTAGACACAGTAAGAAAATGTAATTCCACCAAAAGTCCAGTACCTTGAGAAATAATATGTCCCTTCTTGCTCATGTCAGAGAGCTTTAAATCATCAACATGTGGCAACACACAAAGATAAAGAAAAATAATCTATGGAATTTCCTATCTTTCCATCCACCTTCCTTTTTTACTTGCAAGCTCTTACTCACTATATCTAAGTGCTAAAAGCTTTTGAAAACTATGGTTTAAAGAGGACGCATCAGCATTCAATGGCCTGACTGCAGAAATGTTATTTTATACTGTGAAGTTCTGTATTTGGGTTCAACTCTTGCCACTGTCAGCAAGATGAAGCTCTCATAGATTTATCAATATTTGCACTTGAATAAAATTACCAACAGTGCATGAAAATGAATGAAACTGATTTATGGTTCAATAACATAGTATAGTCAAAGTGAGATTTATTTACTATAGTAACCAATATTATTACATTTGCTTTAAGAGGATTAATGGTCCTAGTGGCGAATACTGAATGTAAATTAGTTGAATGGTTTCCATGCAACATTGGATTAATGTTGGTGGCTCACATCAGTAAGGATCTGATGGTAAAAAGTTTCAAGTTCCCCTTCTGACTTTCTGAAGTCAATTGGCATGGGGGAGCATTCTTATTTGTAAAACCTTCACATTTGTATTTGACAGGCTATGACTAACTGGGTTCACATTGTGTTTTATCACTGGTGATATTATAAGTTACAGCTAAGTTATATATAAGTTATACTTTGGGTTGCAGAGCAAAGAGAATCACACTGTCTGCTATTTGACTGGTTCAGATACTATCTTTCACACCGTCTTCACTTTGTCTCCACAAATGGCAACTCCCTGCTTGTTGGCCTTCCCAACTCTTGCCTCCACAAGCTGCAGATCATCCAGAACTCTGCAGCTTGTGTCCTCTCCCGCACCAGGCTCCATGGCCCTATCACCCCACCCTCACCCGGCTCCACTGGCTCCCCATCCCCCAGAGGATAGAGTTCAAAATGTTCGTCCTCACCTTCAAAGCTCTCCACGGCTTTACTCCTTCCTACCTCTGTGACCTGCTAACGCCATATCAACCTGTTGGCAGCACAATTACTGTGATTGCCCCACTGAAAGTCAGAGGTCCAGCTGCGTGCTCCTAAGGAGTCCATTAAAACTTAATGACCAATGGATCACCCATGAATTTTCAAGGTATTTATTTTACATTTGAATAATGGACCAATTGTAATTATTACCCAATATGAAGGGAAAAGTCATAAGTGTTACTGTTAAGTATGAATTAGGAAGTACAGTAACACTCATTCATATGGACAGAATTGTTATATAGCTCTGAGAAGTAGTCAACTGCTTAGACAAAGGCTTTCAAATGGTATACATGCCCAAACACGCTCCATTTGTTCCTATTGCGTGGCTTGCACTTCTGCAACTGATAACAAATTATTTATTGCACAACATTCCACAAAATCACACAATGCCACAACTCACTAATTCTTTTAAAAAGAAAAGACCTACAATGTTCAAGCTCTATATAGTTGTGCGTAAGTAACTCTTTAAAACGTGTCCCAGAAATGCCAGTCTGGGAGTGATGCTGTCAGGTAGTGACAGTGGAAAGATATTTATTGCCCTGAAAATGACATCTCCACTTGGTAAGAACTTTTACCCCCAAAAATGCAAAATCTCAAAACTCTCAAGTTCTCATCCTTGACCATTGACAAGAGAAAATGATCGGAATCTCATCCGGAATCTAAACGTTGCTAAATAGGATGCAAATGACTTACCACTGCCAAACCTCTTCCAACACATTTTAAATAGACAAATTTGTCATTAACAGAAACATCTCCAAGAAAATCTCCAAGTTCTTGCCTTAATGCTTGCAAACTCAGATCAGGAAATACCCTGGGACATAAGAGACAAAACATTAGTTGTAGAAAAGGTTGGTAATATCTGCTTCCCTGCGAAGAGGTGGAGAATCATCTGAATTTTGTATCTTCTGAATAATAATAACAAATTGAGAAATGGGCACTAATTGGCTCTATTATTTGACTGGCTCCAGTGTTTGTGAACCGTTTTCTTTCCCTTTGTTACAAAGGTATCAAAGCAGATAAATATAGCATGTATACATTCCATTGCAACAAAAATAAACACAACTCTTCCTCATTCTCAAACAAATTCAGTGTATGTATAATTTGCCAAACTATAAAACTGGGAGCTTAACAACTCTTTCCGCTTTCCATAATTTTTACAAACATCCATGTGAGCAATGCTGGTATTGGAAAAAGGAATACTTTCTCTCAGATTCCGTGCTCAGTATCAACATCAGTGGTTCTTAAGCACAGCAAACGAGATAAATAATAAAGCTTTATCTCCACCATTAATTCATAAAAATATGTAGTGAACCCACCCCCAGTAGTTTATTAACCTAAAATCATTGCAAACAAAGTGAAAAATATTCAAGTGCATGAGTGAAATTTGAAAAATATTCGAATTTCTATTCATACGCTAAAAATGTCAAATTAGCAGCTCACCATCATGTCTGCATTGGGTTAATAAACATACCAGAAAAGCAGACATGTGCCATATCTGTACAAATGGATTCAGTTATGAGTATAGTTTAAAAAAGTCTGCTTTAATCCTTACCTGATAAATCCAGCAGAAATAAATTTACCAATGGCACGAATAGAAACAGTGTTTAACTTGGCGTTCCATAATTCTTCTGGTACATGGAAGACATGAAGCTCCAGCACCTGAAATAATTTAAAAACTGGGATAGAAACATTTATAGTCCAACAACTTAATGTTGCTTTATTGTTATCCTAACATATGCAATGTTTGTATAACCAAGATTGTTACCAGCGGTGTCAGTTAAGAAAATAAATGGTCCTTATATTTTCAGTCATTGCTAAAATACAATGTGGCATTAGTTCTCAAATCAAAGAGAGAAAGGATGCAGTTCCCGTGATGGCATAGTGGGTAATGGGACCAAGTAATACAGTCCAAAAGGTTACAGGTTTGATTCACAATCTGTAGAGTTAGTAAACCTCAGCTCGGGAGCAAGTCACAGCACTGCAATTTGTGTTCGTGTCTCAGGCAGTGGAGGGGAAAAAGGAATAAAGTTCAGTCAGGATTCCTGCTCCTCATTGCTATGAAGTAATCCCTGATGGAAAATGTCTTTGTGTGTGAACCTGTAATGAACAGGATTGGCCTCAACCACAATGCCCCCCACAGTCAAATAGCTTGCTAACAGTCATGACTCATTGTTAAGGCTCACACATGAAGAATGGCCAATTGAGCAAGGTACCAATGGGCGGGCACACCAGTCAAACCATATCTCGGTGCGAGTCAGTGCTTTCAGGAAAGGAGGAGGGAAGAAAAGTGAAGAAAGTTGGTAAGGAAGGCTGCTCATATGTTGCTGGACATTGCCTGAGCATACTGCATACATGTATAGGCACACTGACAAGATAAATATTCTCACCAGCATACAATACACCTAAATAAATATATGTCTGACCAGGAAAGCAAGAGCAAATCTGGATTATTAAAAAATGAGAGCTCAAATTAAGACTAATTACATGTTTTTTGTGAAAAATATATTCTACATAAGATAAAGCAGACTAGATGAAATGAACACTGTACTTGAAGCATCTCCTTATAAAGGCCCAATGTATATACGTAATACAACAGTTTGCACTTATGTAATGTCCCTTATGCAGGATCACACCCCACAATGCCTTACAGTGACTTTGTGAAATTAAGAGGGTACCTGATGCAATCAATGTCAATAAATATTGCAGGATTTACTTTGTTTTCTGAGTCCCATTTCATACTATCATTCTCCTGATCAGATTTTATTTACTTTGCTCCTACTAGTTAAGTCTACAAACTAATAATTCCAGTAGTTTGTCAGGCAGAAAACAATTTCAAAACAGTTGTATTTTACCTCATTTAATAATATCCTGTCCCAGATAATAATATAATAGTAATATAATAATCCTTGCATTTAATATAATAGCTTATCACTATTTAATATATGACAAATATACTCATATGTTTGAACCCACATTAAAGCTACAAAACATGATTTGCTGAATACATAAACCATCGATGATTACTGAAATAAAGAGTATGCAGATCAGATTTCGTTATTCAATAACAACGAATATTACATTGCACTTCAGAACACAGATTAGAATTACACAAAATCTGAGTCACTGTTTGCTTTATGATGTGTCATAAAATGTTTGATCACGACCTTTTTTGCATTACACTTTAAAGCTCGCTTTTCTTTTTTAAGAAAAACAGATAGGCATATTTTCCTAAATGAATGTGTTTACCTTGTAAGAAAAAAGACTGAGATTGAGAACAGGGCCAGCTAAATCACTGCAACTACATTCCATCCAACAACACTGAATAACAAGTCATAAATTCACAAAAACAAACAGAATGGCACATGCATGCCTTGTATCTATTTACACAGTTCCCAGTTACCAACCATTTTTGTTTTGATTCCAATTGCTATAAATTAGGGCCCTGGTGATGTTCCAGATTACGTCTTTGATGGTTTGTTTCCATTTTAAGCGTTTGCCAAAAGCGGTACCTACCAAGAGTTATGAATAAAAACTTATAAACAGGGCGCGGTGTTGAGTTAACACAGAAAAAGCGATGTTCAACTCCAAACCCTTAAAGACCTTCAGTCAGAAATATAATTCTCATCGAACCCAGATCGTTAATCAAAAACAATCAAAAACAAATCACTTTGATTAGCCAGTCAGAATTCATTCATTGTCAGGTAATTTATTGTATGAGAACAAAATTTTGCATGTTGGATTTGGGCTGTAACCAATGTTGCCAAAATGTATCCAGGTCTACTCTGCTGTATAAATAGCCAACCTCAAACAACTGTAACTCACATCAGTCCTCACTGTCCTGGTGGATACCGAGTAACTACAGTATGCCAAGATCTGACTATTGCTCACCAAGTGATTATTCGTTGCATTTTCTTAAAAAAAGTACACAAATGTTGTTAACACAGACTGACAGACTGACTGACTGACTGACTGCCAGCGTTCACTCACCCCTGCTGTCCCGGGTCTGTCCCGTGCTGTGGATTTCATGGGGGCGTCTCAAATTGCAAAGGAATTCTGCAGTTTTAGCTAAAACCAGTGAGATGATCCCAAAAATAAAGCGACACTGAGAAATGGCCAGGATTGTACCTTGTCTTATTGATTGTCTTGTTTTTTTTCCCCCACTCCAGACCCCCACCCCCTGACTTCACTGACAAGTCTTGTGTCTTCCCCAAAGCTGCAAAACCCTTGTAACTTTCCAGATTCAGGACTGTATTGCTGTTGGGTGATGGACAGCAGACTCAACCAAACACAGTGATGCATCTGGGTTGATTGACAGGAACTGCACTCAAACACAGCCCTATCCAGGCATTGAATGACAAGAGCTGCGATCAATCACCAACTCAGTGGCAATCCTATGCCTGGGTATTGCCAACTGACATGTAAGATCTGGCTCCATTGAAACTGATATGCATATTAGGGTCAATTTGAGCCACAGATTAGCCAGGATCCCAAGGAATCGAAATTGAGTTGGTGGTGGGGGGGGGGGAGTTTAAAAAGGAAAGATAGTAAACATGTTAAACGAGGATTTTTTTTTGTTCAAAACAACATACACTCAATGCTGTGAGAAGCTCAGGTCACTAACACTCAATGCAATGCAATGCAGACGTTCTGGATAGGTTTGAAAACCCATAAATCCCTCGGGATAAAATATACCCTCGGGAGTAGACATAAGAGAGAGACAGAGAGAGATAAGAGGAAAGATGTGAAGCACTGATGGCCATTCTGGGGCAACCCACTGAATACTTTCCTTGTGGCACAGCAATACAAACTTGTATTCCACACAATTTTCAATGATCCACAAAACCCAAAATACGTGTGTTTTTGACCAGATTTGTGCAATATTGCCAGAAAAGGGAATGGAAGATCAAGAACAAGTCAGGTATCCAGACTGGTGCAGAGGATGGAGGAAGTATAATGGCCAACCCTTTACAACTGGGAAAGGCTATTAAATACTGTGCTTCGCCCCATCTCACTTCTTCTAAAGTGTGACTATGTATTGGTTATTTTAGCCTTAGTTAACCAGTCCAATTTAACGCATTGGAAGACACTGACACCCCCCACCCACCCACCCACCCACCCACACACACACACACACCCACTACCTTATTTACTAAACACATTACCTTGCAAAGGACCTAAACGGATTGGGTATTTGGGTTGACCCCCACACGGATTGCTGACACGAAGCGTTTACGAAATATTTAATCTGGGCTCAGGTTGCAATGAGTCGTAATGCGTCGAAGGTTTTAACCCATCTCCCTCCCTCCTTCTCTCTCTCTCTCTCTCCCTCCATCCCTCCATCCCCTCCATCCATCCGCGTAGGGATGCTGAGTGAGACAGTTGGGGTTGGCTGGGGGTGGGGAGAGACAGCAGCTGAGTGAGTGAGTGTGTGTGTGTGTGTGTGTGTGTGGGAGAGTGTGTGAGTGTGTTCTTTGCTTCACTCAATGTGATCGGTGAGGGGCGCAACAGCAGCGAAAAGGATCCACTGACACCACACCAAGAAACACCGGAAAAGAGAGTGAGAGAGAGAGAGAGAGGAGAGAGAGAGAGAGAGTGAGTGAGTGAGACAAGAAAAAAAAACCAACGCAATCACTGGACTCCAGCCATCCCCTCCCCTCCACTCCCTCCCTTCACCACCACCACTCCCCCCCTCCTCCTCCTCCACACCCACACACACACCCACACGCACACACTTCCTCCTCCTGTTCGTTCCGAGGAGTCTCCCCCACTATAGCGCCATCGAGAATGTCGGCCAACACCAACATCCACGCCATGAGAAAACTGGTCCAGCAACTGCGCTTCGAGGCGAGTTTCAACCGAGTGAAGGTGAGAGCGACTTCATAACTGGGGGAGAGAGAGAGAGAGAGAGGGGGAGGGATAGGGAAAGAGGAGAGAGAGAGAGAGAGAGAAAAAAAAAGGAGGGGAGTGGGGTGGTGGGGGGGGGGGTTAAGGTATTTGCGGGGCAGAGCAATAGCAATAGCCCGGGCAGGGGGTGGGGGAGTTGCAATGGACACTCACTCACACTCACTCACTCACTCACACTCACTCACAGGGCCATTTCTGGTAAAGGAGAGGCTGTGACTGCAGCGCAAAGGCAGTCAGACGGGCGCTGTGTTGCCGAGGCTTCGGTTCGCCCTCTCAGTCACCGGACAGTGACAGTGACACCCCCGGACCTGCGTCTCCTCCAAAGCTGCGAACCGTGTAACCTCCAGGATCCCCCCCTCCCCTCCTCCCCTCCCCTCCTCCCCCTCCCCCTCCCCCTCCCCTCCCCTCCCCCCCTCCTCCTCCTCCTCCTCCCCTCCTCCTCCGACTGAGGAGCTGAAATCTGTAACCCCCCCTCTCTCTCTCCTTCTCCCCTCTCTCTCTCTCTCTCTTTCCCCCCCTCTCTCTCTCCCCCCCTCTCTCTCTCTCCCCCCTCTCTCTCCCCCTCTCTCTCTCTTCCCCCCCCCTCTCCCCCTCTCTCTCTCCCCCCCTCTCTCTCTTCCCCCCTCTCTCTCTCTCTCCCCCTCTCTCTCTCCCCCCTCTCTCTCCCCCTCTCTCTCTCTTCCCCCCTCCCCCTCTCTCCCCCCCCTCTCTCTCTCTCTCTCCCCTCTCCCCCTCTCTCTCTCTCCCCCCCCCCTCTCCCCCCTCTCCCCACCCCACATTCTCCCTGTAGGTTTTTTACACGATCGTTGCTTTATTTGTTGGTGTCGTTCCAGTATTTTAACGTGTAGTTTGTAAAGCTTTCTGGCTCATTCTGTGCCCCGGGGGGAGGGGGGGGGGGCTGGGGAGGGGGTGGGGGGGGCTGGGGGTGGGGGGGGCTGGGGGGGGGGGGCTGGGGGGGAGGGGGGGGGCTGGGGAGGGGGGGGGGTTGGGGAGGGGGTGGGGGGTAATAATGTGTGGCTACTCGGTGACCTTTTCAGCTCATTTTACTTATCATTTTCTTACTTTCGTTATCGGAGTTTTTTTTAAATCATTGGATTTTACACTAAAACACAACTCCCCCCACCCCACCCCCCACATACACACACACCCCCCACACACACACCCACACAACCCACCCCACACACAGACACACCCCACCCCACACACACACACACACCCACACAACCCACCCCACCCCCCCACACACACACACACACCCCACCCCACACACACACACACACCCACACAACCCACCCCACCCCCCCCCACACACACACACACACACCCCACACACACACACAAACAAACCTACACCCCCCCACACACACCCACACACACACACCACCCCCCCCCCCCCCCCCCACACACCCCCCCCACACACACACCCCACACACACACACAACCGAAACGGGGTTCAATGGAATAGGATTAGATCAGTTTAAGTTTCCTCTCCCCCCCCCACACGACCTCATCTGATCTATAGATGAATACCCCAAATCATAAAGGTTTTAAACGATTCTCCCCTTAAAACCTCCGGGTTTCAGCATTACATCATTGGCTTTTGTCGGCATCAACAGCTAAACGTTTTAACCACTAACAATTTTTTTAATATATATATATATTAGGAGGTGATTTCAAGTCCTGGGCACTTTCCCCATGTGTTATCCCAGAGTCAATTCCTTCTTTTTCTCTCTCTCTCTCTCTCTCTTTGTGTGTTTTAAATGAATCTTGTGAGGCATCCTCTGGCTGGACAGCAGTTGCTTCTATCTCAGCTGTTGTTCATAAAATAATTTAATTTGCAAGTGACTTGACTGAACCATCAAAATATTTGGCAGAGTTTATTATGCCCCTATTTTTTTTTGTTGGCCGGGGGTCACAATGATACTCAAATTGATAAACTGGTTCCAGAAGGTAATCCTTAACGTGGGGGTAGTGAGCGTTCAATTAAGTGACTCAGCTTCGACATGTAATAAACTTTTTAAACACTCAACCCAGAGTCCTGTGCATTTGGAGGCCGTTGATGATTCACTGTTGACTCCAGTGGCACTTCTAACACTCCGAGTAAAGGGTGGAACCCACAAGAGGCAAAACAAGATCTCATTTGGGTTACATTTGCTGTGGTAACTGTTGCTGAAGTATCGACCGACTTTGAATATAAAACTCCTGTGCTGGAGCTCAAAACTGACTCCCGTTTGACGGTTTAAGTTTTTAAACTCTCTTGTATGTCCTGTTGAAGCGCTTTGAGACGTTTCGAAGCCGTGATAAGGCGCTGTGTCAAACGCAAGGATTATTATTATATAACCACAGCGCTAGTCTACCGCCAGAGGTGGGCTTCGACTCAGTTAAATTCAAATTGCTGTTCTAGCCTTGCAGTTTTAAAGAGTTAGGGGTTATCCTCCGACTTGTAAACACAGTATCTATCTCCCATAGAGGTACATAAAGCTTAAATTCATTATTTCAAAAAAAAAGAATTTGCTTATACACCGGATTTGTAACTTTCATGGGAACTTGGCTGGCAAGGTTGAGCACCTGTCTACTCCCAGGGCACATTGATGGGCCAGATCAGCTGATCAGTCATTAACAATATACAGTACATGGATTAGTGTGGACCTGCCTAAAGCCAGGCTTGACCCCTTGGAATCTGTTCGACCTCTGCGAGATCCTGCTTAGCTCTGTTCTTTTCTTTCCACTCCCCAAGTGCTTTTTTAAAAATAAAATTAAATGTATTTTATCAACCTCAAAAGGCTGACGTACACCAGGATCCAACCCAGAACCTTCTGGTACTTAACTGACTGCGCTGCTTACTGTAGGTAAACACACGGATTGCAAATAAATTTGTCAGAATAAAATGTTTTACAAAATGAATTTAATGTGTTAATGATAGGCTTTGGGAATAGATGAAACTAAACTCAAAACAAAAATAAGCTAACCACTCCCCCTTCTGCTTTTCTTGTAAAACTGAATGCAATATAGATGCATTTAGTTATAGTACTCTATTGTTTAACACCATCTTAAATGGATAACTCCTTGAGATGAGGTTGAATTATGAAGCAGAAACATTGTGCACTTCAGAAGCTTTTTTCCAAACACCTTCACCCCCTTTGATTTGCAAGGTATCAACTATTGCAACAAAATATTGGACGAAACCCAAGTCCGAAATACAAAGCAGTATGCAAAATATGTAGCTATTGTCCTGCGATACAGACATTTGCTTTGTCTTGCAAATGGATACTGCATTTTAATAAGTGCAGTAATAATTAATAGCTTGTAATTTGCATGTTAATAACCTGAAGCATGATGTCGAGTAAATAGTTCTAAATTTCAGCATTGAACTTGATTTTCGCATTCTCATCAGGAAATAATGAACTTATCTGCTTTTCATTGGAGAATCTTCAAATGGGATTTAATTTAATAAGTTATTCCTGTTGATTGGATATATGCTTTAATCTTATATCAATTAATACTTGAGTAAATCGGTTCATATGGATGTCAATGCTGCAGTGAAACACAATCCCAATATTGAATCCAGGGGCACTGTGATATGCTCTCTACAAGGGACAGTAGTCCCACATTGAACATCTACTTTGATGGAAGTTTAAACCAGACACCATAATCATGTAATCACCTACAGTATTTAGAATAAAATGGTCAACTCTTCTGGTATTTTACATCCATTTGGCTGCAACAAAGTATATGCTAAGCATTTACATAATTGATACCCAAAAAGACAAATGTAGTTTTAAATCTGTATGGGCTGGAAATCAGAATTGTTGGCCTCTTCTGTGGGAGAATTGTTACTTTCATTGTGAAATAAGATGCTCCATATGGCCACAGTCTTCAATATTTTTGAGTCTTATGTAAATTTGAGATACAGGAATGGTAACCAACATCTCCTCCTAATAATCTGTACTAAATCTCGTGGGTAGCTAGGCCAATAGAAACGTGCGGGAATATTTGCCTAAAATTGCAGGGGAATTTGCAGAAGTTTCAGCGAAATGTGACACTTTTGGTAGAAAATTGTGGGGAGTTGATTGGTGCTATTTAAGTACATTTTACTGGCAACCTACATTTATACTTTATTGATAAAAATAAAACATGAGGAAATAACACATTAGATTGTTGCAAAACATTTTTATTAATTTCCTCTTTAACAAAAACTGGGTGGCTCATTTGGGGGTGGGGGCGGACACCATCGCAGGCCTGAAGGACCTGGAGATCCACCAAAAAACAGACACTGACTGCAGGAGGTCACCACCTCCTGCCTCTCAGGGCCCAGCACTGCATACACAGAGAACACACATACACACACTCAAGGAGACACATTCTCACAGAGAGACACACATACACTCATGGATGCAAAGAGACATACATACACACGCAGATAGAGGCAAGAGACACACACACACACACAGAGGAGACAGACACACAGATACTCACAAACAGAGAGAGGGACACACCATCACAATAGCCGGGCGTCCCGAGTGAAGCCCATTTCCCGCATGAGCATCCGGAGCCACTCTACTTACAGTACCGGAGTTGAGAGGTAGCAGTTGATTCTACCTGTTCCGCTTTTCGTCTTGCCAACTGTTGGCGATGGTTCCTCCCAGGTCCGTGTCACAACCCTCAAGTATTGGTACCTGGTCTCTAGCCGTCTCGCCCCAGCCGCAGTGACGTCGAGTAAACAAACAGCCGGCAATGACCCGGGGCCAGAAACTTCATTGTTTAGCGAGTTTAGCGCGAGTCGGGGGCTGCTTACAGTGGGTTTCGCAGAAAAGTTGCAGCCAGACTTTTCTATTGGCCCAACTGGTCAGTCAACTCAGAGCAGGCTTCAACACCACTCGAGTTGCCCAATAAAGTTTGCTACTCTGCTGCCAATTTCAGACAAGATTATGGATGGTATCGTCATTGGTGCGGTCTCTGGAAGTTATTCACAATGAATGGCTTTAAGAGCTTCACGAGGCAGTAATTCTTAAAATAGAATTGAACTTGCTTTTTGAAGATAGTTGTGAATTCCAATTGTACCTGCAGTCTGAATCGAGTGAAATTTTCTTAAATAGATTAACTACAATATTAATGAATTTTGCTAATTGCACTGCTAAATTACACTTTGCTAGACTATGAAAGCCAAATGATTTTCACCAGGCCTGTTAGTCCCTGGTAGCTCTAGCAAAGTCTGTCATCCAGAAAAAAATTAACAATACATTTTAATTTTCCCTAAAGGTTTCTCAATCGGCTGCAGATCTGAAGCAATTTTGCCTGCAGAACGCACCACAGGACCCACTGCTGAAGGGAGTACCAACAAGCGTCAATCCATTTAAAACCCGAAGTGGTTGTTTACTATTGTAGCTGAAATATGATTAAATTCTTTTTGTGGTACGTAGATTTGTTGCTTTAGTCTCACAAGTAAACGTTTGTGTTCTAAAATGTGTTGTGTTCAAGTAAAGTTGGGAGTCCTTAATTATTTCACGGGAAGTAATCTATCCTTAATAGTAAACATGTTATTGTCTATGGAACGTTAGATCCCATGACATTAGTTGAAAGGAGTTTCTCCTGGGAGTCCCTCAAATAAAATTGGTACTTCATGGTTGTTTTGTGGGATGGTGCTGTATAAAATTAGTTGCCATACTCACCTACGAAATAGTCACTACACTTTACAGTAAATCCTGTGAAGCTCTTTGAGATATCCCCGTGATGTGAAGATGCTGTATCAAATGCAACGATTATTTACTATTGACGCTTTAGTTGACCCTGGGATTAAGTGTAGTATGCTGCTTCTGTGATCTTATGCTATTGTATATACAAATGGACACAACTTGTTAACTGGTCATGAATGATGAGCTTCATTCACTTTATGCTTCATAACCGTTTTCTTTCCTTTCAGGTATTCTGGGTTTGAAGTGGGATAATTCACCTTGGTGCATGTTCAGAAAAATGAAGATGTTTACACTAATCTTGTTTCTCAGTGGCCTTTAGACCAACATATAAGCCATGTTGGATCTGTGTAACGGTGTGCCAACTTTCCTTGCTGTCACTTTGCAGATTGCTTGTCTTTTTGATACTGATGTACCCCTACCTTATTGAATGGATGAGGTGCTCATATGTAAAATTTTAATTGCTAAATATGAAACTTAGTTGCTTATACACAATTCTGTTTCTAGAAAACTTTGTACACTGGTGGAGGAATTTTAATAAAGGTTTGGTTCAATTTATGTAGGCTATAAACCTCATTAAAGCAACTAAGCTATAATCTCACTAAACTGCTAAAAATCTGTTGATCCTTTGTAAATCCTGTATACATATTACATTTTGTTTTTGAAGCTCATTATTGATGTCCAACAAAACATTTAAAATACACTAATTTTGTTAGTTGGTCAAGTATAGCAACAATTTCAACCACAAATACCCAGCCTTTTTGCTCTTTTATCCCCACCCCATGATTGTCAGTTCTTTCCTGTTAATTTGAGATTTGCAAACTCATTTCATGGAGAACAATTTACTCTGGCCAGGATTCAAAATCGGGTTAGTAATTAGCTTTGTGTGTTTTCTTTAAAGAACAAAAAAAAGCTATAAGCCACAAAAAAATCAGGTTCTGTAGGCATTTCCTTAATTTAGTGGTTGACTTACTGAAGTTCCAGAATATTCCAGCTGTTTATTTTGTCTGCATCAACATCCTCAGTTGAACAGTTCTGATCTGACAGAGCAGTTATTTCTGAACACAAACTAAAATATTCACTGAACATTTTGTTTACAGAAATGAAGCACATGGAAAGTTAAATTCAAACAAATCTTGTTCCCAAGCACATCAAGCAGTACTGTTATACTGGCTTAGAATCTACAATATGTTCTACTGCATAAAACCTCCCAATTTATTGGATGTAGAACAGTTACAAATATCCTCTAGTTTTCAATTTTTNAAAAAAAAGTCTGGTTCAAGGTAATCGTCACAAAGTTTTCCTCGAGTTAATTTAAAACATCAAGACACAAAAGGTAGTGGGGCGAATGATTAGATGACTTTGATTCTTCCTGTTTCAAGCAGCATTTTACAAGTGGAACTTCCTTCGATTGGTATCCATTTCGTGGCGCTGAAGAGGAAAAAAATACAACCATACAGTGAAATTGTCTCAAATCCTAAAGCACATTTTGAACAACTTAATTCAACTCATACCCATCCAAAAGACAGTCAAAACTTTCATTACTAATTCATCTAACAACACGACAGTTTGTTTAAAACAATTAAGTTCTGAAACATTCTTCTTAATAATTCAGCTCTGAAGCTGCCTCTTGTTCACTTGGCAGGCTTTATCTCTACCTTTTCATCCAAGGAAGCCACAGAATGTGAAAGGTTTGCTACAGCAAACCAAGCCAAAAATGAACTTTCATTTTCATCTCAATAAAGCCACTGAATGTAAAAGAAAAATCAAACTGGAAAAACACTTGCCTTATGAACCCATTCGTATTCTCCAAACTTTGAATCAAAGGTTCCTTTCTGCAGAGATCGAAGTTTCAAGGTAAAACGTGGTCCAAGTTCTTGAAGACCCACTCGTTTTTCATTCTTGAAGATGTACCTTTAAAAACGCACACACACAATTGCTGTGCATAATTGACTGCCGTGTTTCTCCCCCCTCAAAATATAGTCAATTCACTTTACAATATATTCTGTGAAGCACTTTGAGACTTCTCAAAGACGTAATAAGGCGCTATATCAAATGAAAGTATTTATTATTGCTTGTACAAATGTTAGCTTATTTTATTAACTTCTTCTTTAAAAATGTTACCTGTGAAATCTGAAAAAAAGGTAGTCACGTTGGTTATGAAAAGTTGCTACTTGACGTCCAACAAATTGTGGGTCGTGAGGGAACAGAGAAGCAAACATTCGCCCAATACTGTGACCCAGGCGTGTAGAAAAATTATTAAGAATCACTTCCGGTACGTGTTCTGTTATGTCCTTCTTTCTCCCCTGAAAGAACAATAATCAGTAATTACCCATAGCACTCGATGTATTTGATCAAATTTTGCAGTCTAGTGCCTCCTGTCCTCAAAACAAAAATAAAGATTTCTTCTTCATGAAAAATCTACATTAACATTAATGTTCCTTTTTTACTTTCCTGAAGTACCAATTCATATTTAGGTAGAAAATCCTAATTAAATTGGACCTTAAGAAGCAGATATCATGTTAAAATGGTTTGAGAACAAAGAGAGCAAATAATGCCTGAAGATTTGTGCTGTTTTCTCCCCATTTTCTATAGAAATTGGGCTAATGAGTAAACTCAAAAATATCAGAGATAAAGGGTAATCATTCACAACAGCCACTATGATGCAACAGTTATTACTTGAATCACATGAATGTCTTACTCGAAGTTCTTTGGACAGCCGGACGCTACTCATTTTAAAATGAGCTGTGGGTCCATTGGGAAGATGACTAAGGATCAAACCATCTGTTATAATTCAGTTAAGGAAAAACCAACAACTTGTACGCTCTCATTACAACTTCACCTCTAACCTCCACATTATTAGTTCTGAAAGAACAACAAAAGATTACATTTATATAGTGCCTTTCATGTCGTGAGGATGTGTCAAGGGGCTGTCAAAGAGTGGTATCCAAGCTAGGGGGTGGAATCAGGATGGGGGGAGGGTAAAGGGGGTGGAGGTGGGAGGATGACCAAAGGCATGGTCAAAAAGGTTTCAAGAACGGTCCTTAAGGAAGCAAAGGAGGGGGAGGTGAGGCAAAGGAACTTTGGGATGGAGTTCTAGAGGATGGGGGCAGATGGGCTAAAGGCCCAACTACCATCATGGCACGGATGTGGGTATTAAAAGAGTTGAGGGTTGAACAACACCTCTAACCTGCTGGATTTACATTGTTATTCCTAATATACTGTTGTCAAATATTTCCACTCATCTTTCATTGAAACTATTTAAGTTCACAAATTAACAAAAAGTTTACAAACATTTCATCTAAGATTGTTATTGTTAGGATTTACATATGGATGGTACAATTCATAATCAACACCCCAGCCAGGAAATGTAAGCAATAACAAGATTGGACAGTTTATCCAATTATACTGTTGATAAAGTTGCATTTAAAACTGATTTCTGTAAACACAAATTTAAATTGGTATGTTCAAAAACTGATAAGAAACAGATAGCAGTTTCAAACAAGCTCACAAATGTAAAAGATACTTGGGACTTTCCGATTTTCATTAATGACGATCAAGTCTGTGAAACCTCTAGATACACATTGTGGTATGATCTTTTTCAGAGCCAACCCTCTTCTGTAATATACATGGGAATCTGGCAAAATGTTTTTCAACTGCTCACACAGCCTTACTGTTCTCTGCAAACCAAATAAAAATCTGTTAATTCTAGAAATAATAACAGCAAGTTGACGTCATGTCCTGTTCAGAATGATTGTAACATACCCCTCGAGGTCTATCCGAGGTTGTAATAAGAATCTTAGGGGTTGTCTTTCGACTGAAGTAGGAGGAAAACTCATCTGTCGCTTCATCAAAAACAACCTTTGAAATGAAAATAGAGAGAAAATCTATCCATTTGAAGTACTGAAAGTTAATATAATAATTCTTCAAAAGAGGAAATAAACGCTTTCTGCAGATCATCCCCCATTTGTTTTAAACAGTATTCATAATTACAGCATTCCTCTTTATGGTTTGTGAACACAAAAATAAATTGTAACTGTTCTCTAACAGATCACGCTCACTGATACCTTAACTTGCATCACTATAGTGCAGGAAGTCAGCTATGTACTGGTATACAAAAATCATTTGGGCTCCTTTACCACTCGACTTAAAAAGCAATATTACTTAACATAACTTTTGTACAAAATACTCAATAAAACTATTCTTATAAAATACAACATGCTTTTTAAGACGATCAAGTTTACCTCCTCATCAGTAGGATCCACTGTTGTTTCATCATATACCCTCTGGTTTTCAATCGTCTTTGGAACTTCTTTTGGTGGAGCCTAGTGCAGAGAAGCAAGTAGGTAAAAGTAAACTTATGATCACTAAGAATAGTACTGAACATTTACAGCATGGCTTTTAGTTTTTAATACATCAGTTTTGGTTGCAATAACAAATTTCAGAGGCAGTACTTATTGTAAAATTGCAGTATTTCATACAATAACCTGCTTTCTACACAACTATATTTCTCTTATTTTCCTGAAATAATTACAGATTAAAACTATTTATATCCTAATAAAATACAACACGCTTTTGAGAATTTACCTCTTCATCACTGGGGTGCACTGTTTCATCAAATAGAATAAGAAATGTGCCTGTATCAGGAATGGAATGTACACTCTCTCCCTGGATTGGCACAACTTGCTTATCTAATTCAGAGAGTACCAGGCATAGGTTGGAAAAAGTCAAGGTTTGGGGACTCAGGAGTGTGCATTGGGGTACTGCCGGAATTTGATCAGCTAAGACCCCATAGGTTGCTATTGAGAGCTTGCATTAAGAACTAGTCGTCTACCTGTTAGGACTTTGGCTTGCAGGGTTAACAGAAACAGAGTTGGAAGAATCACTGATCCCACTGAAGGTCCCAGCAATGAGCCAGGGTGGCTAGTTTGTCATCAGTAATGTGGACCTGCTTGGCTCATGAACCACACCATTGAGATCATCATTGAAGGTTCACTCAATATCAATATTCTGTTGCCTAAGCACTCTGCTCCAAGGAGACTCTGCTTATCTCTCCCTCCCACCTCCAGATTGTCACCAGTTGGTTATGGTAGAACATACATGCGTTTATAGTAAAGACACAGGTCTATTTGGTCAGTTGGTAAAAATCACCTTATCTCCAAGTGCTTCCCTCTCCTTTTGACGCTTCTTTTTAGCTGCGAGCCGTTCCTGAATGAGAAAAAGCCAACTGTTCAGCACAAATCCACACCAGCAGCAAGTCTCCAACCTGCCATTGCCACCAACCCCACCGTCAATCCCTTCGTTCACCTCAATCTCCCTCTATCCCTCTCCCTCCTCTAACTCTCTCCTTCACCCTATCCCTCTCACTCCATCCCTCCACCTGCACTTCCTCCTCCCCCTCATTCAGTCCTTCCCTCCTCTCCTTCTCTCCCCCTCATTCAGTCCTTCCCTCCTCTCCTTCTCTCCCCCTCATTCACTCCTTCCCTCCTCTCCTTCTCTCACCCATTCACTCCTTCCTTCCTCTCTCTCTCCCCCTCATTCACTCCTTCCCTCCTCTCTTTCTCTCCCCCTCATTCACTCCTTCCCTCCCCTCTCTCTCTCCCTCATTCCTTCCTTCCCTCCTCTCCTTCTCTCCCCCTCATTCACTCCTTCCCTCCTCTCTCTCCCCCTCATTCACTCCTTCACTCCTCTCTCACTCTCCCCCTCATTCACCCCTTCCCTCCTCTCTTTCTCTCCCCCTCATTCACTCCTTCCCTCCCCCCTCTCTCTCTCTCTCTCTCTCCCCCCCTCCCCTCGGGTCCGCTCTCACTTTACGCTGCGCCTGTTTCCACCGCACGAACATGAAATGCCGCCGCTGTTTGTTTTTGATCTCGGACACACTGAAGTTTGGGGGGAAGTGGGGCTCCCCGGGCCCGGGGTCTGAGGCTGGAGCCGGCTCCGGGGCTGGGCCCGGGGCCTCGGCCTCGGGCCGCTGCTTCCTCCGCCTGTTGCCCGGCTCCATGGCGGCTGCGGAGAGGCGCGTGGGGACCGCTGACCTCTCACCCGGGCTTCAGCTTCCGCTTCCGGCGGCCGCCCCACGTGATCCGGGCTCTCACGTGAGAGGTGCGGCCCATGCGTTCTCCGCGCAGCGCCCTCTGCCGGGGCCCGGGGCTCACTGCAGCCGCCTAATGTCCATAAGACAGGTTAACCCCCACCCCTCCCCCCACACACCCCCCTCCCCCCACACCCCCCCTCCCCCCACACACACACCCCCCAACAAAACACCCTCCAATTACCCTCACAACCCAACCTCTTTCTTGTGAGTCAAATAAATAGTAAATCCTTGCAGTTGGTACAGCGCCGCCTCCACTGGCTTCCCATCGTCGCACAGAGAGTCCCCGGTCCTCAACCTCGAAGCCCTCCGTGGCCTGGCGCGGCCCCCCCCCCCCCCCCCCGCCCCCTCCCCCCCACCCACCAGCACCACCCCTCCGACCTCCTAACCCCCTACCGTCCCGCCCGCTCCCTCCGCGCAGCGGACTCCTTCGCGCGTGCCCCGCCTCGCTCGCCCCATCATTGGCGGGCGGGACATCTGCCGCTCGGCCCCGCCCGCCCCCCCCACCCTGTGGAACTCCATCCCGCAGCCCCTCCGCCTCGCCCTCGCCACCTTCCAAGACCCATCTCAAGACCCTCCTCTTCGACCGTACCTTCGGTCACCCCCCACCACCCTCCAACCTCCAACCTCCCCAATTCCGACTCCCAGCTCGGGTCCGAAACTCTTGACCGTCCAGCGCTTTGGGACGTCCTCCCGCCGTGAAAGGCGCTATATCAAATGCAAGGATTATTATTATTATTATTATTTATACAAATGTAATTTTTGTTGTTGTTCTAGACGTTCCGGTTTCCTTTTGTAACAATTTTAAGTTGTTTTTTTCCCCTTGTCTTTCTGTCGGGGAATATGACTTTTTCCAAAATATTTTCATTCACAAGATACAAGGTTCATCTTTTGGGTAACACATTCTCTTTTTTTTCTGCAACAGTGTTCCAAAGCTGAAATGTGCCCAAATAAAAACAATCCGTGCTTTTAAATTGACTGAGGTGACGTTTCTATGAGATTTGCTCAATAGCAGCTCATCACTTTGGTCTCTAAAACGGAAATAAATGCTCTCCGATGCAATATTTTGTGTGCTATATCCTCTTAAAAGGTACATACTGAAATTCATATATTGACACAAAAATACACTTTTTGAAGAAAAACAGTAAATTTTATGTAGCATTGTAAAAGAATGGGACAGCAATGGAATCAATAAACCAATGTTGTTCTTCACTTACCAAGATTGGCAAACTATACGCATTCTGTCATATATAAATGAACATACAGGAACACATCAATCAATCATATGCCACAAAACACTTAAAATAATAGCTGCTACAAATATCAATAGCACAAAAAAATTCAGAATAGTACAGCTGTGCACAATTGGCTGCCGCATTTCACCCACAAAATATACAGTCAATTCACTCTACAGTATATTCTGTGAAATGCTTTGAAAAGTATCGAAGACCTGATAAGGCGCTATATCAAAAACAAGGATTATTATTATTATTATCACATTCCTGTTTAATCTGTTGCATAGAATATCTTGATCAACAACTTTGTGACAGGAAAAGTATTTTTATTGATCCCACCACTCTGGCTGATATGCCAACCAGGCTCAGCTGCAACCTAGTATTCTCATCTCCTGAGTCAGAGGGTTGTGGGTTCAAGCCCAATGCTGAGACTTATTTGAAGAATCTATGAAACACTTGCATTTAACCATTGGTCAAAGTTCCCTATGGTCTCCCACTATCCATCAATACATTTCCTATACAACAACACAGAATGTCTGAAGGCCTTGTAAATAAAGGGGTTCAGAGTACAGAGCAGACCACCACCTCTCCACATCTGGCCATATGTTCTATTTATATCTCCAATGCAGGTCCATTGTCGACTATAATCCTGTGACACACACCACTTAGAATGATCAGAGTGTGAAAGGAAGACGACAGATCCTGGGAGTTTGATTCTTAAGATATTATAGACATGTTGTGGCAGGGAGCAATTGGAAGGAAGTGCATCTTTAGTCCTCTGCCATGTCTCAGCCAATAAATCAGTCTCCAAGGCCTGAGCTAGCCAGGCTGCATATATATCTGAAAAACAGTGAGAGAGATCAAAAGGGTGTAACATATAAAATGAGGCAAGCATTAAAATGTCAAATGTATCGTTTTGATTGATAATCTTATTCTAAATAAGTTTTAACTCNTTTTTTTACAGGAATAGAATTAGTTATACTTAAGCTGGAATAATATCAGACAGATCTTCCAATGAAAAATTAGCTGAAATGAACTTTATTTTGTGCAATAAAGTTTGACAGTTCCAAAGTTCCAACTCCAATCAAATAGAAAGTTTATATCTAAATTGTTCAACCATTCCAGCATTTAAATGCTGGTCATACCTTTCCTCAAAGCTCCCTTCCCTAATGAAAATATGTTGTTTGCAGTGTTCTTTGCATGGCAATTTGTGACTTACCTTCTCCAAAATTTTTGTATTTTGCAAAACTCTGAAACTGCTGGCCACCTGCGGATACAAGTTTAGTCCTACGTTTCCAGGGAGGACTAGTCAAGCAACTACCATTGGCAATAGCCTGCAGAAATGAAAGCTCAGGCTGGAAGGCATCCGGGAGAGACAAATTGTACACATGCGGATTTTCGTAAAATAGTTGTTTACCTGCAAATAAAGATATTTGTATCCATTCATCTGACAATAAAATGATTTTTTTGCCTTGGGACGTGCTCCCGACATGAAAGGCGCTATACAACAACAACAACAAGATTACATTGTATAGCGCCTTTCACATCGGGAGGACGTCCCAAGGCATTGGACAGAGTACAGCATTTCAGACCCGAGCTGGGGTCAGGGAGGGAGAGGGGAGGGGAAGCGTGGTGGCCGATGGCATGGTCGAAGAGGAGGGTATTGAGGCGGGACTTGAAGGAGGCTAAGGAGGGGGCGAGGCGGAGTGATTGGGGGATGGAATTCAAGAGTTGGGGGCAGAGTGGCTGAAGGCTCTCCCGCCAATGGTGGGGCGGGGGACGTGGAGCAGGCCAGAGCCGGCTGAGCGGAGAGAGCGGGCGGGTTGATACGGGTTTAGAAGGTCACAGAGTAGGGTGGGGCAAGGCCATGGAGGGTAGGTGAGGACCAGGATCTTGAACTGGATCCTCTGAAGGATAGGAAGCCAGTGGAGTTACAAATTACAAATGTAATTTTATTGTTGTTGATTGAACATTTCTGTGTTGTAAATGACCTTTGATGATACTTAAAGTGTATAAGTAAGGTGCAGTACTTTCATTTTATTTATCACGTTTACTTGTGATCCTGTACTTGGGACTTAGTATTTCTTTTTTGTTTTTGGTCAGGACCATTCTCTGCAATCAGCTAACTCAGAACAAACCTGAAAATTGAACATTCAAATCTAGTTTTAAATGAGATACAAGGTACAACATTGGCACCAGGTTTGGAGAAGCTAACACCTGAAATGAGCAAGTGACAAAGCATTACTGTCTCTCAGCAGTTAGTTTTTTTTTGCTTGACAAGAATTAAATTAAATTAAGCAGTTTTAACAGGATGACAAAATCCAAATTAGTACAATATTGACAATCTCATTCAGCAAGTCGTAAGGATGACTAAGTAGCGAGAGAAATAGAAAAGTTATATTCGTGCACCAAGGAATGCTCTTAAATTGGGGCAACATCAGAGAATATAACTGTTCTGCAACAACAACGATTTGCATTTATGTAGCGGCAGTCGTGCAGGGTAGCATCTCGGAGCAGACACCGGTTAACAAAATGGGAAACCGGTGACACGATTCATTTTGATAAATACAAAATTCACGAACTTCACCCAAAATAAAATGCAGTGACTCCTTACTTATTTCTTCAAACTGGCTATATTTGTACGTGACACAGAAGAGAGTCTGCCCAAACATCCTAGCAGAGGACGGCCAGCCATAACCCTGCTCAGGAAAAGGAGGGAAATGTGGTACACTGTGAATAAGCCAGAAGCCTTGGGTTTTGTCCAACAGCAGAATACCTGAAATTAGACAGTAATCAATAAATATGTACAAAATACCTTTCCTCCCTCCCAACACCACCCCCCCACCCCTTTTCATTTTTTCAAGATGGTTCACAAGAATATCCTGAGGCTCAGCAAACTACAGACTTTTTTTCCCGCTTTACAAACAATTGCAATACAAAGACTTTGGGAAGAAGCCCCAAGTGATAAATATTTCCAGGGAAGTACTGAGTTTTTAAATCTTCTGTTTAAAAAGCTTAGTTATACATTTACAACCACTTGGCAAAGCATTACCAAAAACATAAAACGTAAGCATTAAAATACATTTAACTCTCTATGTAGTGGTGATAGATCAAGTCAAGCTCAATCCAATGAAAATCTTTTAATCACCGTTGACGATAATTGTCGTACCCTGTGGAGGATATTACCATGCAATAAGGAGAATGATTAATAAGACACAAATTTCAATTACTTTTCACGTGCCTTGGGACGTCCCCTCGACGTGAAAGGCGCTGTACAAATGTAATCTTGTTGTTGCATCTGCAAATTATATAATCTACCCACAGCTGAGACACTTTAGTCCAAAATCAAAGTTGTTGAAAGAGGCAATTCTCTCTGGCCTTCCAGTGAGACTCTTTAAGTTTGTGCGAGAGACGGTCGGTGGGACAATGTCAGAATAAATGCTGCCAAGTGAGAAAAGGTATAAAATGGGAACAATCATCCATCAAAAGATCAATGTGAATGGCCACTTGTGTTCTCTTTATACTAAGACCTCACTTTCCTTACTGTTGTACAATTCAAATGCAATGCAAGGATTATTACTGACTTCTGGTACTAGATTATACTCTAGGGCTGGAGAATGTCATTCAATCATTCTGTAGAACATAATTTGACAAAAACAAGTACACAATAGAAATCCCTAGTATTTCATATAGCATAATTCTGCATTTATACAGTGCCTTTCATGTCGGGAAGACACATTTTTTTTTCTTGATGAATGTGTTAGTGAAAATTTTGGGTTTATCTGAACAAATTCTCAAGAGATTTTAAGAAAACTAAGAATGTTTTTTTTTAAATAACAGTCTTTCTTCCTACGATTGGGAAAAAAACCAGGAGAATAAAATCAGGTCAAAAGCCATAACCTGATTATACTTCCAGATTACAAATTCACTGTAAACAGACAATTGTTGAGGTTGTTAACCTTCTCCTCCCTGAAGAATCTGCCAATGGCAAAGCGTACTAAAATAACGTACACATCAGTTCTGAGCAATGTTCCAGCTTTCTGATAATGACTAGTGACCTTAGCTTATTTGAACACAACTCAAACCTGATAAGGCACCGAGATTGTATCAAGTTATGAAGTTCTATTTTTCACTCAAAGTTTCATATTCCCATGGGGAAGTGGAACAAAATCGATAATTTTTTTTAAATGAAAGAGAAATGGTTTTAATATACTGAGTACAGCAAGATGTACAAATGAAAATGAAAGTGCTCACTAAAGTTACTTTGAGATTTCAGTCCATTTTGATCATATATTTACTATGATTGGCACATATTAGAAATTATTTTATAGTGAACAGAAAATATCTCCAAATATATCAAATGTATTTACCTTTTGCATGTCCATGATATCTATCATATTTCATTTCGGGTGCAGCATCATTGTAAATAAAATACACACAGTTTTTATCCTGTTTTGCAAGAACAAAAAAAATGACAACTTACAATCCATTTATAGTGTACGTATATATCTGAAGACTACGAAATCCACTACAAGATCAGTCTAAGGGATCCCGCCACTTAATGTTATCTGAGATTGCTCTCACTGACGCAGAACAAATCATGAATATAAAATAAGACTAACACCATGGGAGGAAAGGAAGCAAGGGAGCTTTTAGACATTGGTCATTTTACTGAATCAATCAATGGATACCAAACGAGATAACCTTTCTTTTAATTATACTGTCTTTTCATGAATATGAATCATCTTATTTCCTTTATTTAAAGTGGAGATATATCCTGCAGCAAAGGAATAGATTCAGAAGTGTCAGGAAAATAGCTCAAAACCTTGGCATTTGTAGAACCATCTATTTAGCACAGGCAAAAAAAAAATGGAAATCTATAAGATTTCACATAAATGGGATACCTTAGCGTTCTTCCTCAGCCCACAACTTTCATTAATTCCAATAGTTTTGCAGACAGGCACTTGCTCACAAAACACAGTCACTCCGCTTTACAGTATAGCCTGTGAAGCACATTGAGATGTCCTCCCGATGTGAAAAGGCCCTTTACCAAATGTAAGAACTATTATTATTATTAATATTATTATGTCTATTTCACCTATATCTGATGGCTTAGTTGACAACTTGAGGATATAGTAAATATCCTCATGCCCAGAAAATCTTCTACCACCCTCTATTCGGAAAGGCCTAAAATATTGTGCCAGAAACAACTGGGTTCTTGTCTAAATATATTTTGATTAATTCAATAATGATATCTGAGTAAACAGTCTTTCATCCAAAGCACAAAAAGAAATACTTGCATTTGACTTATAAACCCGGTATAGCTGTTCTAACGTTTGTCCAACAGCGCCCTTGGTCATATTGACAAGATGTTTGCTCATTTGCCAACCCTCAGTTGAAGAGTCCAGATACATGTATTCTAGTCCTGTTCCGGTAGACTGATTAACTCTAGATCTAGGCAATTTGTAAACGACAAACCTGCAAGGAAATAAATACAAAACAAATACTTGCATTTGTTTTATAAACCAATAAAGCTAGATTGGTAACATCAACCTACTTATCAATTTCCAATAATGGATTCCAGTAACATTTCAGGGAAAAGTACACCAAATGCCTTATAAAATAAGCATGTTTACATAACACAGCCTGTACTCACCAGTCTACAGGCTGCCCAGTGTCATCTCTGCAAGTAATTTCTGCAACACTCACAAAGGAATTTAAATGAATTAAAAAGTAGATGAATATAATCTGGAAGGATTCTGCATTCATATTGTACGCGGAAGAGTTTTATCAGTTTACTTTTCAACAGTTATTCAGAAATGGTCAGCGGAGAAGTTACAAGCGCAGAAAACCACCTGCTGTTTTGTAACTTAAAAAGCAGAAGTAACGTGATAAATTAGTCATCACAATCACAGAAATAAGGTTACTCCTTATTGGTATCTTGGGACATTTGGTTTGTTGTTTGTTTCACCATGTTGTGAGGTGTGATAGGCTAAAACAAAAGGCAATACAGCAACTTACAATTCACCTAGGAAGTGATTAGATCTTTTGTATTACCAGTTTGACTCCTGAGACAAGAGTCCATTTTTTGAGGCAACTAGCACTAAACCAACCAGTTTTTCTGGTAATGAATCTGTGAGAACCTTTTTTCGAGTGAGATCGCCCATCGCACAAGTAGCTCAGTGATGGTCATGCATGAGAATCAGCAGATGTTGACTTTTACCACCCAAATAGTGGTGGAGCCGGAAAGCCAGGAGGCAATGCACCCAATATTCAGTTGTCCCTGCCAGCAGCCACTAACATTATTTTGGTAGTGGAGATGGTGGAAATAAATTTTGAGTAATTTTGTCCAAATGAGCAGTCCAAATTGTAGTAGACGGTAAAGTTGATTAATGGGATCAACTGGGAGAACGTTGGAAGAGAAACTGTACTGAAGCCACACTCCACCTGAAGCAACAGCTTGTTTCTTTTGAGTAGATGAAGAGAAAGACCATTTATTATGGTCACATAATTAGCAAAAGGCAACATTTCTACATTTACTAGAAATCAGATGAGCAGAAACTGGTTTTATTCTCAATCAAGAAGTCAGAAAAATTGGCAGGTGCACATGAAGTTAAAATAGTTTAGGTGCAAAATTAGTTTCTACAAAGTATAATTAGCAGCTTGATTTATTTAAAAGCTTCATCAACAGCCATGTGATATCAGCAAATTAGATGCCATGTTCGCCTACAAAATGCTACCGAAAAACTGATATTATCCAAATCGGCCTTGTTCTCTGTAAACTGTATGGCTTCTGAAATTTCATTTTTGATGGTCTCAATACCAGTTATAATAATAATCCTTGCATTTGATATAACACTTTATCACGTCGTTGAGATGTCACAAAGAGCTTCGCAAGTTATACTGTAAAGTGGATTAACTGTATATTTTGTGGACAAAACACAATCCTGGTGTGTCCAAGTACAGAGCAAGATAATTATCCAAAGTTTGGGAAATATGGATCAGGTGAATTCGACCCCATCAAATAAATGAACAGCAACAATGCACAGCTTGGTATATCTATTCCTATTGCTCACATTTAATCAACCATTCCTTTTTTTAAAAAAACTTTTTTTCTGTTAATGTTTGAATGGTGACGTTGACACTACATATTCTGTACCAGTCTTAGAGGAACACAAAGATCTACAGAATAATCATCCAAAATCAACTTAGAATATTGAGGCAAGTTTCCTTACTCCACACGCCTAAGTTTACTTTGCAGTACTTAGGAGCCCGGTTGCTAGTCGATTGGTGGATTGTTTTCTGGGGGTAAAACTCTCTTCAAAACAAAGAATCAAATAAATAAATAATTTGGTCCTTCAATCCATGACTGTTTGTGAGACACTGCTGTGCGCAATTGGCTGCCTCGTTTCGCCCACAAATATACAGTCAATTTGCTTTACAGCATATTTTGATTAGCGCTTCGAGACGTCTCAACAACGTGATAAAGCCAAATGCAAGGATTATTATTAATATTAATATGACTACATTGTAAGAGAATGATGTATTAATTCATGTAGAAATTCATATTATTTCTAATTCATCCATCGTGGCCGATGAGGCTTTATAATAATTGAAATTTAGGGTTTTAATCACTATTAAGCACTCCGGGACTTTATCCAGTGTGAAGGCCGTTATATAAATGCAAGTTGTTGTTGGAATACGGAGAATGTTGCCCTTTAAATTATTGATTATGTTTAATAACAGATTTCATATGCTCTCATTGGCTTCCTTGGTTATAATGGCTAATCTTTAATTATTAACTAAAGAAAGAAGTGACTGTAGAGCACAGATAAGCCAGCAGTTACTAAAAAGTGTGTGTCCCATCTAGCTTTGAGAATTTGGTGCATCAGTCAACAGAGCTGCATTGTATCAAGCAAAATGTCCAATTCCTACTATTCTGGTTATAAGACGGTAAGTCATCGAACACCTACATTATTTATTTAACAATTGTACTTACGAAATGAATGCAATTATAATACATAACTCCACCAAAAGATCCAGTCTATTTCATGAGTAGCTGAGCCGCACAGATTAAGAATATTCCTGATTCCAACTTCTTCTGCACTGCGTTACCTTACATCAGCCAAAGCAGCTTCAGGGAAACTGTATCCGACCTTCAAGACGTATCTTATGGAGGGAAAAATCACCCAGGATCTTGTTCTCAAATGCTCTGAGTGACCACTGTTGGAATTGTGCTCAGCTGTTCGGAAAAGACAGGAGCTAGAAATTCTGGTTCTGAATTAAGATTATTACATGTTCTACTGGAGACCCTCTCTGAGGGAAATATTTCAGACTTTTGACTTCTTGGATGTTGAACCCATCTCTGGTCATTCACTTATCAGGGGAGATTAAAACTACGAGGCAAAGCAGTGTCAGAATAAAAAATATACTTGACAGTCAATCACACTTTTTCTTTTGATGCTCTTTTCCATACAACCACAGCCTTAAAGATGAATCTGGTTTCTCACAATACAGGCAGGAAACGTGGAATTTGTCCGTACTGGATATGGGAAGAATATAGTAAAAGTTCTGTATTTCAGAAGAGAAGGAAAGCAACATTATATCAAAGAAATTGAGGTGAATGTCGACCTTACTCTCAAGACTGTAAAGGACTACATATATGGAGACAATGCAGATGTTATTCCTACTGACACGATGAAGAACACTGTTCATGCTTTGGCTAAACTGAAAGGGGTAAGTTTGATTAGGTTTGCTTTGTTTCAACATTATTTCTTCAGCAATCTCATTACAACAATGCTACAGTACTTGGCCATTGATCCAGTCATGACATTGGGAACCCCCACTCCCCCTTCCCCCGTTTTGGGGTAGGTTGAATAATGATCTTTACATATACTTACTGTATTTTGAGGTAACCTTTGATTGAGCATGGAGTTGTACGTATTTGGTTTCAGTGAAGATATCATTGTGTATCAGGATAAATGAGGCATCTTACCTGTCCATGTCACCTAACGTAAAAACAGAGTAAAAGCAGAATAAAACTATTCATTCAAATGTATACATGAGTGTGATTACTGAGCAATAATGTGTTCTTCAACATAATCACAGTTAATGTGATCAGCAAAGCCAGATGGGAATTTTTAAAAAAGATCAGCCAGTGAGTTAATATTTTAAAATCCTATCACAGTTGTCCTTTTCCTGAATGGTCAAAATGATAGAATTATATGAAATGTAACAAAAAAAATTATACATACACTATCTTTGTCACCAGATACAAACCATTGAAGAGTTTGCCCAAGATATTTGTGAACACTTTCTAACTTCATTTCAACATGTTTCACGGGCGATGGTCCATATAGAGGAAATTCCCTGGAAACGTCTGGAGAAAGTAAGGGTTTTAGTCTAAACACTGCTGAGCAACAACTCTAATATACTGTGCCTTTGAATCTCTTGAAGCAGAGAGTTAGAACCATATCAATTTACAACACAGAAGAGCGTTCAGCCCCATCATGTCTGCACTGGCTCACTGAAAGTGTAATCCATTCCTTCCCATTCATCTGCATTTACTCTGCATCCCAGTTCTATGAATCAGTGTTTATTGTATTAAATTTCTCTGTTCGCCAATTTCATTATGCATGCCCTCCGTTAATTTTAAAACCCAGCAAGGACTTGCTGAATTCACATAACCAATTAAATTATTTGTTTGCTGTACATGGAACACACTGGGAGTTCATAGTCCAGGTCCAGTGTATTGCAAGAACCCACAACACTATTTGAAAAGAGAAGGGGGTTTCTTCTGGTATCCTGACCAACAGTCCTCCAGAATAATTGATCACTCACTTCACAGCTCTGTCGGGCCTGAGTGTGTGGAAAATGGCTTCTGCAATGGTTTACAAATATAGTCACTACATGTCCCTGTGAAGCACTTTTAGAAGTTTTAAAATTATAGGCACTATAATTGCAAGGATGCAAGGATTGTTATTATTTTTTAATAATACACTACTATTAACGATTTACTTTACACATAGGATGGTGTTGAACACGTGCATGCCTTCATTTGCAACCCCAAAGGAACTCATTTTTGTGAAGTGGAACAATTCCAGAATGGTATGTTCTTTTTGTTAGCTTACACCTACTCCATGTCACCGAGAAGCCAATCTGGCAACCTTGTAGGCACAGCACAAGCTAAGGCCTTGAACCTTGGAGAGCACAGTCACTTATTTAGCTTCTTCAACCATTGCCTGCTTTCTTATTCAGTAGTCATGTCCAGCTTTTCTATAATTTTTTCATGACCACTTTCTCCTCTCCTTTTTCCTGCCACTGGGATATATGTTCATGGCTCTCTCCTGTACCTCGGCTAAGTGATTTTTATTAATGCACAAGCTTTAGCCGACTATTGATAATAGCGAAGGGGAACAGCTGGGTCTCATCCTACATATACACTTCCATGAGGTCATTGCTGGATAGCGATCAGGCTGGCTGATTTGTTTTTAACTTCCAGAAGTCAACTGCATCAGTTCTAATGCATTTCAGCTGAGATCAACTAACTCAGCACAGACTGGTAATCAAATTTTGGACCTCTCTAACCTGCATCCGGCTTAGCTACTCACTGAATAAACTCACTGAAGGGAGAAGTCCATTTTAATTTTCAATGATACGTTTGATCTGTACCTGACAAGCTGTACCCTAAATCCAAAAATGAATAATAGTAATGTGTTGTAAATTGATATGGTTCACATCCATTTACTTTCTCCTGTTTTGCAGAACCACCAGTGGTTCATTCTGGAATCAAGGACATGAAGGTCCTAAAAACAACGCTGTCTGGGTTTGAGGGCTTCCGAAAGGACAAGTTCACCACTCTACCCGAAGCGCGAGACAGAGTGTTCGCTACTGTGGTGTACGCCAAATGGCGTTACAGCAGAACAAAGAATGTTAACTTTGATTCTGCCTGGTATGTTTGCACTTCTCCATGTATTGATGAACGCAAGCTCAAGGCCTTTGGCAACTGTGGGACTTTGCTTTGAACACAGACTAAAATTCAGAGAGATCAGCAAAAAATGGCACGCCTTTGATGTTTGTTCTACGTTAAAGTCACTTTGCAGTATCTGTGCATTTATCCACATTAAATATTTGACAATAATGTTTAGTAGACTGAAAATTAAAAATAAACTATGAGGTAGTGAAATCAGCTTTTTTGATAGAGATGATTTCATAGTTGTATTATATTAGATCAGTTTATTCGTCAGGAACCAATAAACTAATCAAATTCAGTTAATATTCTGTAATCTGTTTTTATACAAACAGGCAACTATAATCATAGAATTTTACAGCACAGAAGGAGGCCATTCAGCTCTAAGTTTTAATGCTGTTCATTTACTTCTTTTACAAATTCACATGTAATCAATGTCAGCATAAACACACTGCTGGAAATCAGAAACATTTCAAACTTATTGAATTTCATAAGCTTCCTCAATCCATTTTGAATGTGAAAAGTCCAATTTGTAAGTTTTAGTATAAAATGCACAATTGTATGGTCAGTTTTCACTCAGACCCATTTTACGCTTCCAGGAAAACAGTGAAGGACTCGATCATCGAGGCATTTGCTGGTCCATGCAACTCTGGTGTCTTCTCTCCATCAGTTCAGAAAACGCTCTACGATGCTCAGTGTTTGAGTTTCAGTCGAATTCCTGAGGTCAGTCTTTTTTTAAACTACCCATGTATTTATTGACAATCTAGATATAGCTCTGAACATAATATATTCTCAGAGTTTTATTTTGCGGTTAATCTATATTTTTTAAAGTTCATTTTATCCCAGCAAAATATATTTTAATAAATGTTTTGAATACTGCAAAGCAGAATAGTTTCCAGGATAGACTTGTAACAATAGGAACAGTTTAGTATTCATTTATTCCTGAAGAAGCTTACATTTAGCTTGTCAAATTTGGAATGTGTACATTTACATTTTCTTTGTTACAGATCGAAGAAATTGAGGTGATCATGCCCAATAAACATTACTTTATAATAGATATGGAGAAGCTTGGCATTGCTAAGAATAATGAGGTAAGGCATTCTCCAGATGCACATCATTTTAATAGTGTTATCAAAACCTTCTGGATTGTTTGTTGGACAATTCAAATACAAACTGTGCAAAATTAGACAATCATGTTTCACCTAAACTGCCCTCGACTTGTTTAGGGGATTGAATTTGATTAAATTTGTCTTATATAAGATGCATTGCTATTTACAATTTAAGATTTAAATCAAATTGTAGCTAATGCAATTGTTGACATCAACATTCTCTTGTGTTTTAGGTTCTGTTGCCTGTGGACAACCCCTCAGGGAATATTACGGGAACCCTGAGGAGGCAACTTGTATCCAAGCTGTAGCAACTGCCGAAAGATGACAGTGAATTTCGAATTCATGATATACTCGATTAAATATCTGAATTAAAAGATTAAAATAAAAACTGGTAACCCTGTACATCTGAACTAGAAACAGAAAATGTTGGCAATTTAGGGCAAAATTTAGGTCACACACTTGTCAACTTTCATCAGAATGATGAGGCTGAAGAAGCCCTTTGATAAGATGGGAGAAAAGCGAATAGAGCTAAACCAAGCAAGCAAATAATTCAGGAAGGTGTTAAAATCGAGCTCCTATTCCAGGTGGCCATGCAGTGTCCCCTGCTGGAAACCAACATGAAAGTCAGCAGGTTTGATTTGGCTTCAACGGGCAATGTGGCCAAATCGGTCCTCGATATACATTCACGATTTGCTATTAATATTATGCACATTCGCCTTCGTTAAAAGCCTCACATGCAAAAAAATTTCAAACCCATTTTGAAAACTCACAGCTTTACGCACTGAATAGCTTTTATCTGAGAATTGAGTTACTACTTCAAAGAACATCAGTACATTCGCAACTCACTTTTTAAAATAAAATCTAGCAAATGCTAGTAAATCTAATACAGTATATATAGCATTACTCCTAGTCACAATTACCTCTAGTAAATGGCTTGGATTTTCACAACTGACTTTTGCCTTTTCTGGTCTGCCTACTTCTGCCTCGATGCTGAAACACTGACTTATCACCTGAACAGTACGGATACTATATAGCTCAGAATTCCTGCAATTTTAACAATTGCTTATATATATCCCTAAAATGTGTTTAAATACAGTAGAATGCAGCACGATTAAAATTTTCATGGTCTTTTTAAAAAATTGTCCTTTTCCTAACTTGTTACTGGGGTGAACTTGTGAACTGTACGAAGAATAAAGCACAACCGGGAGAAAATTACAAGACAATAATAAGATGGTGTCCAGGGATCCAGATGCCAAACCACAAGAGCACGTAGATGGAACACTTTATGGAGTCCCCAGTGATCATATTACAATTCCTGTAACTTCATTTACTGCTAAAATAGTTCACCCATGCAAGCCGGCTTTTGCCAGCTGTTACCAATTGTCTTTTTGCCCTCATTACCAACTTATATTCGTATACAGCTTCTGCCATTTCCTCCCCGTTGATATTCCAGTTATTTTTTTCATGCTTGTTAGATAACCTGTTACGACATCAGTCTTCCATCTCAATCAACAGGCTTATCTCTGTGGACTATTTTATACCCAATTTCACCTTCTGCTCTCCTTCTCACAGCAGGTTTCTATGGTATGTCCTCCTGACATGAAAGGCGCAAAACAAATGTAATTTGTTGTTGTTGCCAACACATATCCAATATATTTGCTGCTTTCTGTGCCCATTAAGGAAAAGCATTCCAAGCTTACTCTCCAAAAATCTTATGTTTTATCACTTCCTTGTGATGCACATTAATTCCTTTTGTTGTGCAATAACATTCTTCATCTGCAATTACCAATATTAGCTTCATCCCTAGATCCTGGTTTAATTCAGTTCCACATGCTTTGGCAGAATATTTTTTTCAATGCTTTCTGTAAGGTTCCTCCCACTTGAGAGAGTGGTCTGGTTATCAGTAAACTCAGTTTTCTCCTGTAATCACAACTTTAATAAAACACAAATGCTCCAAGGGATTTGTGACTCACTCTGTGCTTGACTCCAAAGGAAACTGGAACCACCCTTTTGTGGACTCTTTACATTAAAATGTGTCCACTGAAGCTTTACTTCGCTGCAATCTCCACCTCTCAGCTGCATTCTCCACCTCTCAAAGCCAGTCAGGAACCTCGGTGTACTGTTCGATCGAGTTGTCCTTTCTTCCCCACATCCGCGCCACAACTGGCACCGCCTTCCACAACCTCCGGAACATTGCCAGACTATGGCACTATCTCACCCCTCACGCTGCTGAAACACTGGTCCACGCCTTTATCACCTCAAGGCTGGACTACGGGAACTACGAGAACTCTCTCCTCACCGGCCTTCCCGGCACCTCCCTCCACAAGCTGCAGGTCATTCAGAATTCTGCAGCTCGTGTACTGTCCCGCACCAGGCTTCGCGACCACATCACTCCCACCCTCGCTCGCCTCCACTGGCTCCCCATCCCCCAGAGGATCGAATTCAAGATCCTCATCCTCTCTACCCCCTCCTTGCTCCCTCCCTTCCCTCCCCTCACCCTGACCATTTCCCCCTTGCTCGGGTCCCGACCCAACTGTCCAGCGCCTTGGGACGTCCTCCCGACGTGAAAGGCGCTCTATAAATGCAATCATGTTGTTGTGGTTTACTTATCCAGAACTTCTGGCCACGCTAAAGTCTCACATCTACATTCCTGTCTTTTCATCATTATTAGATCTTTCTATGTACATATCTATCGAATTGCCCATTAAATTATTAGCTGTATCCTATGCTTTCAGTATCTTTAGGTTTCACTCTGATCATACCACACGCCTTCTCCTTAGCGATGCCTTTACTTACCATCTAGAAAGCTGTGTTTTTTAATCTATTGAAAGTACTGGCTGCTGAGGTGCATTTAATATCAATAAGCCATGTTCTGCAAGAAATACAAATAACCGTTTTTTGTGTTCTGAAGATTGCTTTACTGGCATTAAACCACCTGTTCAGGAATGTTTTAAAAACACTTTATCATTATCGGTAAGGAATTTCCATTTACATCTTTATCCATTGTATTTGCATATTAAAAAGAAACAACAAATGGATTGACTCCAAATTAATTTGTTCCTTGCTACAATACTGATCAGATCTATAAATACTTTACTGAAAATACTGAGGCATTAATGAATGTTTGTATCCAAATAAAACTAGAGTAAAATTCTCATAATGAAGCCAGTGAGTGAATCGGTACTGTATTTGGCATATTGCTTCACCTGACCGGTAAAAGTTGACAATGTATACTCAAGATTAAGAAAATCTGAAAATAACTCCTGCATTGTAAACTATAACTAAGAGACATGCAATACAACTTTGTACTGTTAAATTTAATGGATGGAAATGCTAAAGAAGAACTAATGTTGTCATGATTTTTCATAACTGGATTCTTCATTTTATTAAGATGACTAATTAATGCTAGAATACTTCTGATTATTGTGCATTCCTCTTCAGACTCTTATTTAAAGTATGAAAACACTCTCATACTGCGGAAGAAAATCTTTAGTATTATGTTTTATTACAATTGAACAGACAGAATGAATAGTTGGATCCACTTGATTTCATCATTTACTCATAAACTGATCCCAGTCTTCATAGGTGGAACAATCGTACGATTCCATGATCTCAGATTATTGTACTTCTCACATTTCCATGCAGCACAAATTAAGACTCCTTTCATACTTTTGACTAGCCATCATATCAAATAAAATGCGACACTTCAAGCAACGTGTATAAATACTTTTAACTCCAATGTACATCTGTAATTTAAGATTACCAGTTACGATAAGTTGATAAAATTTGCTATTTTGTATACACAAAACACATAACTTAACAATTCACAAAAAGACTGCAAATGCAGAAAATAAACAGGTTTTGCTTTTTCTTGGCTCCAGGAGTGCTACTGAACAACTCTTTCTGGGCATCGCTGCAATATGAGCCAGTGTCATCGTGGAATAAAAGTGGAACGCCTCCACTTACTTCAAGTAAAAAAACGACGCATATGACTGCAAACATTTACAAATATATCAAGTGCAGGTACAATGCTAAAATACAGACTCAATGCAAATGACAAGATTTTACATCACTCTATACATTTCTTTGTAAATACCAATGTAAGATGTGTGGGGTGTGAGACTTTTTGTCTTCTTCCCTACCTCTATTTTATTGCCAAATTGGAATTGACTACAAATAGATAAATAAGAATGTCCCTCGGCCATACTCTGGGGAAACAGTGCCTTTTACACAAGAGTATGCTCTCTCCTCAGTATTCAGGTGCAAACCTTATATTCTGGACTTCATACTGCAGTGCAGACTGGTACACAGCATCCCATTTGGCTTAAATCAGGAGTTTGCTTTGCAGCAGTTCTACTAGATCTCAGTGTTAGAATAGGAAGAACATGTGCAGGTGAGTTACTGAATAAAATATCCATTTATATTTCACTGAATCAGGGATTGTAAAACCAATTCAAAAGCTTATTATTGAGTGCAATTAATTATTCAGTGCAACGTACTGCCCACCATACCTTACTGTGATACACACATAAGAAATTTGCAGCCTGTGCTAAAATTTTATTTTAAGCTTCAGTCAACTGACAGGAGAGGTAGGCACTGAGTGGAGTTAGGGCAATTTCCAATAGGAAGAGAGGCTTTTTGAGGTGTTCTTATGCGTTTCCAAGCAACACAGACACAGAAGGAAGGAAAGAAGGAAAACCAAGAGGACACATATCTATTATAGTATCTAGACAAATAACCACAGTTAACACATTCTACATTTATCCTACAATTGATATAACACTTTGAAGTATTGAGTGTAGGAAAATTGTAGATCAAGCTTGGTTAAGTGAATTCTGTATCTTCTTTCAAGGCCAACCCATTGTATTCAGTGCAATAGCTTTTGGGATTTTTTTTTAGAGCAAAATAAATTTTGGTTGAAATTTCAGATAGATTTATCTAATGGAAGGTATTTTGAACTTGCAAAAATGTATATGATTTTTGCACCTTAACAGTTCACATTGGTATTTTAGTAGAACACTTAAATTTGCATACATTTCTGGCAGGACTTTTTAAAAAGAATGCATGTTTAGAAGAGCATCAGCTGCTTAAAGTGGAAGTGACAGCACCCAGTTCCTCCAGTACGCTTTGCAAACATTGCCTTAAAACAAAAATCACAAAACACCTTCAAGGACTTTAATCCTCTCCCTATTAAATACAAAACGTAGTATTTCTGTCACTTCAAAATTGTGTCATCAGACTAAGGCCCTTGTACCAATAAAATTAAAATTAGATAAAAGCCATACTGAGAGCATTCAAGCACAAAACTGCAACAAAACCACAAGAAATCTTCCAACATTGCAAAATCCACTTCTACCACATACAGATTACAATGAATATAAAATGATGTATTTTACAAATGTGAAAACACACATCTTTTAAAGAAGTTGGGGGAATAACCACGATTAAATAATAAGTATTGGTGGAGATAGGCTTGCATAATCATGCAGTTAGTTTTGTGATCTGAATGACTACCAGCGAACAGACCAGAGATGTACAGACAGAGAAGTGAACTGTTCAGGTGGTAGGTTAAAAAACAATACTGCTACAGAATGAATGGGCAACACAATAATAATCCTTGCAGTTTGATACAGCACCTTATCACATCGTCGAGACGTCTCAAAGCACTTCACAGAATAGACTGTAAAATGGATTGACTGTATATTTGGCGCGGCAGCCAATTGCGCACAAGTGGCCATATTAACTCCAGATGCGACCCTCTTTTGAGTTTGAAAAGCACCAAGACAATTTTGTACAACCCTTATATTTTGCACAGCATTTCCGTAACCCGTACTATTTCACTGAAATTAACATCAATTTCTCACTGTATTGATCTGATTGATCTGTCGTGCCACCACATTCCGCTACACCATGTCGGAGGCAGACAACAAATCAGACGGGAGTTCATTAGTCCAATTCAACACTATGAAGAGCTGTTCTTTAAATGACGCATCTGTAGTGCTTTCACGTGGTATTCATAAATCTTGAGTGCTGGGCCCAATTTGATTGACAGTCCAGTTAGCACATCACTTCTTTTCATTAGAAGTAAAGATTTGCCATCTATTTCCTACAAAACAGTTAAAAAAAATACTCCAAATATTTGTCGATTCTGATACCAGTATTCATTCCAAATTACACACAAAACAAATTATGCTCTGTGGTCGTTATCTATGGATAAATTACAATTCACAAATATTTTTGACTAACGCATCATCCACGTTTGTTTTAAAAAAAATCAATTCAAACAATTCATAACTACCAACATGGGCACAAAGCAAAATTAAATGGAAATAAAAATGTCCTTTTGAAGTAATATCACAAAAGAGAAGCGACCCTCGCTGGTTCTAAACAATAGAAAACACATCCACGGAAATGATTGATTAGAAATGGGATACCCACCTGCTCTTGAAAAGCAATAGCTTGTTCTTCAAACCCAGCTTTCTTGAAATAATTGAAAACATCTAAAATAGTCCACTCAGCAGGATCAAACGGTTTTCCGTTTTCAACTAAGCTAAAAGGAAACAAATGGCAAACTAAACCACAGACTGTAAAAGTGACAGCAGATTATACCTATAGATAAAACTGTCATACAACCAATAATCCATTAATCTCTACTAATAAATCACTCAAATGCACCATTCATCTGATATGGGTATTTTACTAGAGTGATGTGATAGTGAGATTTACTTCTTTTGAATTAAATGACATAATTTTCTTTGAAGATGGACAATGCTGGGAAATGCTACATTATCATTCGTTTAACCTCTGCAAATACGATTAAGGACCATGCACTCAGCACAGAATAAAAGGGAAATTATTACTTTGAAATTTAGAGTTGTGTTTTTTTTAAATAAAACATTCAGGATCAATCAGATGAAGTGCAATGGTTTTGTTTTCTTGGGTCATATTTACCGATTAATTCTTATGATTCATTTTGGACTGCAAAGGAAACAAAGTAACATAAGAATCGAAATGTAAGCTGTGTTTGTTGTTGTAAAAGAATGAAGATCGTGTTTGTATATAACTCAACGTTTCTTTCACCTGCAAATAAAACAGGATCACATCAAAATAATACAGGACCTGATGGTAGTGGAAGAACTTTAAAAAGACAAACTTTTTAGTGTCTAGAGAGCCGTTTTCATTATTCTCCATCTCGACTGGCGATGCTGAAGGTGTAGGAAGGCAAGAAGCACCTCTTACTTCAGGAACTAGGATGAAGGAACAAGTAACCATCGTTTAAGATTTCGAACAGAAAGTTTTAAAAGAGTTTATCTACATTTTATTGGTGTTAGGTAAAATACCATATAAACCGGACATGTTATCTGGCAAAGACAGTTACATTCACAATGCAAACTGATGCCCCACTTGCACTGCAGAATGCAACTTACACTGTGGGTATTTTGGTTTCCTCATTGAGCTTCAATTAATGTGCTTTACTTCACTGAACATGCCTGGATTACAAAGGGTTAAACCAAAACAGACACCCAGGTTATCTTTAACCCAATAATAGCATAGCTCTGCAACCAACCTTTGTAAACCAGAACAAAGAGTCATTCCGTTGAATATTCATAAGTCCTTATTAATTATGATACAAAATTAGACACAAATCAATGACCCTCAATTTCTCCTTCAATTAACACCCTACAAATAAATTACAAAATCTATTTTAAAATAACTGTCTTATGATTTCAGTGAGAGCTGAGTGAGTGAGAGGTAATTAATTAAAGGGTGGCCATAAAAAAAATTGCTAAGTGTTATCAAGTTATTATCAGCCACTTTCCTCCCTTCCTCTGGCACTCTCTCCTGAAATCCCTCCGGCTCTGTTTTCAAATCTCTTTTGAAGAAAAATCTGAATCTTTGGGCCCATCAAGGCAAGGGATATCAGTGGTTATGATGGATAGGTGAGGGGAGAATCAATCTCAACATTGGATTCTCTTTCATCTCATGAAGGCAACATTTAATTCTAAAACATTTTGTTTTGTTCAAAAATAAACTGACATTTGGTCTTCAGAACAGGTCTGATTTACTGTTCCTCTGATCCAGGGATAGCAATGACAATACAATGTACTTCAGTCAAAGTACTCGAAAATAATCCGTTCACAAATCACACTGCTGCACCACTGTGTACATGAGTGTCCTCTAACAGCAATACATTACAATGACAGGCAAGAAGCCTGTTTAACAAGCTGGTTTCTATACAACTCTATACACAAGATCGCAAATGTCTTTTTTTTTTAGAAACATGTTATTTGTTCAATTTAAATAGTATTTTATGCCAATCTGGCAATGTGGGTTTGAAAACAACAGAAGACCACGCACAAATCTAAAATCATTGTTTAGGTGACAATATTTCCCTTAGTAAGTATTCACCAATATGGTAAACCTGCAGATTATTAGATACGTGTCCCTGATCAAATGGCTAGATATTGTTAGCTGAAATCAAACTGTAGTCTTTCAAACTTACAATTCCCCCAGGCACTACAAATGTACAGCAAAACCAAGTACTCACTGAGGCCAAACCAAAAGAATATATTCAACGTTTGTTGACTTGCTGGCTTGTTGCCAACAGCACCAATATTCGCTACATAAGCATTAAACCAAGGTAGAAAAGCACAAGCCACCACTCCAATTCGAGGAAGCTCATTGGGGTAAGTGCAAACATACACAAGGCGTGCTATTACATCCTTTCAAACTTCCTCATCTGAGCAAACACCAAACTGTCCTCAACATCTACACGCAACAGTTCAAAGGTTCAAAGTACTGGCCCTTAATTTTTTTAAAAACATATATATTTTAAGATTTGTTTTTACACTTATGTGTGATAACGACTGGTATAAGGAATATGTGTAAAGGACTCAGAATTCGAAGAATAGGTTTCTTAGTAAAAAGTGAACTTTGATGAATTAGTTACTTTCATTTTCTAAAAAAAATGTCAAGAGCTGCCACAGCATCCAGGGCATCCACAGCCATTCTTAGAAAATGCAATGTGTGGTTTTATTTTGCTGATTGAAATGCCTATGTTCAAGAGAAAATAAAATTCTAGCGAAAGGAAAGTGAGTCAACGTTTTGGGTCCACGACCTGTTGTCAGAACTGAAGGGTTCCGAAACGTTGACTCACTTTCCTTTCTCCATAGATGCTGCCTGACCTGCTGAGTGTTCCCAGCGACTCCTGTTTTTCTTATTACTGCTAGGTATCTTTAGCTGCTCCCTATATACAGCGTTACAGGTGTTTGTTGCTTGCATCAGACCAATTCTGCCATCGCTGTGGGCACACTGCTGCCAAATCATCATCTGGAAGTTACTTTTACTTCTAAACTTCACCATGAATTAAGGTTAAAGACAGATAAAGTTTACTTCTTATAACAGTAATAATCCTTACATTCGACATAGCACCTTAACACATCATCAAAACATTTCAAAGTCCTACTGTAGAGTGTAGTGACTGTATTTTGTAGGCAAATGCAGCAGCCGATTTCTGCACAGGAATGCCTCACAAACAGCAAACTCTTTTGATCTGCTTGTTGGTCGGTCATTGGGAGAAACTCTCTTTTTTCCAAATATTGCTGTGGGATCTTTAACATCGAAATGGCAGACACAATCTTGGTTGAACTTCTTATCTGAAAGGCATCACCACCAGTACTACCCCAGTACTGCACCTGACTTTCAGCCCAGATTATGAGCTCCAAATACCAACGTGGGGCCTGAACCCACATCAAGCAAATAACTTTACAATATTAAGCGTGAATTTAAAATCCACATTGCATAACAAAATAACCTTTTCAATTTTCCCACAAATGGCAATATTACACACAAATGGCTATTGTGCTTCATGAAATAATTCAGTCAATATTATGCCGCTTCTGAATTCTAATGCATATAAAGCACAACTCTCGATTTTACAATTTAATCTAGTTTATTCCCCAAACTATCACATCAAGGTGACAGTCAGTAAGGAGATAAAATAATAATAATACATTGGTCTCAATTTGAATGTACTGAGATTGTATCTGTCCCCAGATACTGGTGTAAAATGAAACCTATTGGCAGTAATTTACCTGCTGCGCTCTGCTCGGGAACAGCTTCCTCCTCGGTCTTGTCATTTCTTACGGCTTGATCAGGAGACGAGAGTCGAACAAGTAACATCCTTTTTGCAGCTTCTTCCCCATGGTTTCCAATACATTCGCCATACAGCCACTGATCTGAAGAAAACACCAAGCAGTTACCAGTTGTGTTTTGTGGACCTTTGATACTATAAGCACAATGAGTTGTCTTAATTCTAGCCACATCGTATTACTTGTTGAGGATATAACTGACTGTGTATTGCAATGAGACTAGAGCCTTAAATCGTCAGCACCAATGAGGCAAACATTCCACAAAAGACTCAACTGAACCAAAGCAAGCAACACCATCTTAATTTCTGTTCAAACAGATTAAGTGATCAAATAACATTTTAAAAAAACACTACAATTCACAATTTCAGACACGAGTAAGCCCATACGTCTACACATTTTTATTCTTACTAAACAGCAAAACAAAAACACATTGTTTTGCATTTTCTTAAAAATGACAATGAACCCAGAAAAAACATCAATGATTAATTACCAATGGTAAAATAGAACAATCAAGGAAGAAAATTAATATCCAAACCCAACAGCTCATGAGTCAGGTTATCTGCCCGTTATGAGGTAATGCAGCCACTCAGTGCTCAGAACTCCAACCCAGTTACAAGCAGCTCTTTAATGTAAGACAACAAAGAGGAAGGTTTGATTGGGTGTTCGTAAAAGACATATGGTAACTGCTTTCCAATTGTCTAATGAGGCTACCATTTCTAATGTAATAGCAATGTAAATCCCCTCAGGCATTTTATCAAAATATACATCATTAAAAATCACTGCTTAAATCCATAATGTAAAACAATCATCCGTACAGACCTCACAGTATGCAGGAGCTCTCACACGACTGACGATACAAAATATTGCTTGCTGTACTGGAACTGCCATCAAGAGTTCAGTGTGGCAGCTCTCTACCATGACAACAAGAATTCCTTGTGCTATGAATAATAATCTAGAGACGAGTGTAAAATATGCAGAGCTCCACAAAATAAGTCAGCGCATTTTCCACTAAACTAAACCTCAACGTGGCCATGAATGGGGGGGGGCTAAATTGCACACAAATATGGAAATAATTTATGTGGAGAGAAATTCCATCTTGATCTAGATATTTTTTACGGCATCCAGAATTGTTTAATCCCGGCTAACCAAACCGTTGGGCAGGAAGAGGGGGAATTTCGGCTAAGTGTAATTACAACGTCGGTACTGGCATTCTTAGGCACTGGCTTTATTCTAATTCATATTGATAGACGTGTAATTCGGAATGCTTTTAGATACAAAGCTTCAAACTTCCCCCAATGTACGCTCACTCTATATCTGATCAGTGTGACAAGTGTGCCCTCTTCTGGATGACTTTTCTCTGTTCAGTCAGGTCAAGAAAACATTCTCACACAGATTTAACTATTGGAAAACTACCTGTGAAGCCAACGTTTCAGAATTTAGCTTTTCTCAACCTTCAAAAATAATGGTAGTGGGAGGAAATCTTGCAAGACAAGCCACGAGGTTCCATCTACATTGGACAGGAGATAGCTGACAAGATGGAAGCAGTACTCATCAGCTCCTGTTAATGTCTTCTCTCCTGTGGCTCTGACCTCCTCAACCTCCATGGCCTCTCCGCAAGATTTAACAAAGCTGTGCATAATCCAGCTGTCCTTAATAACCCACATCTGGTCCCAGACCAGGACCGTTTTTCTCAACCACCATCTCATTGCCCACCTCTGACCGTATCTCACACTCAACGCAACCGAAACCCTCGACTATTTCAATGCCCTCCCAGCTAGTCTCCCCAGCTCCACTAACCAAAAAATCCAACTGATACAAAGCTCCACCCGTTTACTTACCCGCTCTAAACTCTGTATCTCCATTACACCAGTCCTCATCAGGCTCCACTGGCTCCCTATCACAGAACGTATTGAATTCAAGATCCTCACACTCATCTACAAATCCCCTCATGCCCTGGTCCTTCCCTACCTATCCAGTCTACGTGCTCCCAACTCCACCACCCACCGACTCCGCTCAACCAGCTCCAGTCTCCTGCTTGTCCCTCGTCCCCTCCAATTCACAATTGGTGGCTGTGCTTGCAGCCACTATGCCCTGAAACTTTGGAATTTTTTCTCTCAATCCTTCTGCCTTGCCCCTCCTTCCCAATTTTCAGATCATGCCTGAAAACCTTCCTCTTCGGCCAGGCTTACGGTCACCTCCCCAGAGCTTGGAGTCAGGCTCCACTACTATTGAGCGTTCATGCTAAATAAATACAAATTGTTGTATATTTTACACCTGCAATCAGATTAGAGGGGGGAAAAAAGAGGGAGCAAAACAACACCTTACCGATTTCCCATCTGAGTTAGATGTTAGTTATAAGGTAGAAGTAAAAGATTAGATCTTCCTGATCTGTATGACTCCACTACTCACTGGATAAATTCACTGAGCCATCAGGGAAAATCAAAGCTTACTTTCAAATCCTTTTTCAAATCACTTTCACCATCTTAATTTAGCCTTGCTTCGTCTTTTTAATCCCACAGTTCCCCATCATCATGACCCTACCCAAGCATCTGGTGGTGCATTACATTTTTGCCCATGATGGGAAAGAAACAGGCAGTGACAGTACAGACTAAAAGTATTCAGAGACCAAAATTTGACAAGAATCTTAAGCCAGGAAAAATCAAAATCATAGGGTTTGGGATATATCTATGAGAAAAACAGAAGGAAGAGAGGTTTAGGATTTATCTCGGCCAGCATACTATCATGAAAATTATCCACCAAATAGTATCATCCTCAACAGTCTGTTTGTAATCTACTCCATTTAATAAAACATCTGACCAAGAGGTATGCCAATTTTCTTCTCTTGACTGCTACCTGCAAAGGGCAGCCATAAACTTAGGTTTTAGGGAACAGAACATTCAGTAAATTTTAAAGTAACAGCAATTATAAATATTTGGTTCAAATGTTATTATTTGGATTGTTTTCAAAACTGTGAGTAATTTGTGGCTGCTGGTGCCTGTGGGAAGGGAATGGTTTTGAGAGGCAACCTTCGCTACAAAAACACGATCAAAAATGTTTTGAGCCTCAACATTAGCATGACTGCATTCCCGATTTGTTATCTTGGTTCAATATTATGTTAGCTAGCTCCTCCCAAGGGAAAGTGAAACAGCCGAACAACTCCAGAATATCCCCAGTCTGTACTGAGTTAATTGATTTCAAACAGGTCAGAAATAAGGGTGCTAGAATCAGCCTCAGTATTCCTGAGCTGGGTGGAAACTCAGGCAGATTCTTGCTTCTTATTGCTTTTCAGTGGCTCTAGCTAGGAACTGAGTGTGTGAAGATGTTAAGTAAGTTTTAGTTGAATAGCCTATTGTCAAGGTTTACAAATGAGTGTAGGTCATGCTTCCGAAAACCATACCTCAGCATTAAGGAAGATTTTTTTTAAATAAAAAAAGGCACAGAAATTCTTATATTTGATTCCAAGTAAAATATGAATTTCATAAATTTCTAGGAATTTATTTTATTTCCACAAATTAGTCACAAAGAAAAACAAAACATTCTGACAAGTGCTTCGGAATACTCGGATCATTGAGAAAATCATCCCAAACTATTACTGATGCCATCAACACTGCCCTGTTATGCAAGTCTTTTCATTTCTCAGTCCAAAAGTCCAGTAATACTGTGAATAAGATCCTAAATATCTTTCAGGAAACAAATCTGGAAATAATTTGTTAAATAAAGGACAAGAAAAGACTAGACATCTTAAGTCAGTTGTTTCAGATTTAATGGCTGGAAATAAAAGTATATTAACCAGATGATTATCAATGTTCCTACTCCTAAACATCAAGGGAACAGTTAATCATGTGGATAAAACAGCAGTGGGTCTGGTTCTGGGAAACCAGGTATTGCGACATTGTTATAAGAAAAATCTACTTTAGGCAAATAATATTATATTCATTTTTCTTTGCTTGCCTTTTTTTTAAAATCACATACAAAAGCACCCCTGATCTAGGAGTTCCACTAGTCTAGCATTAAAGTTACTAAGGGCACGGGAACAACAACAATTTGCATTTATATAACGCCACTCACGCAGGGTAGCCTCCCAGAGCCCCGGAAGAAAATCTTTTGCGCAGTCCCAGCTGGGCTGAGTGTGAGAGCGACATTTAATCCCATCATTAGGAATCTGATCCATTACAAGAGCAGAGAATGACCCCTACCTGTTGAATGTCCTGATGCACCTGGTGTGTGGCCATTTATGCCATGAGATTTCCTGTGGTCTCCACAGTTCGAAAATGTTGACTGCAATCAGAGAGTGGATATGAATATGTGAAATGAATGATCACCTAGTAACTCTAAATATTATCAATACTCAAATTTAAAGGTTTTCATGTTATTGAGTTGTTTTAAGAGGCTACGGAATAAATGATGCTTCATGCAATAGTAAATAAAGATTTACATCAAAAAGCATATCCCATTAAGATGACATAGCAAGTATGTTACAACACAGTATCTGATGCTGGAAAATGACTGATTTTATATTTGAAAAAAATATTACATTTGATCTAACGCCTTTCAAGACGCCATCTCAAAGTGCTTCACAGGATTTACCGTAAAGTCTATTTTGAAGGCAAACGCTAACTTGTGTACAGCAACGTTCCACAGACAGCCATGAAGTAAATAACAAATTTTATTTGGGGGAATTCTTGGTCAGGATATTCCTTTTTCTTTTAATAGTACCATGGGATTTCATGTCCATCTAAACACCCAGATGTGTCCTTAATTTTAATGTCTCATCCGAAAGATGGCAGGCCCAAAATGCAGTATACATCCTGCCCTGCACTGAAGTATCAACGACTTGCAATTGATGGTAAAACAGCTTCCTTCACACGGATACACTCTCGGAACGCTGACATCAGCCTAACTATGTGAGTTAGGCTAGAATCAATTCAAAGACCCGTTTATGGATTGTAAATCCACAATCTTCTGATTCCGAGGCGATAATGCTACTAACCGAGCCAGACTGACACAATAGTTAAAGTGAAGTTACAGATTCTGAGTACAGACTCGCTGCGGAATGAGATTCCAGGGAGCACCCAGCACCATATCTTACAGTTCCGGTTTGAACAATTCCAACAACACTGAACTGCCTCAGCGCTCTTGAAATAAAACATGTGCAAACGAGTTAAAATGCACTTTTGTTCCATCAATAGCACCAAAATAGAAAAAAAATGAAAAAAGAGCAGCACAAGCTCCTACTTTAGTTACAATACAAATACAAAAGCAAAATAGGACCTTTCATTGCGTTCATATGACTGGAGTCTTTAAAATTACACAAGGCAAAATTCTGCCAAGGTTCCGATTTCTACCTCTTAGTCATTAACTAAACCTAATCAGAAACGCCTGGGCATAAATGTAATTAAATTTATTTAGCCCAGCTCACACACATCAAACTCGTTAATTATCTGTGGAGGAGTTAAGGGACCATGATAATGGGTTAAACTGACTTATTCAGATTATGTTGCACTGAAGACGGCAACCTCAAAGTATGCTCAGGAGCTCATTTTTAGAAGACTTGAAAGGAAGAAAACAGGGTTATCAATCTCAGAGGAAAAGAAATCCTGCTGTTTTACCACCAATTTAGTACTGGAAAGGCTGGTACTGAAAATAAACAAAGCGGGAATCAGTGGAAGAATCTTACAATGGATACATAATTGTTTGACTGATAGAACCCAGAGGGTTGTGGTACAGGGAATGTCATCTGTCTGAGAGAATAAGGCCAGTGGGGTTTCCATAGGGGTTTGTTTTGGGACCTTTTTTGTTCAATATCTTAAATGATCTGGAGCTGGGAGTAAGAAGCACAGTGGCTAATTTTGCAGATGAAGGTGGTAGACAGCAAAGCTGAAGAGGATAGGTTACAGGGGATTTGAATTTACTTGGGAATTGGGCAGATCGATGGCAGATGAAATTCAATGAGGAGAAATACAAAATGCTTCATATGGGGCAAAAAAGAAATCCAGGAAGAGGCTATTATCTAAATGGAAAGAAAATAATATGTATGGAAAAATGGAAATGAAAAATGAAAAAGACCTGGGATCCCGATTGACAATAAAATGAAGCTATCACAACAATGATCGGTGACAATGAGTAAAGCAAATAAATTGTTGGGATGTATTAAATGGTCAAAATTGGGTTCAAATAGCAATGTATTCCTGCCACTTTATAAATCATTGGTGCAACCGTACTTGGAGTACTGTGTACAGTTGTGATTGCTCCAGTACAGGAGGGATATAACAGTGATTTAGAGGACACAAGGGCAACCAGAATGATGGAGGGGATGTAGGGACTGGATTAGGAGGAACGATTATGTAAACTGGACATGTTCACACTGGACAAGGTTGAGAGGTGATGTGATTGCTGTTTTTAAAGATACTAAAGGGACTAGATAATGCAGACGATGACAAGCTGTTTAACCTTGCCCAGAATGGTAGAACCATGGCCTGCGCTTGAAGGGAATAAACTCAAAACTAATCTGTAGAAACATTATTTCAGTGAGCAATTCGTAAATCTATGGAACAGGTTCCCTAGGGAGGCAGAAAGTGTTCATTCATTCAAATCTAATAATCTTATTAGATAAGATTTTTTTTCAGAAAATAATATTTGGGGATACAGTATACGATTGAGTCATGATATATGGCAAGGGAGAAACAGGCAACTTGGACCTATGGTTCCCAAAGCTTTCCACCACTGGCGGGTTTTCCTTGTTTCGTGCCCGAATCTGTTGTAGTGTAATCGATAAATCGATTGCCATGATTCCTCAACACAGCATGGGACTACCAGGATGGTAGAAGGCGAACTAGATGGAACTTGGTCTTTTATTGTCTTGCAGTTTCTATGTTTACATTGAAGCCAGCACACTTTTGGTATCTATTTGCCAGCAGCACAGCACTGAATGATACCAGTGTCTGATCACAGGAAGCCTATGTAATGGGTGAGCCCAATTACATTGGGGATAGTTTGTAGGTTTTTAAGACTAAAGTGGCATCCATTTGCATCAACAAGGTTCCATATTTAAATATCTAAAAGTTGTGATCTGCCCCTCAACATTCAGGAATGAAATTCCAATTTTCATAATTTAGGCTGACACTTTAATGCAGACCTGGAATACAGCTACACTGTTAGGAACATAGGATAGGAACATAGGAACAGGAGGAGGCCATTCAGCCTTTCAAGCCTGTTTAATTAGATCATGGCTGATCTGTACTTCAACTAATCCTTTCAATTCCAATTTCTCCAAATATCCCTTAATACTCTGACCAACAAAAAAATCTATCGACCTCACTTTTGAAGGTGTGGATAGATCCAGCATTCATGGCCTTTTGAGGGAGACAATTCCAGATTTCTACCACCGTTTGAGTGAAAAAATGTTTCCTGATTTCACTCTTAAATGGCCTGGTTCTAATTTTAAGACTATGCCACCTTGTTTTGGATTCCCTCACCAGAGGAAATAGCTTCTCTGTATCTACCCTATCAAATCCGTTTATCATAAATACCTCAATCAAATCACCCCTCGAACTTCTAAACTCAAGTGAATACAATCCAAGTTTACGCAGCCTTTCCTTGTAACTTAACCCTTTTAGGCCTGGTAACATTCTGGTGAACCTGCGCTGCACCCCCTCCAGAGCCAATATACCTTTCCTGAGGTGTTGTACCCAAAACTGAACGCAGTCTCCAGATGGGGTCTTACGAACGCTCTCTACAGCTGAAGCATAATTTCTTCCCCTTTGTATTCCAGGCCCTTGAGATAAAGGTCAACATTCCATTCATCTTTTTGATTCCTTTTTGCACCTGGGAACTAGTTTTTGGTGATTTATGGATTTATGGATATGGACACCCAAATATGGACTACTGGAGTCCTGTAGCTCAGTGGTTAGAGCACTCGCTTTGCAAGCGAGAGACCTGAGTTCATTTCCAGGAAGGGCGAAACCTTGGGCAAGTTTCCTCACTCCACACAGAGCCTAATAATAATCCCTCCAAAACCAAAACAATAATAAATTGGTCATTTTCAATCTACGACTGTTTGTGGGACATTGCTGCGCGCAATTGGCTGCCCCGTTTGCCCACAAATATACAGTCAATTCACTTTACAGTATGTTCTGTGAAGCGCTTTGAGACATCTAGAAGACGTGAAAAGCACTATATCAAATGCAAGGATTATTATTATTATTAAATCTCTTTGCTCCTCCACAGTTCTTAATTTCTCCCCATTAAGAAAATATTATTTTGCTTGTCATACTTCGTTGAGATGGTAAACCTAGGTGAATTGTGCCTGTTCAGATGGATATTAAAGATCCCATGGCACCATTTGAAAAGAAAAGAAAGTTTTTCTTCAATGTCTGACCAACTTTCCTCCAGATGTAACTGGTCATTCACTTCATGGTTATTTTTGGGACTTGCAATAAGGAATTGGCTGCTGTGCTTGTCCTCAAATACAATTATGCTACTTCACCTTAAAAATTTAGGTAATGTATCAAATGCAAGAATGATACCTTACCAACAACAACGTTCAACAATTATAGTTTGTTTACTCAGAAAGAGCCTCAAACTATTAAGCATTTCAAAACATCAACCTTCTGTACTTTTCTATTAAATCTAGCACTTACAGATCGAGTTGGATGGGAAGAACCAGAAATCTTATTCTTGCAGTTAATTTGAGAGGAAGAACATTGCACAGATTCAGTCTTGTGCGTATCTTTCTTCAAACCTGTCAAAAATTATAAAGTTAGTACAAATACAAGAAACTCTTCTGTGAATCAAAAAACAGCAGTGGATCAAAAGTCATCAAAACTGGAAGAACAAGCACATTAAATCCAAGACTGGATTGGTTTTAAATTCACTGGATATCCAGATTTTATTCTATTAATTGAGTCTTATTTTTCTTCTGTCTCCTGTTCCATTTCCCCCCCCCCCCCACCCCCAGTTGATTTATGTTGTAGGACTGAAAACAGAAACAACATTGCTTTGTTGCCATGACAGATCGGAATGATGATAGACACATAACGCCATCTATAGCATGAATAGAGCCAAATGGATGGGTATTACAGTGAAACTTGTATACTTCTCCTTTATAAATTATACAATCACCGAAGCTGTACAATCATGCGAGCCCCATTCAATTTCCTATCAAAACCAGCTTAGATTTCTTTGCACTCGTATTAGTCACCTCCTAACTCGTAACGCCACCTCATACTCACCACTGCTCCCCCACTTACCGACTGCATTGAAATGTGGGAAATGACGGAATGACCCCCCCTCCCCCGCTTTGGGTTGCTGTTGGCTCAGATTAGCTGCCACAATGTATCTTTATAACATTCATTTTAAATTGTATTTTGTAAAGTACTTCAAGATGTTTATTTATACACAAAATATTTGTTAGGTCAGGGTACCGAGGGATGTGGGGGAAGGGTGGGTAATTGGAGTTGAGGTACAGATCAGCCGTGACCTTATAGAATGGCAGAACAGGCTTGATGGGCTGAATGGCCTACTCCCGTTTCCATATAAAAAGCTCTATATAAATGCAAGTTACTATAACTATCATAGGTCCAAGTCTCAGTCATGAACGGACAGTATGCTAATCCATTCCTAGTGCGTTAAAACACCACAAATTGCTAAAATCCAGCAGTGCATAGAATGACATCTGTGTTCCTTAGCTATAGGTGAAACTGATGTTTACTTAAAGCTTTTAAAATTCTAAGTCACTTGCATAGATAACCCTCACACAAAGATAGGAGGTGTGGGGGGTGGGGTGGAACTAGTTAAGAATTATATTCTGCTTAATTAGTGGTATGTAAATATGCAATGTCGGTTACGTTAGTTTTGCTTTGTGGGATCCGAGTGGTTCTCTGCCTCCTCAGTTATCCTGCTTCAAAGAACTGACCTTTAAATTGAAGGGTGGTCAGATAATCATGTGAGACGACTGCAGGCCTCAGCCTGCTGGCAAGTAAAGCCTGTGGACTTCGTTGTCAACAACTCCCGATTCAAACTATTTCAAACTACATATAAGTTATTAAAAACAGAATAACATATCATTGTCTATAGTTAGTCATTTTGGTAAGTAACAGCATCTTTGATTTTTTTTGTGGCAAATTATAACTTTAATCGATGCCGTCGTCAATAGGCTTGAGAATTCCACTGACCACTTTTAAGTGAATTCTTGAGGTCAAACAGATGAGGGAGGCAACCTCTGAGAAATCAACCTCATTCCTATTTCAGCCACCCAGGGTCAGCATCAAGTACACTGAGGTCAGATAAATTAAGGGTCCAATGCAGGGTAAACCATCCTCTACTCTTCCCAGAATAATATACCCGATTCCCAATCCTAGGAAAGCATCCTCTCCTACTGCCTGCACGTAATTAATAATAATAATAAATTGGTCATTCAATCCATGACTGTTTGTGGGACACTGCTGTGCGCAATTGGCTGCCGTGTTCCCCCACAAAATATACAGTCAATTCACTTTACAGTATATTCAGTGAAGCCCTTTGAGACGTCTCGAAGACGTGATAAGGCTCTATACCAAATACAAGGATTATTGTTATTGTTACCAGTGTCATATTTTTCACAACAGACATGCATGCAACCTCTGCAAGTGAGATTAATCACAATTGTTACCTATTCAGGGACATTTTTGTTTTAGCCTATGGCCACTGGAAATAGACAGTCAATTATTTTTAAGGACGAACCATAAAGCAACAGAGAACCCCATTTTCTCAGCATTTGGGGTGGAAAACATCATCCTGACGTGAAAGGCGCTATATTGTTGTTGTTGATTTGAACCTAACCTATTTAACACCCAATACTGACTCTACATAGTATATCTTATGAAGTGCTTTGAAATGCAACAACAATCTGATATGGCACTATATCAAATGCTAGGGTTATTATTACTACTAAAATAATCCTCAAACTATTATACAATACAAATTACATTTGTATAGTGCCTTTCACATCGGGAGAACGTCCCAAGCGCTGGACAGTCAGGAATTTGGACCCGAGCTGGGGGTCGGGATTAGGGTGCAGGGTAGGGAGGGTAGCCGAAGGCTCAGTCAGAGGAGGGTTTGAAACGCGCCTTGAAGGATTTAAGGGAGGGAGTGAGGCGAAGCAAATGTGGGATGGAGTTCCATAGGATGAGGGCAGAAAGACTGAAGGCCTGGCCGCCAATGGTGGAGTGTTCCGGGCAGGGGACGTGGAGCCTGCTGAGCGGAGGGAGCGGACAGGTTGATATGGGGTCAGCAGATTGCAGAGTAATCAGGGGTAAGGCCTGGAAGGCTTTGAAGGTGAGGATGAGGATTTTGAACACATGTTCAAACAATCCCATGTTTCTGAAATACTCCAGATGAAGCACTAATTCTTTCTGCTTACAATCTTAAATTTTTTATAAAAAAATACAAGCGATCGAAAACTCAACCTGGGTCAGGACATTCTTGAATGTCTTTCAATTGCTCTTTCACACACTTGCTTGCTGGAGAGGCTGCATCTGATGGAGGGTTGCTCAATGAAGCACTACCCTCAAACGATTTCTCTCTTCGACTCCTCTGATATCCCTAGATTCAATTACAAAGACAAAAAAAAATTATATTGATAGCCATGGATCTCCGAACTCTACAGTATTTAAGTTTTTTTTACTCAGTTGCTTAAGCAGGTAACATCTAAAACATCATATACACAGACTGTTGCATATGATTGTATGGATTACATGTACTTTTAGCTGAAAAAGCATTCTCTGTTACTATGTTTAGTTGAAAGTACACTCAACCCCCAGCTAACCTCACTAATGGAGGGAGATCTGGTCAGATTTTCCAGCTAAGTGTTAATGAATTTAAAAATCAATAGAATAAAATAAACTGTAGCATGTAAATCCCACCTAACATTTAAAACGAAGAAAAATCAAAGCTGCCAAAGCCCTCGTCATGCCTTCGTCAACTCCCGCCTCAACTACTCAAATACCCTCCTGGCCTGACTCCCCTGCTCCACAATTCACAAATTCAGCTAATCCAAAACTCCGATGCCTGCAATTCTCATCCGCACTAAACTCCATACCTCCGTTACTGCAGTCCTTGTCAAACTCCACTGGCTCCCTGTCAGAGAGCGGATTGATTTCAAGATCCTCACTCTTGCATTTAAATCCCTTCATGCCCAGGCGGCCCCCCCACCCCGTCTCTCCAACCTGTCTCTCCCTATACAACTACTCGCTGCTTCCGCTCGACTAGCTCCGGCCTCCTCCTTGTCCCCTGGACCCTCTGGCCCACCATTGGTGGCGTGCTTTCAGCCACTACGCCCCGAAGCTGTGTAATTCTCTCCTTCAATCCCTTTGCTTTGCCCCCTCTCAACCAATTTTCAGGTCGCCCTTGAAGATCTTCCTCTTTGACTGTGTCTATGGTCACTTCCCCCTCCCCCTGGCTCGGCATCGGGCTCCGCCACTGTTAAGCGCTCCGAGACGCCATCCGGGGTGAAGGCCGCTAAATCCGTGTTGTTGTTGTTGATGAATGGCATTTGCCAGTCATGAAAACATCAATGCTGGGCAGTGAGATCTTTTCACTCTCCTTTAACCTTTGGAGTAAGAATGGGTGGATCCAAATACAAGGTCTATGGTTACCATTACCTGTGAATTGCAGTTCAGGGTACCCAACAACGAACACACAAAACTGAGTGCCTTTCTGTCAATTGGTAATTGTGAAAGAAAAGCAACAAAATAAAAAAACAAACACTAAACTACAAAACATAGATACACTTGGAATGGATTTTGTTTAATGAATATAATAATAATAATCCTTGCATTTGATATAGCGCTTTTCACGTCTTCTAGACGTCTCAAAGCGCTTCACAGAATATACTGCAAAGTGAATTGACGGTATATTTGCGGGCGAACACGGCAGCCAATTGTCCCAAGTGTCCTACAAACAGTCGTAGATTGAAGATGACCAATTTATTATTGTTTTTGGTTTTGGAGGGATTATTATTATTAGGCGTGTGGAGTAAGGAAACTTGCCCAAGGTTTCGCCCTGACCTGCCTGGAATTTAACTCAGGTCTCTTGCTTGCAAAGGGAGTGCTTTAACCACTGAGCTACAGGACTCCACACTCATATACATATCTAAAACGCCACAAAAAACACACTGCACGTGGTATAGTGAGTGTGTGAGTGTGGGAGAGGGGGGGGGTGTTGTGTTCTATTTGTAGAACTCTCGGTAATTTGTTTTGGTTACTCTTTAAGCATCGGTTTCCACACGTCAAGGCACTTGCTATTCCATGTTTTGAGAAGGGTTAAAGTGTGTTTATTTAAATATATACTTATACCTCAGTACAGTCTATTAAAAAAAAGCAGAAGTAAAGGAAGTAACAGATTAATTTACAATGTCATGTAGCCCATTACTCCTGGGATTTGCCATAATAGCTTCAGCAAAATCTTACAGGTACAATACATACGCACAAATGTTACGACACAGAGAAAACAATCACACAACAGGAAAGAAATCTTCTATGAGATCTGCCATACTTGGGGAAAAAAAACCTGATCACAGTGCTTCCGACATAAATTACAGAAAAAAATTCACGCACTGTCAAGAATTTATGACCCTATCTCCCATTTACGTTAATGCTTTACAGTAAGTCTACTTTACAGTTTTTAAAAATATATATAATTATAGTGTGACTAGGTGCCTTCCACATTTCATGGAATACAGGCTATTAAATATCCCTTGATCTGTTAAGTTACTGAACAATTAATTAATTTTATTGCGTTTCGCCCACAAAACATACATTCAATTCACTTTACAGCATATTCCGTGAAGTGCTTTGAGATATCTCGAAGACGTGATAAGGCGCTGTATCAAATGTAAGGCTTATTATTATGGGGTGGGGGTGGGGGGGGGGAGGGGTGAATGAAACATGTAGACAACTCTTCAAACCTACAATTTGAGACCTGCATTAAAAACCATGGCTCTGCCCTGACTCGAAAAGTAGTGGGGCTCCTGCCAGCCTGAGTCACACATACCTTGTCCCAGCGCAGCAGCAACAACAGCATCACTCTCTCTCTCTCTCTCTCAACGAGGAGCTGTAAATCAACCCCACACCCTGGGAATTGTAGTCTCAAATCCCCCTTTTGCTCCAATCGGAGGTTGAGGGGATGGACTACAACTTCCAGCCAGCTCCATCCTCATCATCACCATCATATATATCATCATCATCATCATCCCGACCCTACAAACTGCACAGACCTTTTGTCTCCAAAACAGCAGCAGCCACTTTCCTCCTCCAAACACACACTCACGCACACACTCACTCACTCACTGCAACGTTGGAGCAGCAGTGAGTGAGTGTTGCCATAATGCAGTATATCCCCCCCCCCACCCCCTGTCCACGGAGAAAAGCGAGAGACAAAGGTCTGTATCTGTAATATAAAGCCATCTCAGTGTGTGGGGAGCAAAGACTTGGATCACCTCCTCCAGCCTCTGGCATTCCCAGGAAATCACAGATTTGTGGAGAAGAATTGTGGGATTTGCAGTCCAGGTTCCCACAGACAAGAGTGGGAGGGAAAGAGGGTAACAAGGAAAGAGAAGAGGAGGTTAACCCCCCCCCCCCCTCAAAAAAAAAAAGCTGGAATGGGCACCTTTTGGGGGGTTTAAAAAGAAGAGGTGTAACCAAAAGCCATGTGTTGCAACTATTAGACGCATTGGCAGTACAACACCCCCCACCCCCCCCCCCGCACACACACACTCACTGTACCACATGCAGCGTGTTTATTGCAGCGTTTTAGATATGTATATGATTGCATTCATTAAACAAAATTAAAGCAGAGTTAAAATCCCGTAGAGCCAAGGAGTATTGAGCCACACACACACACACATCCATACACAGGCCAGTGAGGAAACACACACACACACAACACACACACACACATCCATACACAGGCCAGTGAGGAAACACACACACACACAGGTCAGTGAGGAAACACACACACACAGGTCAGTGAGGAAACACACACACACACACACACACAGGGCAGTGAGGAAACACACACACACACACACACACACAGGCCAGTGAGGAACACACACACACACACAGGCAGTGAGACACACACACACAGGTCAGTGAGGAAACACACACACACACACACAGAGCAGTGAGGAAACACACACACACACACAGGTCAGTGAGGAAACACACACACACACACACAGAGCAGTGAGGAAACACACACACACACACACAGGTCAGTGAGGAAACACACACACACACACACACACACACAGGCCAGTGAGGAAACACACACACACACACAGGTCAGTGAGGAAACACACACACACACACAGGCAGTGAGACACACACACACACACAGGCAGTGAGGAAACACACACACACACACAGGCAGTGAGGAGACACACACACACACACACAGGGCAGTGAGGAAACACACACACACACACACAGGTCAGTGAGGAAACACACACACACACACAGCGACACACACACAGGTCAGTGAGGAAACACACACACACACACAGGTCAGTGAGGAAACACACACACACACACACACAGGCCAGTGAGGAAACACACACACACAGGTCAGTGAGGAAACACACACACACACACAGGGCAGTGAGGAAACACACACACACACAGGGCAGTGAGGAAACACACACACACAGGTCAGTGAGGAAACACACACACACACACAGGGCAGTGAGGAAACACACACACACACAGGGCAGTGAGGAAACACACACACACACACAGGTCAGTGAGGAAACACACACACACACACAGGCAGTGAGAAAACACACACACACACACAGGCCAGTGAGGAAACACACACACACACACACACAGGTCAGTGAGGAAACACACACACACACACAGGTCAGTGAGGAAACACACACACACACACAGGGCAGTGAGGAAACACACACACACACACACAGGGCAGTGAGGAAACACACACACACACACACAGGGCAGTGAGGAAACACACACACACACACACACACACAGGTCAGTGAGGAAACACACACACACACACACACAGGGCAGTGAGGAAACACACACACACACACAGGTCAGTGAGGAAACACACACACACACACACACAGGGCAGTGAGGAAACACACACACACACACACACAGGGCAGTGAGGAAACACACACACACACACAGGGCAGTGAGGAAGCCAACACACACCATCACGTGTGTGTCTCCCCACCCAGAGGCCGCTCCGCTCTCTCTGCTCCGCTCTCTCTGCGCTGCGCTGCGCTGTCTGTTGTACCAATCCCGTTCATTTGTTCTTTTCTTGTTGCAATGCATTGGAAACACCCAGTGATTCTTAAACCATTTGTCTCTCTTCCTGAACACACCCCCATCGCCCTTTACACACACACACACACTCACACACTCACACATACACTCAGCCCAACCCTCCAAATAATAGCTTCTTTTTTTTTAAAAAAAATACCTGGATTTGCAGTTCAATCACCAAGTGAGTGAGTGAGTGTTTGCAAATGTGAAAGGATTTTTTTCCCCCTCTTTCTCTCTCTCTCTCTCACTCACTCACTCTCCACGGTTCCCTCTTTGGTTCGCATCAGTGTCTGGGCAATGGGTCACAGCCCCACACACACACACATGTACACACACACACACACACACATGTACACACACACGTACACAATGCGCTGCAATGCCAAACACACAGGGAAACACATACACACACACACACCTCCCACTGTATATATACAACATATACATATATAACATATACACATGTCTACACACCACTGCACACGCACACATGCCCCAACGCGCGCACACACACACACGCGCGCGCGCGCACACACACACACACACGCGCGCGCGCGCGCACTAAAAGAAAATGAAGCCGCTGACAATCAGCGCTAAACACACACTCACACACTTACACACACACACTCACTCACACACCTTGTGGGTCGCAGCCCTCGCCGTTGCCGTTGCGGTGGCGGTGGCGGTGCCGGGCTCGGGCTCGGGCTGACCCTCCGCGGGCCGCTCCCTGTGGTCCGGCGGCTGCGGGAGGCAGTAGTTGCCGGTCAGACTGTGCACCAATCTGCCGCGGCTCACCTCGCGCTTCAGGGCGACCTGCAGCCTGGCCCGCGGGACCTTCCTGTGCGGGTCCTGGGCGCCCATGTACTTCTCGATCTCCTTGACGGCCACTCCTCGGCGGAGGAGCCCCTTCTTACCCCCTTCGCGGGGGGGGACCGAGTGCTGCTGCTGCTGTTGGCGCAGCAAATCCGCCACCGCTTTGGCGATCCGATTGCTCTCGGCGTCGGCGGCGGCGGCGGCGGCGACGGGTTTCTTCCGCTGTTTGTTCTTGTACCACTTGGCCGCGTTGCGGTAGCTGTTGGAGCCCTTGTAGGCGACTTTGATGACCAGTTCGGCTCGGACCAGGTTTTCCAGCTGCTGCTGCGTCTCCGCCGGCGAGAGCCCGTGTCTGCGCTCGATCATCCGGCAGATCCGCTCCAGGTCGGGTCTGGCTTTGCGGGAGCGCAGAGAGTCGATGGTCTCCAAGATCCACTCTTTATATTTCACCTCCATTCCCCCCCACTACCACCACCACCACCACCTCCACACACCCCCACCACCACCTCCACACCTCTCCCTCCCCTCCTTCCCCCCCTCCTCTACTAACCCCTCTCTCCCCCCACTCCACTACCCCCTCTCTCCTCCCACTACCCCCCCCACACACACACACACCCACACACCCCCTCCGCTCGGAAATAACTCCCTGTTGTCGAGCGAAACAACTTCTCTTTCAAAAAAAAATCTCCCTCTCGGCGTTATCATTCAAAGAAAAAAAAAGCCCCTTTTTTTCCCTTTTTTCTCCACCCAATACACACACATATATATATGTATATATATATATATAAAGACACACACACACTCTATATATTGTATTATATATATATATATATATAGCGAGAGTGAAAGAATAAAGAGGATCAATTATATCGACCAGATTTTTCTTCTTCCTCTTCTTCTTCTTCTTCTTCTTCTCCCTCTTTCTTTCTTCCCCCCTCTCTCCCTCTCCTCCCACCCCCCCCCCCCCCCTTCTCTCTCTCTCTCTCTTTTCTCTTTCTCTCTCTCTTTCCTCTCTCTCTCTCTCTCTCTTTTCTCTCTCTCTTTTTTTCGGGTCTTCCAAAAAAAAAATAACTGTCTCCAAAAAAAAGAGAGAGAGAGAGAAAGAAAGGCGGAAGATCAGTTGTACGCCTGCGTAACCGACCCCCTCCTCTTTAACGCACGAGAGGGGGGGGGGGGGGTCTACAGAGCGGAAAGGGGGTCTGGGGGGGGAGGGGGGGAGAACACTTCAAAAGGGGTTCCTGTGTTCCCACACACCCCCCTAAAAAATATATATATGAGGCTTTATATTACTCCCCCCCCCACCCCCACCCCCCCCCTCCCACACAACACACACACACACAACGGCCGCCCCAACAACTGCGACCAACACCGCAAAAACGCGCGCCCTTCAAGAGCGAAATAAAACCGCAGCAGCGACGCTGGTAATTAATTTGCTAATGATTTATATATATATATATTTTTTTTAGAAAAAGATACCCAACTGTCTATCTATCTATATATTTTTTTACACACACACAAATTTGTGTACACACAAATCAAATCCAAATCCAAACTTACGCGAGACGGAAATAAAAAGAGAGAGAGAGGAGAGAGAGACGGGGAAAAAAAAAGAGAGAGAAAAAAGAAAAAAAAAGACACACACGAGACCAGATAGACAGACACACACACACACACACACACACAGAGAAAGAAAAAAAAAGTCTACATTATATATAGTGAGAGAAAAGTGCGCGCTGTCGGAATGGCCACCGCAGCCGCTCCGCTAACGCTCAAGTACAAAGCGCAGCTCCCGAGCGCTTTTGTGTGGGTTTTCTCTCTCTCTCTCTCTCTCTTTTTCTACTGAGCGTCTGATTTGCGCGTCTCTCGCACTGTAACTGACACCGACACACACACACACACACTCGCATTAAAAAAAGAGCGCTCGAGTCCACCAACGCCACCCCCCCCCCCAAAAAAAAACCCCCACAGCCACCGAGACGCAAAGGCTGCAGGTGAAAAGCAAACCACACGCACGATACACACCGCGCAAACAACTACTGGAGAGAGGGAGAGAGAGAGAGAAAAAACATTCAGGGGGGGGGGAGGGGGGTGGGGGGACGTTTGTGGGGAGGACTTTCCACAGCCATTAATTCATTCCAATCCATCCATCCCAGATCTCATTCCTCCTCCACTCCACACAGAGGACAACAATGCGGTGGAAATAAATGTTCAGGACAAAAACGCAAGAGCACATCTCAACCGCACTCACTCAATCACACTCTCTCTCTCACACACACAAGGTGGGGTGTGTGTGTGTGTGTGAGGGGTGGGGGTGTGTGTGTGTGAGGGGTGGGTGTGTGTGTGTGTGTGTGAGGGGTGTGTGATGGTGTGTGTGCGGTGTGTGATGGTGTGTGTGTGTGAGGGGTGTGTGTGTGGTGTGTGATGGGGTGTGGTGTGTGATGGGGTGTGTGTGTGTGTGAGGGCTGTGTGTGTGTGATGGCTGTGTGTGTGTGTGTGTGTGTGATGGGGGTGTGTGTGTGTGTGTGATGGAGTGTGTGTGAGTGTGAGGGGTGTGTGTGTGGTGTGTGATGGGGTGTGTGTGTGAGGTGTGTGTGTGTGTGGGGAGAGATGGCGGAAGATGTTTGTGGTATTCTTTATTTGGGGATAAAACATGTTTTTTATATATTATATGTAAAAAGAAATTAAAACACCCCCCAAAAAAACCACAGACACACACACACGCACACACAACAGATGGCGCGGGTTCATTATTTTCAATGCTTTCCTCTTGTGTTAAGGACTAAAAAAAAAGATGCTTTCACACTCCTATTGATTTACCGAAACGCTCCCAAGTAGTTGCGGGACATAATATTTTCTCTTGCATTTTGTTGTAGTTGTCAGAAGACCCCCCACCCCCCACCCCTCCCCACCCCCCCCCCTCCCCACCCCCTCCCCCTTCTGCTCTTAAAAGTTTCATTGCTGAATGAATTGGCAAAGGTGATTTCCGTACTGATTTAAAGATAATATATATATATATATTATATACATATATAATAACATATAAAGAAAAAAAATTCGCAACCCTGTGGGTGAGGGAGGTTTATCGACCACTCGCTGCTTTTATATATATATTTTTAAATTTTTTTAAAAAAAAAACCCCACTTTCAGCCAAGTTACAGTGCTTTCCTCGCAAAACATTCTGGCCACGAAAATAAAATGACACAACTTTCCGCACCGGTGTGTGGGGAGTGCCGGGTATCTGAACCCCACTCGACCCACAGTACGTTTAAGTGACAACCGATTGAGACCGTGACATGAGTTGGAAGGGAAGCTGGTTTGTGCTGAGCGAATAAGCTTAGAAATAACAGGGTTTATACCCCCTATTCCCCCCCCCCTACCCCCCCAAAGGTGGGTCAGCAAAATAGATGCTAAGGGTCACATCAGGACCAAGTGAATTCATCAAGAAAAATAACACCATTATAAAGGAGTTTTAAAAGGTATTTCCTGCCTCCACCCACCCCCCAAAACATTTTTTTTTACCCCCCCCCCCCCATGCATCAATGCTTACGTTCATCAGCAAACCTAAATAGGTTAGTCATTTTTGATGCACTTCATAGGATCTACCCTAAACACAGTCACATATACACAGTCACTCCACTTTACAATATGCTCTGTGAAGTGTTTTGAGAAGTCTCAACCACACAATAGGGCAGTGTGTCAAATGCAAGGCTTATTATTATTAAACAACCACTATTTGTATCTACCAAAATTGAGACATTTATCACTACTTATATTTAAACCGAGGGAATGAGTAGATATGATTTTGGAAGAGAACTGTATATTTTAAGCCCATTTATATTGTTTACAGTTTTATAGCATTCCTTATAGCAATGTCCTCAAAATCAAGTATATTTAAATTCAAAGCACAGTATCATTTTGCACTCATTTGTCTCTGGAAATAATTGATACTATATATTATTCTACTGAAAATACTAAGTGCCGAACTAGGAAAATACCTCCTCCATTTCACTTTTTTATTTAATTTTAAGTTTTGTTTAACCCTCAGCTCTCCTTCAAACCTTTCATTTGGGCTCCGACCAAGTTCGCTTCCTTCACCCTGCAGTATCTCCAGGAGTGAACTGGCTATCTGGGAAAATTACTGAGCGGCCCCGTGAATGATTCCTGATGTTTACCACCGTGTGGAGCCTAGTTCAGAAATTCCATTTGACCCTGACAAAGTTTTTTTAAACACACGGATGTTTTATGCTTTTTGTTGCCCTCCCCCCCATGAATTGGGGCTTTCACGAATCTTCACCCCCATAACATGACAATCCCGA